GTCGCCCGGTGCAGCTGTCGATGTACGTCTACTCGATGCTGGCGCTGGGGCTGACCGTCTTCCTGACGCCGTACATCAGGAAGCAGGCACCACTGCAGTGTCTGGCCCTGGCGTGGTTCTACCTCATCGACAGCATCGTCAACGCCGCGTACACGGCCCGGGTTCGCCGTGACCTGGTTCCAGATGATCTCCGAGCCCGGGGTGGCTGCGTCGAGGGGTGTTGGGTTTGCTGGTCGACGGGTGCTGGACAGACGGTACAGCGTGTCGCCGGTGACGGTTGGCATTGACGCAGAGGGCATGCCTGTGTCGTCGTCGTCGTCGTCGTCGTCCACGAGGAGTAAGAGTGCTGGATCGGCGCTGGAGGACGGGATGCTGCAGCCCGAGAGCCTGCCCAGCCTGGCCATCATCTGCGTGCTGTGGATGGTGCGGCTGTACTTTGTCTTTGTGATGATGGCGTTTGCCAGACAGTGTCTGAAGCTGCATGCGTTCTACCGCCGGAGCCAGGGCTCCTCCAACCAGGCCGGCTGCGTCTCGCACAGCCGCAGCGCGTCTACCTCTACGGCTGGGAATGCGGACTTTGAGCCCAACCCGTTCACGGCGGACGGTCCGGACGGCCAGGGGTGGAAGGGCAAGCTGGGTCGTGCCATGGTGTCGGTGGGCAGCGGCTACTGGCTCGACCGCAACGACGACGACGACTGGATGTTTGGCGTGGACAGGCGGTTCAACTCGAGCTACCGGATGGTTCCCACGGAGAGCAGCGGGCCCGTCGAGCGGGAGAGACGTCGACGGTCGGGTACGGGCCCGCCCATGCCTGCTCCTGGGGTGCTGCAGGCCGTCGTCGTGCCTCTGACGCCGTCGACGACGCAGCCTCACTCTGTGCCGCAGTCCCCGTCGACCTATCGACCCGTCCCTCCGCTGAAGCTCTACCAGCAGTCTGACGAGAGGGAGTTCTAGCCTGGATCACACATATATACATCCAACCTACACTATATACAACCACTCTGTACATCGACAACTTCTATATTATATCTTGGGCAAACAGCATGGCGAACTGGGCTACCAACCACTTTTGACATTCGTTCACGGCGTTACGGGCCATATCTTGTCTCTCTTCTTCGTCTATGATCATACTTATACGATTATATCATGCGGCTCTATCATCTATCCTGTTATCTACATCATCTACATCTTACCGTCTCCACTGTAGAACTGCGGCCTGACAAATCAACTCTTATCAATAAGTAATACGCAGACCAAGACTCTTTGATCCTTCTTCTGCCTTTTACTAGTTTACATCTAAAAGATGGGCCGAGGAAGACGATCACGCAATAGAACAGGCAAATGCCGCATTGTCGATTCTTTGCTGCTTTTCTTCTCGTCCGAGAATCCTTCTTGATAGAAGAAGTAGTAAGAAGAAGTAAGAAGAAGTAGAGTAGAAGAAGTACATAGTAAGAGAGAGAGAAAGAAGTACATAGAAGTAGTAAGTGAGTAAGAAGTAGAAGTGAGTAAAGAGTTTGCACTGTTTGCAGATGTCGTGATCAAAGTCACCTGATTAGGAAAGTCGACGAGCTTCAAGAGAAAAGTCGAAGTTTTTGGTCTTTTTCTTCTCTTCTTCTTCTTCTCTTGATGCTCATCCTCAGTTGTTGTTGGTGTTGGTGATATCAAGTGCTAGAGGTGAGTGAGTTGGCGTGGTGGTGGTTCGTGTGGTAGACATGCTGACCGGGTTATAGATCTATAGCACAGCTCCGGGGAGAGCCCGAGTGAAAGCAGCCATTGACGCAGACATGGCGAGCATAGCAACAGCTGGAGAAGCTGGTACGTCTCTGAGGGGCTCGTTTGTCGAGAGGAGTGCTTCTGTGCTCTTCCGTTGATTCTTTGTGGTCGAGATATATAGATGGAGACTGACTGCTGATAGTGGCAAGGGTTGCGTATCTCTCCAGTGACGTCGTGCTCTCTGTCCAGCCGACCCTGGAGAGAGACTCCATCTTCTCCGGCACGCTCAACAGGTTGGCTGTCGAGCAGGCCAAGGGAGCTCTCTCTGAAGCCTGTCCGGAGGTGAGTCCTATACCCTAGCGTACCTGACCAAGCCACTGATGTAGCTAGGTACGGGCGGTACGGCACAATGAAGACCCCCTGCTGTCGGCATACTATCCCCTGCAGAACGGCCAGACGGTCTCGGTGACAACCAGCTCGACCGTCCTGCTCCCCGCCATCCCCCACCTCTACAGGCTGGCAAACTACCCCATAGTCATCCACGTACACCTGGAGCCCACCGAGTTCGCGGACTTCTCCGTCATAAGCTCGATCCGGCAGTGTGGCTTCTCCTTCTTGCACTCAGAGACCCTGCAGGAGGCCCATGACATCGCTCTCACCGCACACGCCCTCGCCCTGACGTCCGGCAAGGGGGTCGTCCACTTCTTCGACCTGAGGAACTCGAGCAAGGACGAGCCCGTTGTGGCGGAAGACGTCGGGCTGGTAAGAGATATCCTCCAGGTCAGCGCCGTCAGAGCTACCCACTCGCCCGAGGATGTCCCCCAGACCATCTACGCGGACTCGGGGCGGGTTGCCATCGTCTCTGATCAGGGGTTCGGAGGCCCGGTGGTCAGTCCTGCGGCAGCAACTCCAGCAACAGCTTCTACCGCCGCACTACCTATTCCATCCGCAGTCCCCAGCGTCGACCCCTCTTCCGTTGGCTCGTCGCGGAGAGGGAGTATCATCGACAGCCATGTCCCCAGCTCGTCGGCCACCACCGTCGAGACGGTCACCACTCGCCCGGTCGACGCCTCGGACATCTTCCAGATAGTAAACATAATCTGGGACGCCTTTGCAGCCCGCGTTGGCCGACAGTACCATGCCATTGAGTACTCCGGTCCGGAGGACGGGAAGCTGGCCGTGTTCATCTTCGGATCGACTGGAGTCTTCGTGGATGTCCTAAACGACCCGGCTCAAAGTGCCGACTTTAAGGACGTCGGAATCATCACCGCCAGGCTGTACCGGCCTTGGATAGGCAGCCAGATCCTCAGGGCCATCCCGGACTCGATCGAACGCATAGCCGTGCTGGAACAGGTCCGCAAGACCACAAGATGGGGCCCGTCCTTCCTAGATCTCCTGTCCAGCATATCACAGCCACCATCCGGCGTCAGACAAGCACCGTCCCTGGTCGGCTACAGGCTTGGATACATAGAGGCAGCAACCGCATCCCAGGCGCTCAGGGGCATCATCCAGAATCTAACCCTGGACGCTCCGGTCCAGAACCTCGACGTTGGCGGCGAGTCCGTTCCATTACCGGCAATCCAGCTTGAACAGCCAGAGAACGAGAATGCATACACCAAGATACTGAACCAACTGTTCAGCGACCGCCTTTACATTGCCAACCGGCTGGGTTCGCAGGATGCAGACATTTCTGCGACCATCTCTGCCTCCCCCGAGTACGGGTTTGGCTCTCTCCTGGCCAGAAAGGAACGACGTACCCAGCTCAAGCAAGAGGTCGAAGACGCCGTACGTGCGAATGGTTTCGCCAACGAAGCATCGAAACAGCTTCTGTCCAAGTGGGCGTTGAACGAGGCAAACCCCGTCAAGGCTAACCAGATCGCTCCCGATCTCATCTCTGCCTTAACGGCCGACGGTTCCAGCCCGGCGGAAGAACTGCTCCAGTCAAAGGAGCTCTTCTACAAGGAGTCTCAATGGCTAATTGGCTCTGATGCGTGGGCTTATGACCTTGGAAACTCCGGAGTGCATCACGTTCTCGCGTCTAATGAAAACGTCAACATGCTCATAATCGACTCCCAGCCGTACTCCCAGCGTACCGCGGCCGATCCCACACGGCGCAAGAAGGACATTGGCCTGTACGCGATGAATTTCGGCCATGCATACGTCGCTTCGGTCGCCGTGTACAGCTCCTACACCCAGGTTCTGCAGGCAATCGCAGAGGCGGAGCAGTTCAACGGACCATCCGTCGTCGTTGCCTATCTCCCCTATTTCAAAGAGAGCGACTCGCCTCTCACTGTCCTGCAAGAGACCAAGAAAGCAGTGGAAGCGGGTTACTGGCCGCTCTACAGATGGAACCCAGAAAACGCCGAAAAGGGAGAGCCAAACTTCTCGCTGGATTCGGAGAGGATCAGGAGAGAGCTGGAACAATTCCTTCACCGAGATAACCAGCTCACCCAGCTGATGAACCGAGAACCCAAGTTCGCTGCAAGCTTGTCCGAGTCGTACGGTAGTGAAGTACGAGCGCTGAAGAAGAGAGCTGCAAAGAATGCCTATGAGCAACTCATGGAAGGGTTGCTCGGCGCTCCCCTGACAATTCTTTTCGCCTCTGATAATGGGAACGGGGAGAACTTGGCCAAGAGATTGGGTAATCGCGGGAAAGCCCGTGGCCTCAAGACCATGGTGATGGCCATGGATGATTATCCCATCGAAGATCTGCCATCGGAGGAGAACATTGTTCTGATCACCAGCACGGCAGGCCAGGGAGAACTGCCACAGAATGGACGTGGGTTCTGGGAAGCCGTCAAGAGCGCAGGCGACCTCGACTTGAGCTCTATCAAGTATTCCATCTTCGGCCTGGGTGACAGTCATTACTGGCCGCGAAAGGAAGACAAGCTGTACTACAACAAACCCGCTAAGGATTTGGATGCCCGCCTTTCGTTCCTTGGAGGTAAGAAGCTGACAGATATCGGCCTGGGAGACGACCAGGACCCAGACGGTTACCAAACCGGTTATCAAGAGTGGGAGCCAAGGCTCTGGCAGGCTCTCGGAGTAGACAATGTCGAGGGTTTGCCTGACGAACCGGCACCTCTGACCAATGAAGATATCAAAATCCAGTCAAACTACCTCCGTGGAACCATTGCTGAGGGCCTCCGCGACGAGTCTACCGGTGCTCTTGCAGAAAGCGACTTGCAACTGACCAAGTTCCATGGTACTTACATGCAAGATGACCGAGACCTGAGAGAGGAGCGAAAAGCCCAGGGGCTCGAGCCAAAGTACAGTTTCATGATCCGCTGCCGTCTCGCTGGTGGTGTTGCGACACCCTCGCAGTGGCTGCAGATGGACGAGATCAGTAGCGCGCAGGGCAACGAGACGATGAAGCTCACCACTAGACAGACATTCCAGTTCCACGGTGTTGTCAAGGGGAAGCTTAGAGCCGCCATGCAGGCGATTAACCGCGCTCTGATGTCCACTATCGCTGCCTGTGGAGACGTAAACAGAAACGTCATGTGCAGCAGTCTTCCTGAGCTGTCAGCATACCACCGTGAAGTCCATGCCGTTTCAAAGCTTATAAGCGACCATCTTCTCCCAGCAACCACTGCCTATCATGAGATCTGGCTCAAGGATGAGAATGATAAGAAAGTGCAGGTTGCTGGAGATGCCGTCGTTGATCATGAGCCGCTGTATGGCCCGACATATCTCCCTCGAAAGTTCAAGATCACAATCGCCATCCCACCACATAACGATACGGATGTCTATGCCCATGATATCGGCCTTATCGCTATAAAAGGTGCAGACGGCCATTTGGAAGGATTCAACGTCCTGGTTGGTGGTGGTATGGGTGTCACTCATAACAATAAGAAGACATATCCTCGAACGGGCAGCATGTTGGGTTATGTTCCTGCCAAGGAAGCCCATATCGTATGTGAGAAGATCATGCTCGTGCAGCGTGATCATGGTGATAGGAAAAACCGTAAACATGCTCGAATGAAGTACACAGTCGATGACATGGGCGTGGAAGTCTTCAAGGGAAAAGTAGAAGACCTTCTGCCTGTCGGTCTCCGGTTCGCAGAGCCCCGTCCGTTCAAGTTCGATTCCAACGTGGACACATTCGGTTGGATCAAGGATGAAAAGGGCCTCAACCACTTCACTTGCTTTATCGAGAACGGCAGGGTAGAAGACACTTCTGACTTCCTCATGAGAACCGGTCTGCGTGAGATTGCAAAGCTGAACAAGGGAGAATTCCGTCTCACCGGAAACCAGCATGTCATTATCTCCAATATCAAAGATGAAGACCTGCCAGAGGTCAAGGCACTCATGGCCAAGTATAAGCTCGACAACACTTCGTTCAGCGGCCTTCGCCTCTCGTCCTCGGCCTGCGTTGCTTTCCCAACATGCGGCCTTGCAATGGCCGAGTCAGAGAGATACCTGCCTATCCTCATAACGAAGGTCGAATCGTATCTTGAAGAAAACGGTCTTTCCAGGGAAAGCATCGTGATGAGGATGACTGGCTGCCCTAACGGATGTGCTAGGCCCTGGCTCGCGGAAGTTGCCTTTGTGGGTAAGGCATATGGAGCGTATAACATGTACCTTGGCGGAGGATACCATGGCCAACGGTTGAACAAGTTATACCGTTCTTCTATCAAGGAAGCGGAAATACTCGAGATCATGAAGTCCCTACTTAAGAGATATGCCCTCGAACGAAACACAGAGGGAGAGCAACCAGAGAGATTCGGTGACTGGTGTATCCGTGCTGGCGTGATCAAGGAGACCACTGAAGGGAAAAACTTCCACGAAGGGGTAAGTTGACCAGTACCACTCTCCTTCTCGGCATCTTGCTAACCAGGCCGTGCCTACAGGTTGCTGAAGACGAAGAGTAAAAGCAATGCTTGGGTATTCTAATTATTCTTTTATTTCCATGTAATAGAACCAAAAGGCGGTTTGCTTCGGGCTTCTGTATACATATCATTTCTTGCCTGTCTTTTTTCTCTCATGTTATTTCAGTCTTTGCTGCATATGGAGGTATACTCGGGGAATATTTAACGACTAGAAAACGAAGCGTATGCCTTGAAATCTGTTCGTGTCAAGAGAAGAAAAGACGTTTTATGTTTTGAAGACGAAGAGGGCGCTTAGCGTCTTGGCGTGAAGATGGCAGATTGATAAGAAAATTGATAACTAAAGTGTAAAAAATACAACCAGCAGCAACGATATCAAGAATATAGCATTTAATATCCTCTGAATGAGCATTGGAAGCTCGGATATCCTTTACTGAGGAATCGTTTATACCCAGTTTACCTCACAATGTTTCGTAAGTTTCATAGAACAAGCTGACCTCTTTCCTAAGAGTCATCCATGGGTTAACCATCGTACATTTGAAGCCGCTGAGAGTCAGGAAGACGATGACCCGATCACCGCATCATACGATATATTCATAACCGACTCGCAGATCCGACGATTACTCCTTCAATACCCCGACCGCCCCGCCGACCAGCCGTACAATGACGCTATGGGACAAAAACCGCTCGAATTTCGATTAAAGCCCAAAACCGGACTGGTAGAAATAGACATACCTATAGACACGGTGGTAAATTACGATGAAACAAAAGGTCTAAGATACGGCAATGCGTTGGCGAAGAGCCGTATCACGCAGGAGAACGGAACGCATGGGATGGCGGGGGGATTTAATACAAATGGGGGCGGTATTGGGAAACTAAAATCGGAGCCCTCTATAGCTGATGATATGAATGTTTATATGGATCTGGATGACGATGATAAGAGGGCGGGGGTTAAGATGAGCACACAGGTTTTGGGGGGTAGGATAAAAAAGCCCGTGGATGGTGACCCGGTTTATATGCTGGCTGCTTTCAGGGACAGTAAGTGTTTCCATCTACCTTTTTGGTGTGTGTGATGAGTGTGTTTAGCTAACTGGCTGGCTATCTTAGATGAACTTCATCTCGCACCTTTGGAGGCCGTAGTACAGCTTCAGCCCCAGCTACATCATATAGATGCCTTCGACGAAGTAGCCGTGAAGAGCAAGGCTATGGCAAAAGCCAAGAAAGATATGGACGATGATTCCACCAGCAGAAGCGCCGCGATGGAAGCACGAGCAATCGATATGAAAGTCAAATCTGCGGAGTCAGAGGGCGCCAGGGCAGTTGGAAACAACGAGCTACTGCTCAAGCTCTTTCAAGACGAGAAGTGGGAGAAGTACAGATGGATTGACGAAAATGTACTCCCTCTCTCTCTCTTTACATTTTGTGCAGATTGCTAATATTTATCTACAGGACCAAGAATCATGGGATAAATACGACGAATATATGTTTAATGAGGGCCTGGAAGAGCCCGTTCAGCTCCAGTCAGCAATCACCACGGAAGACTACCTGGACAGCATGAGTGCCCCGAGGGTTGATCCCACCAGGCCGGAAATGACTGGCTGGGCTATGAAGAGAAGACAGCAGAGACGGAGGGCAAGCAGTAGCTATAGGAAGGGGAGGCATCAAACTGAGGATGATGTTGACGATGATATATTCGTGGCCCAGATATAACTAGGCCAGGCTGCACAACTGCTATCACACAACTGCTATCATGCAACTGCTATCATCTAGGCCTCCAATGCTAGACTTAGAAGAAGATATAGTGTTATTCTTCCTCTATCTTTCATCTGCTTCTCTTCTGCCGGCCGGTCAATATATAACGGAACATTATTCTTCCACTCCGCAGTCACTTGGGTAAATTCCTTATTCGGACTAGCGTTACTCTCTATTACTAATACAACACGTGACTTCAGGGACGAAATTTTTCTGCTTCCAGAAAGTTTTTTTTTTGATCTTATCAATTTTCTTCGAGTTCTTCAAGTTCTTCCAGCGAGCTTCAAGGTGGGTTAAATGCGACCAGGCCTTTTCTTTTCTTTCTGTATTCTCTTGTTTTATTAATTGATAACCCTGATGTTGTTTATTTGCTTGTTTCCCGAGTATTATTACCTTTAATTCTTTTTTAATTCACTCCTTTCGTCCTCAGCCATGCTCTCCAGAGTAGCCCACAGAAAACATGCCCTTTACAGGCTACAACGATCTCATGAACACCTAGTGCTTCCCTGGCTATGCCCAGCGCTTTTACGATCCCAGTTGACGACAAAATGCGGCCCAATCCGTCCAATTGCGAAGCAAAATGTGACCTCGACCATTGGGCACCCGTCCTCCCGTACTCTCGCGACGGTGAGATGGGGAGTAATGGACGATCCCCAATCGACATATATCCCGTTCGAAGGCATGGATGCATATAAGCCTGTGAGAGAACCGGATACGCTACCCCCTCAATTCACCTCTCGGCCTCCGCTGTCTGACCCGTCAGATCCGATGGATCGGGACGCTTCGTCTGTTATTATCCTCAATCCCCTCCTATCCTCGAAGCCGGCCTCGTTACGGAAAATAAAGAGTATTGGTGGCGATCTTGACGAGATGCTCATCAATCTTGACGTTAGCTTATCGGCTGGAATGTTTAAACGTGCCAGTCTCCTGCTCCGTCGTCTTGCTGCCGCATATCCTCAGAACTCTCCAGAGCTGCTAGATCTCCACAACAAGTATCTACGATCTATGATTACTTATATGATTGTTAACCGGCAACCAAATCTTGTGTGGTACGCGCAAAGATGGTATGAGGTCGATATGGGGCTGTTATCGGTTAAGCCGGATGCTGTTACTCTTGCGTGGATGCTGCGAATGAGCTTGAGGATGTTGGCCGGGCCTAAACGCGAGAGAACCGTCCGAAGGTATTGGCAGTCTGCGGTATCGAGGGGCATTCATGAGGATATACTTCAGTCGTCAATCTTGCCTGAGTCAGAAATTGGATTGCTCTCTGAGGTATGTTAACAAACTGAGCCTTCTTGTTGATAATGGGTTGATAATGACAATGTCTAATGAATGGAAATAGATTTGCTTCCATGTCTCCGAAGCTCCCGCACGCAATGTTGAGCCCGATTTGGCAGGCCCAGATATGGAGCTAGATTTGAAGCCTAAGGTCACGGACGAGTCTGTACTGCCGCCGAACGAAGTCCTCAACACGGACCAGAAAGGAATGGGACTTCATTCTCTAAAGGACTCGCTGTCCCTGTTCAATCCGTCGACCGAGTTCGCACCGAAAAACCTTTGGGGACGAACGCCAGAAGAAAGAGAACTGAATAGGAAGCGTTTGAGACAAGAACAGCTTGAGAAAGACTCCTTAACATCGGCCATTGAACGCTGGAGAAAAGAGAGCGAGGGCGTCATCGGACAACGGCGTCAAGTCGAGGCAAGGCTAAACGCGTTCATGTACCAATGGTACCAGGGCGTTTTGGGTAAAATAAAGGAAGAATTGGAACTCGCCAAACGATCCGAGTCGAAAAAGAAGCTGACACCGGAAGAAAGCGAGCGATACGAATATATTCCATTCCTGCTGGCTATTGGCCCAAGCAAGCTGGCAGCAGTTACTATCCTGTCAGTGCTAGGATCTATTGGAAGCTCAGGGATGGACAAGGGCATCAAACTGAGCTCTCTCTTCACCCATATCGGTCGTGCTGTTAAGGACGAATATATTATCGAAACTACACGACAGTCGGCTGTTAACGAGGCCGAAACCGAGAACGAGGCTTACTATCTAAACAAGACATTCCGCCAGATGAAGGTATATAACTCAACAGGAAAGTTCAGGTCATACATGCAAAAGCATACGGAGGGCCGGCCTCCCGTCCACTGGCCAACATCTACTGAAATCAAGATTGGTGCCCTCTTATCCTCAATGTTATTCTCTACTGCCGAAATACCCACCTCCCACAAAGACCCAGTAACGGAAGAAGTTAGATATGTCAACGAGCCTGCCTTTCAACATGTTTACCAGCTACAAAAGGGACACAATGTTGGATACGTACAGCTTCATGAAAAAGTGGTAGAAAGGCTGCGAAAGGAGCCGTCTGGCAATTTACTGGCCAAACATCTCCCAATGGTCTCGCCGCCACGGCCGTGGGTATCAAACACCCAAGGTGGATTTTTGACCCAGCCCGTTCAAGTTGTACGGACTCGACACGATGATGCTCAAAATCAATACCTCCAAGCCGCATCAGAACGCGGAGACCTGGAAGAGCTTTATAAAGGTCTAACAATTCTTGGGAAAACAGGGTGGAAAATCAACCGTCCGGTTTTCGATGTCATGCTTGAAGCTTGGAATTCTGGAGAAGAAGTCGCCAATATCGTCGCAGCCAATCTTAATATTACGGAACCCGAAAAACCTGACGCAGATGACCGTGAAGCTGTAAAGGCCTACTATCGTGCGAAGACCCGTGCCGACAACAAAAAGATGGGTAATCACTCTCAACGTTGCTACTTGAATTTCCAAATGGAGATCGCTCGAGCATACCTCAATGAGTCGTTTTATCTTCCTCACAATATGGATTTCCGCGGACGGGCTTACCCTCTCCCTCCTTATTTCAACCAGATGGGAGCGGACAACTGCCGTGGCCTTCTCCTTTTCAGTGAGGGGCGAGTACTAGGCGAAAGTGGGCTCAGGTGGTTGAGAATTCACCTTTCGAATGTTTTCGGATTTGACAAGGCTAGTTTCCAGGAAAGAGAGCAGTTTTCCATCGATCACGTTGACGATATTCTCGACTCTGCCAATAATGGACTGAAGGGTAGAAGATGGTGGCTAAAGGCCGCGGACCCGTTCCAATGTCTGGCTGCTTGTGTAGAGCTGAAGAATGCTCTCAGCTTGCCTGATCCAACAAAATACGTCTCGCATCTCCCAGTACACCAGGATGGCTCTTGCAACGGCCTGCAACATTATGCTGCGTTGGGCGGTGATGCGATTGGTGCTCGACAAGTTAATCTCGAGCCTGGTGATCGGCCTTCCGATATCTACACTGCGGTTGCTGAGCACGTAAAGGCTTCTATCGCCAGCGATGCTAAAGCTGGCGATCCCATTGCAAAGTTAATGGACGGCAAAATAACTCGAAAGGTTGTGAAACAAACGGTCATGACAAACGTTTATGGTGTGACCTTTATTGGTGCCACCAGGCAGGTTCGACGACAGCTTGAAGATCACTATCCAGAGCTAGCGGAGACCGACGAGATATCAAAATGTGCGGTTCACGTTTCCCGTGCAATCTTCTCCGCCTTAAATTCCATGTTTAGCGGAGCACACGATATTCAGTTCTGGCTGGGAGACTGTGCGAACCGAATTACCCGCTCCCTCAATCCCAGCCAAATCGAGGAGATCCGCAAAGAGTTAGAAGCCCCATCCAAGACTGATATAGCAAAGAAGCTCAAATTCAACAATTCTGTTATCTGGACCACACCTTTAAAACTACCGGTTGTTCAGCCGTACAGAGAAGCGAAAACCCGCCAGATCCCGACCAGTTTGCAGCTCTGTACTATCAAAGACATCCGTGGAGCAAACGAGGTTAACCGTCGAAAGCAACTACAAGCGTTCCCGCCTAACTTCATCCACTCCCTAGATGCCACGCACATGATGCTCTCTGCTATCAAATGTGATGAGCTCGGCCTTAGTTTCTCCGCCGTCCACGATTCCTTCTGGACTCATGCGGGTGACATTGACAAGATGAACCGTGTTCTACGTGATGCATTTGTTCGCATGCATTCTGATGACATCGTCGGGAGGTTGGCCGCTGAATTAAAAGCCAGATACTCTAATAACCTTTACCTTGCCCAGCTCCGACCTAATACCCCCTTGGCTAAAAAGATCAAAGCCCTTCGCGCAGCCAAGGGACGACCAGGGAAGCAGGACAAGGTCTACGAGCTATTGGACGAGTACACACGCATCGAGCTGCTTAAATCGGAGGACCCGGCTGAACAAGAAAAGGGCCGAAAAATGGTCACTCCAGGCAGTCTATTTGCTGATACCGAGCATGCAGACGAGGCCCTGGTATCAGTGCAGTCTCTTGGTGTTGCTGGTATGGGACATGTTCCCCCTCCAGAAGAGCAGAAAGCACTAGAGGCTACACTGGCATCTGAGGACAGCTCATCGGCGGTCGATGCAGTTCACGACATCTCCGAAATGAAAGACCTCCAGGAATCCGAGGTCGATGTGGAACTGGCCACGACGCCAAAGAAGAAATCCAAGGCCAAGTCTGGCTCAGTCTGGGTTTGGCTGCCCCTGACATTCCGTGATGTCCCTCAAAAGGGTGAATTTGACGTCCGCCGCCTCAAAGAAAGCCAGTACTTCTTCTCCTAAATTATACCCCAGCTTCTAATTCTCCTACACGATTTTCGTCTCCCGCACTACCCTCAAAACCTGTACATAAGATTTCCTTCTACATCTCGCGGATGTTTGATTTATCTGTATTTTGGCCTGTATACCATGAGATCATCTCCTGCACTTGCATCTTTTGATTTTGTATTTTTATCTATCCTTTTCTTTTTCATGCGTCTCTGGGACTCGTTCGGTGTTGTATTGGTGTTTGGTGTTGCAAAGACATGAAGGTCGGATGTATACATACGCTATCTTGTGCCATAGTTTTCTCTTTCAGCCCCTTTTATACACTCATGGGCAGGTCAAGCCAGTTGACGGTCGAATATGACAACAAGACGAAGCACTCTCAGTGAACATGCATTTCATCACATTTACAAACGATTTACATTGAAAATATACCAAGAATATTATTATGACCTATAACTTGTATTTTTTCTTATTTATCAAGATAGGATGGCATTTGATTGACCTGGCTACCCCTGTGCAAACTGGATATCACACAGATGAAGATGACGGCCAAGTCGCACCCATATACCTTGATCGGTATGTTTCTTGTTCATACCATGCCCGAAATGCCTGAAATTCTTGAGATGCCCGAGATGCCCGAGATGCCTGGAATGCCCGGAATGCCCGAAAATACTCGAAATGCCCGAAATTCCCCGATATCATACTATTAATGAACGCATCTGCCGTTCTACTCAACGATCTGTTAGCATTGCAGTCAGGAAGACAGCCTTGACTTAACCACATACCACGCACTGCCAGCATCCCCATGTAGGCGGATCACAGTCTGTCGACACTGGTGTACATGCCCGGCCACAGCGTTCATCCTAGACAAGTTTGAGGGTTAGCAGAGCGCAGTCAGAGAAAGGCCGTGTAGAGAGCTGCCTTACCCAGCCTTCCACTCGGCGCAAGTTCGCCCCGTAGACACCAGATGACATGTAAAGGCCAGAAATAGCGGCGCAAATGAGCCCGTGAGTTTTCATGCTGACTCCGTCGTAAATGTTGAAGCCATTGCGTGGACGGAGCGCTTTTGGTAGAAGAGGATGAGCTGAGGGTTTATATAGCTGACTCTTCCCCCCTGCCGTCTATACAGATGTGAATTCTTTGTCTAGGACTCTTGGATTGCCCGATGCTGGTCATACTCGACGCCCTTGAGTGTTACAATGCGCGATGGACGGATTCTTGTGCGATGCTGGAGGGCTTCTGATTCCGTTTCCGTGTTTGCCTTGCATTGAAAAATACAGTACCACCAGTCTAGACCTGCTGCCTGGTTATTATTCATGTAGTCGAGCATGGAGTAGAGGTACATGTATACTTCTGGCCCGGTAAACGCCTTGTTCAGGGGTTTGCTAATCAGCTACGCCGTAACAGAGGGGGCTCAGGGGCTTCATGCTTGAGATACCCCAGACATTCATGCGAAAAGTGACTTCAGCGCATCACTAGCGCTATAGTTGACCAAATTCATAGGCTAGAATCTTCTCATTCACGGATATCTGGGGTGGCTGTGATGTCTTCTTGTTCATCTATAGGGAAAACATCAACATCCAAAATGATAATCACGGGACTTCACCAGGGCTTCACTTTCCACTTTGCTAGCTTCACGTTCTTTTTCTATTATTTTGTTTATTGCTTCTGCTCAAGGCTTCACTTGTTTCTGCCTGGAGAATGAATGAAGGGAATGAAGATATAAGATCTCCCAGCCGACCAACCTACAAGGGCAAACACATTTTCCTTTGACAAACTGCCCTTCTCTTATGCTCAACCTGTCAAACATAGCCCTGCCGTTATTGATAGCTGGCGTTTGTTTCCTTCGTACCCGGTGGTTCCTAGAACTCAAGGTAAGATAGACTCTCCCGTGTTTGTTGGTGACATCATCCCTTTCTGTTCGTACCATGGAACAAGGCGAGTCCAGAGGTATATAAGAGAGACTCCCGGAAGGAATGGAGATAGCACATATATGAACCTCTAGGCCTGACCATATATCTAGATCTCATCACGGAAAAAGTCACAAAAACACCCCTGTCGAAGCACGCGAGTCAAGATGTGCTACCGAAAATACTACAAGTACAAGTGCTGTGCCCTCGAGAAGAACATCGACTGGGTAGCCTGCGAAGACAAGCCACCAGGCCTAAACTGCCCTAAAGCCCAGGAGAACAACTGGCAAGGGCCGTACGCTCAGTACCAGGGCGAGATAGAGGGTCCTTGCTGGAACTGTATGTGGGCATCATACAACGACGGAGGCAAAGCCAAAAGAGAGTTTATAGAGAACTTTGGGAAACCCAAGCCAGGAGATGAGCCATGGGAGAGCGATGAGGATAGAAAGGACCAACGCATGGCTGGGGAAGACTGGTATTGGATCATGCGGAGGAGGCAGAAGAAGCAGCGGGAGCGAGAGAGGCGGAAAATGGCGGTGGACACAGCAAGGACGGCACATAGCACCGCACAGTGGCTCGAGGGACTTGAAGGGGAGGGAACATCCGGCAGCAGCACGCCCGGAATGTCCGGAAGCAGACCAGAGAGTCTACCAGAGACTCAGCCTGGAAGCAGACCTTCGAGCGGACATGGCATCCCACCGGCCGGGACTCATTCGCCGGTGAGGGTCCGTCTTAACTGAGAATTTTCAACCAAGTCATATATATTCTCTCTGCTCCTGGCCTGTCTTCTTCATCTTTTATTCATGATATCTTCCTACCAGGCCACAGGGAGCAGAGATAGTCTCGTCCTGAAGACCGAATCTTTACCTTTCATTCTTATCCCTAAGCCTCTTAGTTATGAAGTATCTCTAGAATGCATATGTTCCACTCACCGTCCATGAACCTGACTCCATATAGACGTCTTCATCGATCTTGTAACGACTGCTCACTCTACTTGTGTGCGTTTCATCATTTCGTAGTCGTATAAGTAAATCTGAGTGGAAAACCCCAACTTTTCCTTCCGCCGCGCCAAGAAGTCTTTATTCCACTTAAGCTTATCCGAGTTTCACATTAACGACTTCAACTTGAAGAAAACATCGTCAGTTTGCCTGTTCAGATGTAGGAATCTACCAGCATACAAGGACAAGGCACGATGCCTGTTGGGAGAACTACATCCATCTTATCACAGGCAAGATGGCGTCTGGCCTCTCAACGCAGACTGCCCCCGCATCGACAGCTACATCTAGCACCCCCATTTCTCCTGGATACCTATATCCCACGATACCATCTTCTCTCCTCTGTGGATGCAGCTAAGAAGCGATCTCAGGCATACGGTCATCTGCGGAACTGCAACCTTTGCCCGCGGCTATGTGGAGTGAACCGGTACGAGAAGACTGGCCACTGTCTTATTGGAGCCGAGACAGCAAAGGTCAATGTCATCGCGCCGCACTTTGGAGAGGAGCCCTGCATCCAAGGGTGGAATGGCAGTGGCTCGGTTTTCTTTTCCGGATGTAACCTGAGATGTGTCTTTTGCCAGAATCATGTATGTTTTTGACGACGACGGTGGTTCAATCGTATAGCTGACGAAATGCTAGGACATTGCGCATCAGCGGAAGGGATTCGACCTTACCCCTGAGGAGCTTGCTGAGTGGTATATGAAGCTACAAGAAGTCGGAAAGGTTCATAACATCAACCTCGTTACTCCGGAACATGTCGTTCCCCAGGTTGTCTTGTCGATTCTGCATGCACGAGAAATCGGGCTGAAGATACCGATTGTCTACAACACCTCTTCATTTGATTCTCTAGACTCGCTGAGGCTACTAGACGGGCTGGTAGATATATATCTCCCTGACTTCAAAGTATGGAAGGACAGTACTTCTAAACGACTGCTCAAGGCGGATAACTATACCGCCACGGCTATGGAAAGCATAAAAGCGATGCATGCCCAGGTTGGAGATCTATCTTTTACAGCAGACGGTGTCGCGAAGCAGGGGGTACTCCTTCGTCATCTTGTTATGCCCGGCATGGAAGATGAGGGGAAAGAAATCGTCAAGTGGCTTGCGAATAACGTATCGAAGGATATGTATATACATATCATGGAACAGTACCATCCGGATGCACATGTTGGAAAGAAGAGGAGGGGAAAGGGCAACGGTGTGGGGGAAGAGCAGGCAGTGCGGTATAGTGATATCAACAGACCTGTCACTGAAAGAGAACTTGGAGCTGTACAACTCGCAGCCAAGGATGCAGGCTTGTGGAGGTTCTGCGAACCCGCAGAACACGGCGGATTCCATCTCTAAGCCTATCAACCTGTACATAAATTGTAGAACTCAATTCCTGATCTCCTTTCCCTCTTTGGTTTCATCATCTTCTCCCGGCTTAGAATCTATTTCTGCAGGATACGGGATACTTCGAACGGTTATGATACTATCATTGGACAGTACATACGACATAACTCCTTTATATCTCGGAACACCCTTTGAAAATCACGAGCAGTCTTCTTCGAAAGTAGAAGGGAAGCAACCAAACCTAGGCTTCTCTTTGACCGCAATTTTGCATCAAAATGGAAGTTCCGGTATTGAACCGCAAGGAATAAAGCAGATTTCGACCATTCCAGTCCTCACCTTGGCCTCATTAGCTTGCGCATGGCAACGGCGAATGGGTCAGGGGTTCAAGAGTCAAGGCACATACTTGGTTCAGAGGGCTCAAAGCTGTTCTTGTAGTTCTTTACATAGTCCCCCAACTTAGACGATGATGGAGTGCTCTCAATACCATACTCGTTGTGGCCGTGGAAAGAGCCTGCGCATACCACGCATACAAATATTAATCCTCCTCAAACCTTGTCTAGCTCCATGGGTCAATAGTTTATCGCAAAAGAAAATCCTTAATCTTCATTAGACCGTCATTGTCACCCTCGATGGTCCCTGCTCTATCCTTCTCGACCCAGCCTCGAGTATATCCACCTCCAAAGTCAATAATCCATAAATCATCCTTGAAGTCAACCAGAACATTCGCCGGCTTCGCATCACCCCAGATAATCCCGGCATTATGTAAACGGTTCAGTGTGGTTGTCAGTTGGTTCGCCCACCTCTGCCTTTGAGCTCTTGGCGTGCTAGGCCGCAGGGCGCATTCTAATGTTATGCGACGACAGTCAACCCAAGAGAGCAACAGCCCCAAACACCGCGAGTTATCCTGAACAACGCCACACAAGGTAGGAACCTGCACCATCATACTGCGTTGCAAGTCCCCTATACGCTTGTAGCATTCGAGCTCACGGAGAGCACTCCTCTCTCCAGCGCCAAATAGCTTAAAGAAGCAAGTCCTCCCGTCCACGAGCACCTTCTCGGGGAGCTCGACGAGGGCACCCTCAGAGTTAGGATTATTGGGACAAATTTGTACTTGTACCGGCTGATATGAGTGGTACACTGAGCTGAGTTCATAGCCATGCAGATCAACTCCATGTGGTCTTTGTGATAAAGCTGGTTCGTCTGGGCAGGGGACGAGGGTATTATTGATTGCTAGAAGTGAATAGTAAAATATCTCTAGATTAAGATAGTCGTAGAGGGTATAACGCTGTCGTTTATCCGCACTTAGTTCGGCATCTCGAAATATTGGAAGGAAAGGCTCTATCGCCCAGTCTTGAAAATCGTCGATAGTCAGGCCGTCGACACTATCTTCCGCTTCCGCTACTTCAGCAAATCGAAGATATTGTTTTAAAATGGCGGGACAGCCACGGAGCTTATCAGGCAGCATAACGATGTAATAACACCTTCCGCTGCATCTCACAGTCATTTTAGATTCTTTTTTGAGGGTGTCAAACCAGAATTCTGTAATGGAGAATCGCGGCAACGAATTCATGATCGAATATATAGCAAAAAATATTAATGTTAGGGCGGATATAATGTTTTTATCTTTATGATAGAATTGGCAGACTGGAATGTACTGTTCTACTTATACTTAATAACTTGGTTGAGTACCTATCGTGTGACTGACTCACCTTGGATGGGCGATGCGACTAGTCGCGTTGGCATGTCGGGACACGTTAAGTAGCCCGACGTTCGAATCGTAAAGGAAATGCCGGCCGTCCATTCTATAAATGTGTGCCTTGCGGTAAATTTATCAGCTTCGATGACGAGCGCGGTAATCATCTGGTCAACCCCAAGTGTTACTGTGATGTACCAGGGAGGATGCAGATGGCGGGTCTGGAAAAAGATGTGCCCAGGGGCCTATGTCTGTAGACGAGATTAACACTAATGCTGTGAAGACCCTATAGAAAGACCACGGAATTAGTCGACTGATATTTACTGTAAAGTACACGTATAGCCTTTGCGTTGCGATGTGTAGACGCGATCAGCCCATCTGACGGAATTTCATCTCAAATGTACGGATACGATGCTCATGACTGAAGAACATCGTACTGTAGCCACATGGCTAGTAATGCTATAGCTAAAAGTTGAAGAAGAGATCAGTAGTACTCTGTACGTACAACGACTATATGCTGGGGAAAGATGGAGTACAATGTTCTCTTATCTAGGGTAGAATCTTTCTGGTGGCCTCGATATCCGTGTGCTTCTTCGTAGTGAAATGTTGCTAGAGGAAGACGAGGTACTGTCCTCCACCAACCGCCTACTGGCTTTGGACTTGAATATTCTAGATCTACGCGTGCGGTAGCGAGATTGCAGACAGCGATCATCGCATAATTTCGATGATTCAGATGCAGGGCTATGTCGAGGCCTACCGCCGCCCTCGTTATGCTTCATTCTTGAATTAACGGGACTTGCGTCTTGTGGCTGGCTCGCCGCCTCATCGGTGCCGTCAGCTTTATTGGTTCCTTCCGAGGATTGACGATGCTTCGCTATCTTGCGTCGTGCCTGTGTCTGTCTCTGGCGCCGCTTGCTCACATTTTGCTGCTGGGGTTGGCCTGCAACCTGTGCTGTTCGTTGCGACCTCGTCATCGGACGAGTGCTTGTTGAAGGAACGGTTATAAGGTCTGTCCGCAAAGCGTTACGCTCTCTGCTTCTGAATCTGCAGTATAGGGTCCGCAGAGTCCTGAGCCCTTCTTCAAGCCGACCACGTCTTCTAATGTACCCCGTGCTCCTGACCTGCCAGTATTCTTTCTGTTGTTTCGTGTAATCGCCTTCCTCGAGAGGTGTCAAGTGGACAATCTCGCCATACTCGCCACGCTCCTCCAGCAGGCGTATCGTGGCTTTCTCTTCCGCCAGCCGTTTCGCAAGCGCTAGCCGCTGTTCGGGCGTCCGCGTCCATGTTACGACGGCGGGGCCCTCCAGGGATTCAGCATTAAACCAGGTCATCGTTGCCCTAAATTCATCGAGGATTTGGGTAATCCGGCTTCGAAAATCCTCTCCAAAATGGCTGAGGACTTTTAAATCTTGATCTAGTATGTTCGGGGTCACCGAGTATTCGGAAAGCTTTGCGATTTGGGTCTCGCACTCGGTGATAACTTGGCGGAGCTCCCCCCTTTCCCGCTCCATCCGCTCCTTTTCTTCGTTTAACTCCCAGTTTGGGCTCCTTTCCCAGGGCGGTGTAGCGGGCTGACTGGTGCCAGCGGTCGACGGTTCCTTTATGGGCTTGGGTACCGGATGAGGATCCTCCAGCAGTCTCGCATTGACATGACCTAGTAGCGGCGGGAGAGAGTACGCGGTTCCAGAGATAAAAGACATGGAGGTATACTGAGAGGATTTGTGGCCTTATCCTGCCGCAGGGCGTGTGCCTCGTTAGAAGGAAGAAAATTCTAGGCTCCCCAAGTTATTTGGCGGATTTAACAAGTTGGCGTAAATTGTTGGAACATATATGTTCCGTGTCTTTGGGTACGGCTCGCCCATCTAATGGATGATCTCTTGTTGTCTGGCGGTTCTGAAATCAATCCTTGCATGCTCAGCGAAGCACGGCAGCCTATCATCTACAACCCACATGACGGAGATGAAGCAGCCTTGCAATAACACCTCGCCAGGGTTCTGGCGGTAATTATCCTTTAAAGAGGTCAAGATGACGGACATTCCCTCATCCAGATTGAACAGGAGAAGTTCGATATGCCTAAGCTCGACCTCACACAGACAGCGCTTATTATACAGGCCGCTAATGGCGCCGCGAAGGAGGCGCTGCGACTGCGACAGAACGAGCCCTACCATATTTACTCCGATATAAACATCACTGTTGGTGGCGAGCCTGTTGACATCGACCCTGAGAGCCGCGAATGTACGCCCGCCGTGCCCTCTGCGGAGTCTGAGCTCCACTTACGATTCGACAGCGAGATGAAAGACCCTTCCAAGGGCTGGACCTTTGGTATCAACAGTGCACAACAAAAGATGTGTGATATCTTACTAGGGGCCCGTGGTGACGTCCGGCGCAGCGGCAAGAAGATTAGCGCCAAACATTTCCGGATCTACTTCAATTTTCAGTCGGGGATCCTTGTGCTTCAAAACGAATCCCAACATGGTACCTCCTTACATATCAAAGGTGAAAATCTGGGTGAAATACGGCTTAAAGGTCGCGTGGGCCAGTCTCTCGACCCTACAAAGGTAACCGAAGTGACCGTGGCCGACCTCAACCTCCTGCTGTATCATCCAACTCTGAGTGATGTGCAGAAACTCCAGCACCAGGAAAACTGGCAAGCGTTTGCTGCAAGATGCAAATCCGCAATCCCTGGGCTCAGCCAGCTCGCCCTATCCTCTTCAGCAAGCACTAGACCACCGTCCCAGCGAGCAGGGCTGCGTAACGGATACTCTATGTATGACGAGATTGGTCGAGGGGAATTTGGGGTAGTTCGACGAGCTATTCAGTATCGCAGTGGGGCAGTGTATGCCGCAAAGGAGTTCTTCAGAGTTAAGAGTAAACAGGAGGCCCAAAACTTCTCGGAAATTGCTACACTTCAGCGCCTTTCGCATGTAAGTGCTCCATTGGTTCTAACAAAATACAGGGACGTATGAGCTTTCTATTGACAGTTTATAGCCGCATATTGTTGAATTTGTGGATGTGATTGTAGATCAAGCCGGCGTTGCGCTGATCATGGATTTTATGCCACTGGGTAACCTTAGAGATCAACATCGGCGCAAAAGGCTTTCCCGAAATGAGTTGAAAATTACCATCCAGCAGGTTCTAGCAGCGATTGCGTATCTTCATGGCATAAAGCTCGTCCATCGAGATATAAAACCGGAGAACATACTCCTAAAGGAGTGGGATCCCCCTATTGTTAAAATATCTGATTTCGGCCTAGCCACAAGAGATGGCTTTCTGACTACGGAATGCGGTACGAGAAAGTATGCGGCACCAGAGGTTTACATTAGCCAATACGATAAGAGCGTCGACATTTGGTCGACTGGTATAACCGCCTTGAGCATCGCACAGGGGCTTCCTGATGAGGAGGATGGGTTCGTTTATGGGGACTGGGCCGCAGAGGTCCAAAAAATAGTGGCTGCAGCACATAAAGAAAGAGGGGATCCCTTTCTTGAGTTATTGCGAGAGATGCTCCATATCAATCCCAAAGCCCGTCCGTCGGCAGAAGCTTGCGTATCTGACCCCCGCCTCGCGCTATCTCTGGGAGACAGCCAGTTTGAATTTGACCAACGGAATCATGACGCGTGGGAAGATTTGCCGACTGTAATGTTTAGTCCGACCAGTGTCATTCGTGACATACGAGGTAGCGAAGCGCCTACTAACCAAAGAAGATTCCGAAACAATGCCCGACCAGAGCAAGAGGCCGTGGTAGACACAACTGCAGATGCAACCGCAAAGGTAATACAGGGTGAATTCGTACCGAGCACCCTTGATGAACAATTATTTGCCCAGCTCCCGCCGGTGGTTCCTCTGGACTACACCATCCCCGAAGATATTTGTATTTGGAGTCGGAATTGTCAATTATCTGGTGTGCCCATTGCGAATGAAGCATTGTGTGAACCTCCAGAGGTTTGTCTTGTTATCCACATGTTGTCTAGAAGCGGTGCCGCTAACCTATATGGCTAGGCACTTCTTTTAGCACCTAATCATCCTCCACAACAGCATGACGGAAAAGTTCTTGGAAAGAGAACCCGTGGACAAGATTCTACAATCCACAAAGCATCCCCAACTAGCAATGAAGAACTTGGCATGATACAGCTTGAAATGTGGGTTAATCGTGATCGTAGCAAGGATCCGCCAAGGGCAATAAATTTAACCAAAATATGCTGGGCCCTTCACTTTTCAAGGGATATCATGAGGGCCTATTTAAAGAAAGGACGCTGTATATCTTATGTTATGAAGAGTGGCCGGGGTAGTGTGAAACAAGGGACCTACGTTAGCCTGCCCTCTGCTATCGCATTCATTGAGAAGTACCGGCCTGATTTGAAGGAGCTTCTGGATAATCTTAAGCGCATTAATGATGCTATAGATTAAAGATGTTGTACATAGGCTAAACCTTATTATATATATAACGAAAGAAATAATTTATAATTAATAACTTAGGGGTGAATCCGATATTGCAAGTTACTGTATATACTAACAGGAGGTGAAACTAGAGGGGTAAGTTGTAACTATATAGAGTGTGTCCCAATAAAGTTAGATTTCGGTGGATATAGGCAAATGACCCATAGGAATATAGATAGAAACAGCATAGGTAAACAGAAAGAGGTAGACATGTGAATATAAATTGAGTAGAATAACGTAAAACACACATAGTACCATCATGACATACAGCTCCCATCCCTGAGTAATGATATCTAGGGGGCCAGAATTGCAACCCTACTAGGCGGACAATAACCAGGATAACCACAGGCATGCTAGAAGTAGCCCCAATCTACTTAAGTTGATGAACAAGATGCTTAACTCCAAGCACGGTTCCGTTTTTTTGTCTAGTTCAAAGGCTGTGTAATGCTTTCGCTGGTCGGCGTCACTGGTGTGTTCGGATTCTCTATATTATCAATTAGGCAAGCATCCAACGCAGATTCACCCATGTCTCGACCACGGATCTTGTCGACCTTCTTTCATGCCGACAAGGCGCCTCGAAGCTGTATACTTACTCCAAACCTCTACAGCCATCGAACTGACAGGCAACAAACCCGCTTCACAAGTACGCCGTCTTCTCCAGCCACCAGCATGGCAAGACAATCCCCCCTGGCACAGAATTGATAGGCCAATCTGGTCGTTGCTATGCTATTGAACGAGTCCTCCAGGCCAAAGAGAATTCGCCTTTTCATGTTTATCTCGCTAAGTGTGTACATTTCGTGAAGCTAACCCTTGTTTGTTTGATAGGTCTGAAAAGGAGGATTTTGTCCTTAAAAATGTCCCTGATTTCGAGTATCTTCAGAAAGTCTATCAAAGAATAGATGGCTGTCCTCATCTCCGCCTACCACAAGATTCAATGGCCGAGCGCTCGATGTTTGTTGTGTACTTCGTTAATATGAATTAGTGCATATACGCCGTCCACAGGCGTCTTATCTTTTCAGTTGACGAGAGTGAACTTGGTGATGGAGAGGAGATATTAGCCCACGTTATTGAACGGCAGATATCATACTTTGCAGATGCAGATAGTATCCAGGAGTTTCTAGAGCTGATCAGAGAGAGTCCCAGGGCTGAGGTATTTAAGATAACCCGTGATGGTTTCAATAAGGAGAACCCTCGAAAGCCATTTGCTCTGTGGGAAGGCGTGGATCCAGTGTTCAAGGACCTAATATGCCGAATGACACATTTCAACCCAAGGAAGAGAATAACCGCGCGTGGGGCACTAGAACACGAGTGGTTCAAGGGAATATAGACGATCTCTTCTGGTGGGAACCGCTGCCGCTGCCTCCACCAGCAACGTTAGCTCTCCATGCACTTCTTAACATCGACTGAGGCGATGGCTTTCTCGAGACACCCAGCCTTAATAAGACGGGGGTAGGTTGAAACGTACGGAAGCTCGGGACTGAGAGCCATTGCCGTGATGACAATATATTAGTAAATAAATAAAACAGGCCCTTTAAATAGAATAAAGCATTAAATTCTATATATTTATTCTTTAATATGTGGGGAAAAAGTGTAGAAGCACAACATCACAGATACAGCATTAAATTTCTCCAATATCTGGCGTAGTGTGAAACGTATCAAGATACATATAACTGGCAATGAAAGCTGGTGATCGTCTGGCGAGAATGCTGGATATATAGCTATAGCATACAGTAAATAAGTTAGGTGACGACAGGGTTGGGCTCAGCCATGCCCACACGCCGCTTCGTCAAGTCCTTACCACCACGCTCACGAGAATACTGTGTTGGGTGTTAAGATGGAAACACTATACTCATTACTTCCTGATACCATCCTTGAAGCATTGCTGGCGAAGTTGGAGATGCTACAATTCCGGTACACGGTTTGGAAGGGACTGGAATAAGAGTACCTAGCCTTCTGCACGTCCGAAATGAGCCTTTGAGCACCATTTTGTTCTAGGGCGCCGTGTAGATATGTGAGTCCTCCATGGTGGCCACACGAGGGCTAACTAGGTAACTTGTATGGTTGATGGCACGAGATTAGGCAGCATCCGTCATATCTGAAGTAATGGGCGCTAAGAAGTGTAGGAGTGTATCGAACTGTCCGAACTGTCCGAACTTTGTCCAGAATGCATGCAGGTCCAATAGCGCCTGATCTTCCTCGGAGAGCTCTGCCTCTTGATCATCCATCATCCCCATCGTTCCAGCTCGAGGACAAATAGATTCTTGTACCAGCAGCAAACCCGTCGTGCCCGGGTCAGATCGGGTCTAGTGGAGGTCCGCCGCATAGCATCCGTACTAGTCGTTATTGTACTTCATCTCAATGGCCGTTTGTAATGGCCCCTACGCCTCTAAGCATCCTGAACGAACGTTGTCTCCAAACGGATCGGAAGGAGTTGAAAAAAAAAAGAAAAAAAGATCTGCGAAGACAAGGATGTTGATTAGCTAGTTTCGTTTTGAGAGTGTTGAAGTTGTTCTGGTATTCCATAAAAAGTTATCATTTTGATTATGAGAGATCCCGGCATTTATACACATAACCCCTGCTATTAATATCACAGAGTGATGTGAATAGCAGGGGGTTTGACTGGATCTTCAAGGCTCTGGTGGTAGATAGAATCAGGCAACAAGACCTATCCAGCACCATCCATGGCCCAGATCAGGCAACTATGCAAGGCTGGCGTATTCCTTGGAATAAGCGAGCATCCAAGGGGTAAGTCTCGCAAGGCTATAAAGATGTCGGTGCATCTCTATTTATTTTCCAAATGTTTTTCCTTCCTATGATCAAACCCCATTTATTTTCCAAATGTTTTTCCTTCCTATGATCAAACCCCAAAGACACCACCACCCTGGAACAATATACCCATTTTTGGAGTAAGGAATTATATGTTCATTCCACGAACATCACCAGACACAATGCTGATATAGACTTCCTATAGAGACGTGAAGCAAGATGGCCCCATCATTATCTGAGGAGATCAATATCGAACTTCAAGCAAAGAATGCGGAATTAATGCAGCTTCGAGACCAAGCTACTAAGCTTCAAATGTTTATAAATACCCTCCGGCACCGCGCCGCAGAATTGGCGTTACTTTCCTCCAGTGCTCAGAAATCACGGGACAATCGCAACCGTGGACAGGTAATGAGTGTTGAGGAAGAGATAGAGCAGCATGAGACGGACTTGCAGGAGGTCCAAAACAGGATCGAGGGTTTGCAGCAGGCGATTGATCTGCTGTCATAAAAGTAAGAAGTGTATGAAACCAGAATGTGATTTTCACACTTCATCTTCGGCGTTTAGCTATGATACAACAGACGAGGACACTGACACTAAACAGAGAGCAGGGCAGCCAATGAGCGAAGGAGCCGGCAATTCTTTCAATGTTGGAAATCCCCCATACTCGGCGTATAGTGACATTTGTTGGCGGGATATCCAGGTCTTTTGGTTTGGCTGGCTCGGCCGTCGAGGCACTGGTTGATTTAGTTGGCTCTAATCCTGCTAGGGCTAACTCTTTCCTGAAAGCCTCGAGGTTAGATAGCACTTTCCGCACATCCCCTACTTGAAGATTCCGCAGCTGGAGTTGAAAAAATTTCTCCACTCTCTTATCACTGTCTTCTCCACAGTATCTCTTGTCCAAATAATTCCAGTAAACATTACCAAGATAGCATGGCTTTAGGAGCGCGTAGGCGACGTACATTCTATCTGACGTCAGATGCTTGTTCCAGAGCATAGTCAGAGGGAGGAAAACTTCCGGTTTCTTGTCCGGATTATAATGTTTGTTTTCCCGTTTACTCGCAGTTAGCCCGAACAGGAAAACATCTGTTGTAAAAAAGAAGCTGTGTGGCCGTTTAGTGGCGGTCGGAAGCTCGTGTCCTGTAATCCAGGAAGGGGGGAGGAACATTTGTGGCGGAACAGTGTGGCTCCACTCCCAGTCAATGACTGAGATAATGTTCAGATTGTCGTCCACGAAAATATTAGGAGGCCGAAGGTCACCATGCATGAGAATGAATGGTCCGTGGTTGCTCTTTTGATCAACCCATTCCATCACAATGCCCTGAGATGCAAATATGCCGTACAGATAGCACCGTGCATCTTCCTCGCTGGAAACACTATCTTTTCCCAGGTAGAAGTCATTAAAAACCAATTTCAAGATAGCGTAGGCATAGTCAATGGTGGAGCAATAGGTCTGGTGAGGGGGAATGATCTTGGAACTCTTCATCCCGCTGAGTTCCTGGTCATTCAGCTCAATAGATAGTGGGCGGTTATGTTCAAATACCCATTTCTCATCATTACTATCGAGCGTGAGCGCGCCGACGTGATTGAATTGTTGGCCATGAAGCTGGATGTAGATATCGGCAAGCTGGTCAAACAGATGTAAACGAAGCTCTTCCGCCAGGTCCGGCACCATCGTTCCATGGAGAGTTTTGCCCGCAATGTATTCCATCGCCAGAAAGGGAAAACCAAGTAGGCTATCTTGCTTGATAGAGTATCCAAATATGCGTGGGATAGGAATGGTAGTTTTCTCCGCGATATACCTGCAGCGTAGGGTAGCACTGTTGTTAGAGAGTATCAAACAGAGCAAGACTACCCGGGGGCTTCTCACTTCATCGTTGCAATCTCACCTCGCATCTTCTCCTCAGGAAACGCGAGTCGTGGAAGCAGGGGGATTCGGATAACCCATCGTTCAGGACTACGAGCCGACTCGACACTGGGAGTATGGTCTGTAAACTCAACCGGAAAGGTGATATTAAAGCTCCCTTTCTTTGGGTCTGAGAAGATCTGGCATGGCTTCTTCTCAGGATGCAAGGAGGAAGCTAACTTGCAGACCAACGATTGCTCAATTGAGTCAATGAACTTGTCGACTTCCTTTTGGAGCAGATGATGGGTGAGTTGATCCATTGTGCCAAAAAGAAATTGAGATTTCTGACACTGAATAAACCATTCGATCTCCCGGAGCAACAGAAGTTGTTTGCCAAAGTCGCGTTTTATCTTTTTATAAGGAAACGTTAAATGTGATACTTAGTCATATGTTTAGTCAGCACACATTACTAGGTGTTAGGCTCGCGGGTGTTTGAGGCGTTTGATAGGCGCTCGCTATGCTTATATCGCTTAAGCTGCTGTTACATAAGCGTTATCGATAAGTCAATTCGTCAAGTTGCGCAATTAGTCAGCACCCACCATTAAATTGGAGTTATGTATGCACAATCATTGTTTATGCAGATCCACCTCAAACGTTAAATTTTCTGAGCCGCAATGTAGTTGATATCCAGCTCATGAACGCAGAGCGTTGGACATGTACCCGTGCAATCTAGTGGGAAACAGTATCTTCTGCATAGAGAAACCCAATTTTAATTAAAATGGCATCTCCGCTCCGACATAAAAATGGAGCAAGATGCCCCTAGATCCTGCGGAAAAGACAGGAGGAATATCCAGTTCCAGGAAAGAGATCACCCAACATGTAGTCGAACTTGAATATATTCCTCCCTGATTGTCTTTAAACTACTCGAATAAAGCCTGCTAATTATCTTAGAAGTAAGGATTTACCCCTATGCAATCCACATCCAGGTTGCTGTTAGACGAATCACTTAATACCCCCACCCCGATTTCTCGACGCATGCTATCCGAAGGTCTATCTGATGATTGATTTGACGGCGAGTTCTAGCTGGAACAAGGCTTTTCCCGCTACATCGTCCTATTACGCTTATTAGTACAATACACTGAATTCACTTGTCTTAATATACCGCAGACTCCACTCCTTTCCCTACGTTGAGTTAGTCACACGAGAAAGGAGGTAGGTAGACAGGCTAAAACTTACTCCGTAGTAGTAACATGAGGAGGGCACTGTTGTGTTGTCTTCTGGTATCTGGTGCACCATGCTTTAATAGTGCATTTCGCATGCTTGCATTCAAAAACTAGTATTTTGTAGTCACACATCTTTGAAATAATATTAACAAAATCATAGCAGCATCCTCGGTATGCTAATCACAGTATATATATAAATATACTTATTCAGTAATCCTTCTGAGTGAGCTACGTAGAATTATCCATGCGCTCACTTTTACAAATTGCAAATACCCATTAGCGGCCACTGCTGCTCTTTAGAACATCTCGCATTAAACTCTAGTTTGCATTCTCGCGTCTCAATAATTAGATGGAAGAAAAGTAATGTCAATATTCGTTATTTCAATATGGCCCGCTCCTGCTGCTCCCACTGCAGCTGTCCAAAGTATGTACCCTGTCTGTTTAAATATACTAATGTGATTTAATCTACCTGGATATGCATCACATTTTACTCCCAATGATGTTTGTAGCATCTTCTGCATTAGTTTCACCGCATATGCTGCAGCCTTCAGCTTCTCTTTTTGGATATTAAATACCCTTACCAACCCAACGTGTTCGCTAAGATGGGTCTTATAATGTTCGAGGGATTTGTATTCATCTTGCGTGTAGCTTTTATGGGTATGGGAAAAGGTATCTAAAGTCTGTAGAAGTAAAGAATGCATACTTGTACATTTGATAGGTGATACAGTGTTTATAGGTGTCAGTTATTTAGATAGTCGAAACCATGCTCTCCAATGATCGCCTAAGCCTCTGCGTTTAACATCTACGTGGACTAGCTGACGGAACCTGCTGCATTGAGCGTAACCATGCGAGGTGTTGGGGTAAAAAAGTGCTAGGCAGGTTGCTATTTGGGGACAGTCGAGAAATACCCCTATTCATATAGAAATTGCTAGCTCGCGGCAGACTGCATACCTCCACAGGCACGAGAAGAACCACAGAATCCTTATTGCGTAGACCCTGTAAAAGACCGGGGTGAGATGAGAAAAGAATGACTACGACTTGCTTTGCTAGACCATCGGAAACGTAGTAACCTTGACAGCCCATGATCTTGCAAAGACGCCCAGGTACATTGTTAATAATGGAGAAAGAATTCGAACGATTCGTCGGAGGTTACCTAGGTATATGTGTAAATGAGATTTAGAGGTTGAGGTGAACATATATTGAAGGCAAAATATCAACGAAAATATTAAAATACAAGGAGTAACTAGAGGCTAGTGAGTTTACTGATTTTTCCCAGCTCGCACTTGTAACTGGGATTCCAGTTAATAACCGCCGCTTTCAACCCGTGGTCCCTACATATTTTTTCAATGGAATGGGTCTGCCTCTCTCCCAAAGCCTCGAAGGTGAAAGTCGCTTTGCGTAAACCAGGTGGATAAGGGCGAAAACACTCTACAACCACTGGAGTTACTTTTGACTCCATCAGCCCGGGTGTATTTGGGCAAGTAATATCTACATCTCATTAGTCTTCTAAAAGGAAAACTCGGCTAGGTACGGAATACGCACTGACATCAGCTCCTAGGGGAAGAGGGTACGACCACTCGCAAAGAGGATAAATAATCCACCGAAGGCCCCTTAGTTTGCTAGGCTTATTGGAATTTTGAGTATGTCGGCTCGGCGGTGCTGATAGATACTGCGGATCTTCGAAAGAAGTACGGGGTGCGTCTTCAGTCTGCATGCTATTGTTACCCCGAAAGTAGTCATCCCAGCATGTTACCGACGTCTTAGGCATATATGGTCTTGTAAGAAAGCCCTCATCCGAGGCAACGACCGGGATCTCTTTTAGCATCGGCTGTTGGGAAGTAGGGAAACAGCAGAGAAACAGCATGTTTTCGAATTTCCGAGGACCATCACATCAGGCAAAATTAGAAATGATTCGCATATCGGACAGAAAGACGTCTAAGCTCCAAGGGACGATGAGCTTTCTTATAGACAGCCTTCTCTGAAAACACGGGGTATGGCCTTTTCGCTTCTGAGCTCAAGTAACATCGCAATTACCAAGTATGTTGTTCTAAGGAACGGAAATAGGCTTGGGTATGAACTTCTCTTAGTTTAGGGTTAATTACGGGTCAATATAAAATATTAAGTTTGGGGACTCTGCGGTACCTTAACTTAATAATGGGTGGTGCAAGAGAAGGCCAAGACAAAGATGGCCTTTTTCTCACAAAAGGCCATCTTTGTCTTGGCAGCTTGTTGCTCTGTCTGTTTCCTTTCCATCTCCACCATAACTTCCACCGACTCAACCATCCACCATCAATGGCCGATGAATCTCTGAGACTCCTGCGTCGTCTTGTACAGTATGTACAAGATGACAACTTAAAGCAACAGCTCAAAACATCTCTCAGCTCACTCTCTAAGAAGGAGATATCTGCGCTCAAGAAAGTCTTGACGGTGAAGTCAGCAAAAGGGGATTCCGCTGGAAAGACAATCAACAAAGTTACAGACATTACCAAACTTCAGCTTGCGCCTAGCTTGGAGAGAAGCCTACCGTTATGGAGGAGAGATAACACCTCATATTTTCTCGAAACCACTGCTGAGTCTTGTTCTTATGAAACTGCGGGAGCAGTATTCAACAAACTTCAGCAAAACAAGGAGAATAAAGATACCCAGACGATTAAACGACGATTTGACTTAAGAAGCTTGTATAAGTTTGCGGTTTCTCGCCACTACCACTCTGGGAAGCGCTGGCGGGAAGGGGGGAGTCGGAGCCTCGCGTCAGATATCTGCAAAGATGTACCCAATAATGATGTTGATGCCGTTGAGAAGGAACTTCAGCACCTTATTCATCTGGGGCGAGGATTTGAAGCTTGGGTAAAGCAGCTAGGAGGGCCAGGCTATCTATTATTATTGCCTTTGGAAATCTGCGAGACTAAGTATGTCATCATGCTTCAAGGAATTTCAACGTTTGCGTTACTGAACATTCAAAGATATGCAAAAAGACATAACCGAAATGGGATTACAAAGGATGCAGACCACCTTAAAAAAATTGGTATTCAAGCTATAGCAGAGGAGCAGGGTGTTTTGCCTCTTGGCCGGTATATTGCGGATCAAACTTTGAAGCATGCGAAGGAACAACCACAAATGGGCAATAAACTGGGTGCGGTCAATAGTGCGAAGATAATTTCTAAAATGGAGTACTAATGACATTGCTATCAGATGAGAGTAATCAAACCTTTTCCGTACGTTGTGTTGGTTCAGACGTCAGGAATCAGGGTAAGTGTGTTCTGTGCCGAAAAGTGAGTGAAATAGCTAAGCAGCTAACAGACACAGGGGTCTCTCTCTCGTCAGCATCACAGCCATCTCCAGCTTGGAATCAACGGAAGCGCCGCCGTCGAAATGCTCCATCGATAAGCCAAGCGAGTGGTCTACCTAGTCAAACTGCTGGGCCTGGCTGTTGCAATACAAATCCTGCTGTTATTTTGCCGGAAGAGGTATCGACCAGACATGGAATGGAGAGTCAAGACGATCCTGGGGCAGAATCGCCTCAGCAACCTCCACGGGGTATGTATTAGCGGTAACTCAAGGAGATTTGCTCCCGCTGATAGGTGATACAGGTGATAACTTACTCGACAACGACATTTCGAATAGAGTTGATTTGACTTTACCGGCTTGTATCCCGCGGCGTCAACGTAACGGTAAAACTTTTACTGGTGGCATTATTTTATACCTTTGTTAATGAGTAGGTAATAGATGCACACTCGCTCGGCGACGAAACCAGCTGTCCGAGTGTGGTACCAACCCCTTACACTAACGGGCCTGGCGATGATGGATATCAGGGATTTCCACAGTCACTCTTGGACGAAAGCGGAACGGATGGTAAGTTAGGCTAGTATACTTTGCCACAGAATATAGCTCAACGAACAAACGCTTACTCATATATAGGGCTGCATAATAGACCATCGTGTTCACAATTACCTTCCTTAATGTCGAGTATGGATATCCAAAAGCTAGATAAAACTCCTGCTAACTTATGTTCAGTTTCTGAGGGTCAAACAGCTACACATACCAACGAAATTTATCCAGCGAATAATAACGCTATGCAAATAAATACCATGGACGCGGCTGACGAGTTTAATTTCGATGACCTTCCAAATCCCTTGACTCCTCCAACCTTTGGCGGACCCGAAAGCAACCGACAGCGTTTCTCGAACCATGGCTTACCAGATGATATCTGGCAAAATATTCCGGACACCAGCTTTAATTTTATTGCGGGATATGACTGGAATAACCTCCCAAACCCATTGAATACTGCAGCTGGCTGCGAATCACTGCCCTTCAATTGGGATGATCTCCCTAACCCTCTTGACAACGATATTATATGATATCCAATGCGTTTTGAACTACCCCAAGAGCGATTAGCATATAAAGTATTTTAAACTCCCATTCAGATTCGTGTATTCAATCATGTATTTAATAATAACAGAATAGCCAAACCTCCCCCGCCTCCTGGAAATGTTATGGATTCACCGCCACTGAAGATGACATCTTCGCCGCTATCCATCTCAATTTCTTCACCCAAAAAGAGGCCGTTCTCGTGCGTAAGTCTCCCCAAAGCGATAACAACAGCCAGCCCCTTTTTGTCGGGTGCGATGCCCCTTAATGTTCCCGCACGTGGCATTGGGTTAATGACGATGGGACACCACGCGGACAAATAGCCTTGTGGTAGAGCTGTAGCTTTCTTTTCTGGCTTTATTCCGGCTCTTTCAATGTTCGATCGGTTCTTGAGGAGACGTTAATATTGATCGACCGCCATAGAGCAACTGCCATACCGCCATCCAAGCTTTGATAACATTCTCTGCCGCAGCTATCTTCTCTAAAGGCCGGAAAGGAAAGTAGGTCCCGGATGTCTCTGGTCGATTTGGAGGCTCAGTAGTCAGAGGGCGTAGGGCGTCCGCTGCGAAATCCGCAAGAGCCGTATCGATAGCCTTACTTATATCCCATTGTCGCGTCGCCGTGACAATCTCCTCTGTCAAGGCATGAGACTCCACTGATTGCTGAATGCCTTTATCTTCTGTTGTCATCGTACGAGAATGCTCCGCCACAGGTCTGGCGCAAAGCGCAAAATCATTCCGCGAGAATTCTTCTTCATGAGGTGGGGTTGGACGGTCAATTCGATATCAGCTCAGCGGGGGGAACAAGTTCTATCTACATCACGTGCTAATTGATAACCCTACAATGTACGTAGTTGATTACATAATCAGACGAGCTCATTAGTAAGGAATATTCACGTGACTCAGTCCGTCCACCTTCCATCCATCGCTTCCCCTGTCACATCTTGACATCAATTCGACACATCCTCCTCCGCAAGTGGCCTTGTGGTTAACATCGCAGCAAGGTTGCGGTCTCCACCAGCTTGACGCATCAGTTCCTCTGTGATATCGGGGTTGTTGATGGGAGGACGGCCGGGGGGCGGTCTCTTCATCGGTTCAGTCATGCCATAGTCTGTCTCCTCCCGCCAGCGCTTCGCCAGCCGGCGTCGTCCCTCACGCGTTCTCGTCGCCGGATCATCCTGGTGCGCGGGGGTCTCATAAAGGTGGAGCATGAAATTGGACTTCAAGACCCAGGCCCGATAGTATCTGGGGCAACTGGGTAGCTTGCAGTACCAGGCCCAGCGACGATCATGCGGGAGGGTTGAGTTCTCTGCCTCGGTATCGCTGTCAGGTCCACAGGTGTACTCTGCGGCCAACTGGGCCTGGGTGCAGGAGGCGAGAAAGCTGTGCTTTTCATTGTTATCGCCGCCGCTGCGCCTTTCGTCAACATTAAGTGGCTGGCCCATTATTAGTTATCCAAATCTTGTTGGGCCGACGATTCAACTTCCGGCATGTAATTCTCTGAGAGAGGATTTGAACGATTCAAATTATACAAGATATAGATGTCACGAAGGAAGAACGATAAAATGAAATCGCCTGGTCTCTCTCCATCTTCCCCGTCCAAGAAAGGCGGGAGGGGCCATCAGGCTCTTTAAACCTCTAGTATTTCATCCCCAACCAGCTTCATGCGCGAGGCTGTCCCATGACAACCCCGTCTCACGGAAGTTGAACAAAGAAATTCGTGAGGACATGCATGATACCTCTTCAGCAAGGGTGATTCACATAAGGACGGTCCAGTAGACGTCGAATATTTGAGAGCGGGAGTGCCACAGCATAGTCATATATATGATTATCATAGGAACTACAACGACCTAGACTCTCCTATACTGGCTGTTTCATGCATCCTTCTCATGCTTGAGCTTAACCCCTTCTTGCCTATGCGTGTAGGATGTATCTCTTCTAGGTGCCTGTTCTTCTTACGACAATGTCGGATGTCAATGTTGCCTTTTGCTATATGCAGATATCTCATAACGCCGTAGGAGCACCTGCTGACGGAAGTGTGATCTCATCGCTATTCTTGGAGAGGAAAACGATAGATATAACAATGAGCATAAGAGAGCCTTGTTCCCTGCCAATAAGCGCAGAGATTAATCAACCATATCTGGTTATCTCATCATTCTCTATAATTGGCTTGGAGCTCGTCTTTAACTAAAGCCATAATTGGGCGTCAGTAAGACAAAAAAATGACCCTACAGCATGTATTGCCAAGTCGCTGCTGCTAGAATCCGCCGCTCAATCTTTACAGTCAACTCGTTTTTAAGGGCGTTAGAACTCCCGCAAATTTCAAGTCCCTCACAAGTCGGATGTCATCTCCGGTCCTTGATCTTGATGGCAGATCTATTCCTCAGGAGCAAATCCTTGGTTATGGCAGGTCTGGACTGGTGATTCGTGTCGAGGACACCGCACTCAAAATACCTTTACGATACATCAGGAGCAGCGACGACGACGTTGAGATAAATACTGAAGTTATCCAACGGGAACAGGAGGTCTATCGACGCTTGGGACGATGTGAAGGCGTTGTGGCCTGCCTCAAGGTCTCGGAAAAATCTACTCAGCTTGCTCTAATGGAAAATGGGGACCTCCGCTCCTATATCGCCAAAAACCGGCCGTCGAGTCTGCTTCAGCTCTCCTGGTTCCGTGAAGCTGCTCGTACCCTTTCACGTATACATGATCGTCGCGTCATTGTTGCCGATATCTCTAGTCGAAACTTCCTCCTCGATTCCGACCTTTCTGTCAAAATCTGCGACTTTACCGAGTCGTCCATACTACCGTTATCAGCGAATATGGAAACTGTCGATGACAACGGGTATTCGATCCAGACCGATATTGGCCAACTCGGAGCCGTGATGTACGAAGTCATAACTGGAGAACGGTGTGAGTTCGATCTCTTTGGGGGCGAGGCCTTGGATGGCCGCGCTACCTGGCCACGGAGGGAAGCCCTCCCCAGTACCCAGAATGTCTGGCTTGGTTCAATCATCACGAGATGCTGGACAGAAGGCGGGCTTCGGAACGCACACTGTTTATCGGAGGCTTTGGAGTCAGCTTCCCTCGAGCGCTCTGTATCAAAAATGGAGGTAATGGGGCATATTCCATGATGCGTGACCGTTTATTTTCCGTAGTATTTAGAAGGGGGTGTTATTAAGATAAGAGGTACTTTGGTAAAGTATTATCCGTATAAAATAGTACTATTCAAGATACCTTTATTATAATTGGCTACGTGGCATTATGCCTTACATATTATGTATACATAGTAGTCCGCCGTAATCTTGGCTGACGTTAGAGCTATCTAGTCAACTATATAAATGAGTATTTCGCTCTCTTGACTGTTATATACTGAACAACACATATAAACTTCTATTCTGACAGCCACAATGGCCGATTTAAATGGGAAAATACCAGACTCCTCGCTATTTATTGGACTTCCTGAGGGGACACCACGGGTCGCATATACCAATATGGAGGACATCAGATGCTTGGTAGATAGAAGGGTTCGACTGTGTTGTTCGGATCCCTCCCAAAGTCCATTTGTTATAGTTGTAAACATACCACGTACATTTCTTCAGGAATTCGACAGCCTTTACCCAGATAGAGGCCCAAGGATATCCACCAATCTTCACGACAGAGTCCTCGTCTTTGAAATAATGGCTGGAAAAGTGCACGAAGTCGCAGCCCTAGCGCTCGAAGCGTATCTCATAGCGGAAACTACAAATATGAATCTCCATTACACCACCATCTGTTCTGGGACAAGCCGAGCAACCAGTGACGTCTTTACCAAGGAGCCAGATGGCAGCTTTACACTGAAGCATCGCCATTGGCCGATTTTAACCATTGAGGCTGGAGTATCCGAGTCTGATGCGAAATTGAATATGGATGCTAGGGGATGGCTGGAGTCGCCAGAATCAGAAACAGAAGTTGTGATAACGATAAAAGTAAACCGACGTTTTCCACAAATGACTTTTAAAAAATGGGAAAAGTCTATCACTTTGCAACATAGAGCAACGCGCTCCTCCCACCAACCGGCAGAAGCTACACAGACTGTTCACGTCAGGTATTCCAACGACATTACCGAAGTTACAGGCAATATGGTTATACCATTGGCGAAACTAGCTGGTCGCGGACCTCAAAATACCAATGAGCATGATATCATTATTACGGAAGCTGCTTTTGAAATGATATCCAAGAAAGTATGGATTGCCCAGGAGTTTCTATAACGGCCAATTTTATTCGTTTTAAAAGAAAGCTACCCAGAAGACTTCCCGAATATACCTGGGGACTGCTTTGAGCATAATGGCCGCCAGTTCGGGGTTCATGGTCTGAAATGAGGATATAGCGTTCCTTTGCTGGCGAAGGGCTTCTTTTCGAGGATGGATATTGGCATCTATCAGACCTTTCTTCCTCTTCTTTATTTTGTTTGATATTGGTATCCGCAGACAATAATGAAGAAAAGAGATTGTCTTTTTATCAGAAACGACATGGAATATCACGTGCTTATCGGACCGGAAATATAGACATCCCGATCACCCTATGAAGTTGCCGAGGTCCGTTAATACGAAGGTTAGCAGCGCGTATACATAGTCTTATTAAGCGCGCTCATGGTTGCTGGCGATGCCTTTGATCCGACTTGGAGCTATAAGCCCGAATAAAATGTGGCTCAGGATAAAACCTTCGAGGCTGGTAACGCGCTCGTTCTCGTCTCTTTGTAGGGAGCCTCTCCCACTTCCTCCCCCAGGCCCTCCTTTGGCCTGTAACGAACCCGTCGACGAAGAGATCTGTCCTGGCTACAATTCTGGAAATTTCTATCCAGCTCAACCTGGCGCTGTACTGGCCGACCGCTATCAGATCCTGGTCAAAGTTGGCTGGGGGACCTCTTCGACCGTATGGTTCGCTCGTGATATGCGAGGGTGTGCTGTTTTTCTACTCTAACCTACAATTACTGGTCCATCTGCTGACAGGCGATTAAGATACCGACATGAGCCGGAAACCCTTGTGGCATTGAAGATAACAAATACCAACTCGCGTACAGCTGGTGAAGAGCGTGATATTGAGGACCACATCGCAAAGGCAGATCCATCTCATCGCGGCCGTGCACTCTTTAGAACTTCCTCGGAATGTTTCGAGATTGCCGGTCCAGAAGGGAAACATTTGTGCTTAGCATATGAGCCCATGAGGGAGCCAATGTGGCTTTACCAGAAGCGTTTTAAAGATGGGAGGATACCCCTTCCTCTAGTCAAAACGTATGTTCGTTTGTTCCTCACGGGACTGGACTACCTTCATTCAGAATGCAAAATTGTCCATACTGGTGAGGCCCTTCCGAGCTAAGAGCTTCCCTTCAGGCGATAACAAAACTTACAATCCGTACTGGAGACTTGAAACTCGAGAATATCATGATGGGCTTTGAAGATCCAGCGGTCGCGAGCGACTTTATGGGCTCCGCGTTCGATCAACCGATGCAGCATAAAGTCGACTCCACAGGCAGACCGATTTACCGTTGCCATAATGATTTCGGGCCACTGAGAACATTGAGAAGTATACCAAAGATTGCCGACTTTGGACTATCTACTAGACTCGACTGTTCAGACGACTGGGGGATATACCCGATTCAGCCAGACCACTATCGCGCACCAGAGGTTATTCTGGGCTGCGGCTGGAGAATGGGAGCTGATATCTGGAACCTTGGGACTCTTGTACGTTAAATATCTTTCTATTGGGATTGACAGCACTAATGCAGGGATAGCTTTGGGATGTTATCGAGGGCAAGGAACTGTTCCGACAGATACACAACGCCCAGGGCCGCTATGATGCTAAACTGCATCTCGCGGAGATGATAGCTCTGTTGGGACCTCCTCCCCCGGAGCTGGTTACGAGATACCAGTCGATGCTTGGGTATGCATGGCCCGAGCCTATAAGAAATGAGGTTGGGGAGATCTGCGAAAGTGCCGAGCAATACTTTGGAGGCCCGTTCTTCAGCAAAGATGGTATTCCATTAAACGTTTATACTGGATCTTTATATTACCCGACTGACGTTCGATAGGTTTATTTCTGCACGAAGCCTTGATCCCCGACAGAAAGCTCGCGGATACGTTGCCTTCCCTGGGAAGGGAGAGAGAGAACTTCTTCTCCTTTGTCAAGATGATGCTTACCTGGCTTCCGGAAGAGAGGGCAACTGCGCGCGAACTGGCCAAGCATCCATTTCTCCAGCTAAAGTAGGAGAGCAATTCTTATTCTCTGTTAAAATAGAAACGTACCAACCTTAACCCATATTGTCCAACGTTGAAGGCGATTGCTCATTATTTAGACAACGATCAGCAGTCATCATCCGAGCTTAATTATCTGTATTATATTCGTTTACTCTAAGGCTGTGGCAGGTATCCGATACTAAACTATAAAGACTAACTTCCCGTAGCATGCCCCATAATTAAACTACGATTTTATTTGAACCGACAGAAAATCGAGCAGGTGGTCTTGCCTGCTAACGGACATGTAGACATTAGTGCAATTATTCCTCGGTTACCATTACACAAAGACAACGACAAGAATAAATGCCCGAAATTAACATGGGAGACCTCCCACTTCCTTTGTCAGACAAGCCACACAACATTAAAAGTCCCGACAGAGAGTGGCTTTGGAGAGGGGGAAAAGCAGTCACTGGCCCATGGAGATGAGGTACTGTGCCTGGTTTGTCATGTTGTTGTTAGCGGCATTCCTTATGGAGGATCCCGCATATTGCCCCATGATCACAGCAGTCTCGGTCTTAGCGATGATGACCCCGGAGTTTCCCTAATAACAGCTGAGGTTAGTGTATACACCATGGTAGGGGAGGAGTTGGTCCATACGCATATTCCATGGATGATGTTGTCTTCGCACGCCATGGTCAGGTATCTCCTCCCGTTGACGGAGAAGCCACATGAATAGATCCTCTTGACTGTGCCGCTTCCCATGTCCTTGAAGAAAGATGTGATAAGCTTCATCTCACCAGGGTTAATCTGGAGAGGCGAGACAGTCAGCACTATATCGGTGGATACCGTGCCAGAGGGGAAGATGTGGGTGGAGAGGGGGGGTACTTCGAAATCAGAGGATGAAGCCAAGATGCGGGTGCCATCAGCATCGATGGCAGCAGCCTGGTTGAAGGTACGAGAAGACAGGAGGCTGGATGTACGTTAGAGATCAGGCGTGGCAGGCCGTGGAGAGATGGGAAACACCTGTTGACTTGGGCTGTCCACGGCGGTTAGCAAGCCAGGCGAAGCCATACGAGGGGGACGGACATACCTTGCCAGAAACTCATGATGTCCGATGGTGATGTGTGCGTGTCAAGGCCTGGCATGGGGCGGGGAGGCGAGAGAATATACAGTGTTGTGTAGAAGCAGGACAACCGCGTACGGATGGATCTTTACAAAGGGACCGTCGCCCCTCTTTATATCCATTTATTTACCTTGCCAGCTGCACGCACGTAATCCTCGAATGGCAGATGGTAAGACAAATACTCAATACCTGTTATTCAAGGCGATCGAAGGGCTGGTTGATATTTTGGATCGAGCCAGCCCTGCATATCCAACCACCTATCAAACAGGCCGTCGTCTCGGTACCGTCTGTTGGAGAGCGGGGAAGAAACGGGGATGAAGGAACCCCGTATATACTTGCAAGACTTGTATAGGAGAGACTCTTGTACAGAAGATGAGATATAACTAGAAGAGACTCTAGATGAAGAGATATAACTAGATGAGTCAGCAGGGATATAAAGATTCGCGACGGCGATGTCTACGATGTTTACTGTTTACGACGACGATGTTTTGGAATGACATCGAACGGTGATAGCGAACCCGCCTGCATCGGTCTCTAACCTGTCATAGTCGCCTACCTTGCTTTAGTTGCTGCTGGCAGGCCCTGAGCTGGACACCAACACCGTCACAGTCACCTCGACTTGCAGAACTTCCGGTGACTCCGTCTTGTGTTGCAGACAGGACCAGGCCTTTTAGCAATCTGCCGTCAGGATGAAGCCTATGATTGCAGTTCCGGCCACTCTGCTGCTGATACATCGCGCCTGGTCACGAAAATCGCTGACGCCGCTGGGCATTGTTTTTGCGGCGCTCACAGCGACAGTCCATGCAGTCCACCCCTCTTCTGTCCCGTTTGCCCTGCTCATCGTCTTCTTCCTGGGTGGCACAAGGGTGACAAAGGTACGTATTTTTTTCCTTCGCTCGAGGCAGCAGTCGTTGGTTGGTCCTGGTGGTGGCACTGGTGGCTGAATGACTCGTACGATCTAGGTGAAACACAATGTGAAGGCCCGCCTGACGATATCAGCGACGGGAGCGGCGGGTGGTGAGGGCTCGCGGACCCATATCCAGGTGCTTGCAAACTCTGGGGCTGCATCGATTCTCATATTACTCGACTGCTATCGAATATACTGCAGAAACGGGGACCTACCATGCTTCCCCTACGGCAGGCCGGAAAGCCTGCCCATGGTCGGGATCGTTTCGTACGTTACCCGTCTGTTTTCGTGCCCTGTTAATGTGGGCAGTCAACTGATCGCTGGTTTTTTTTTTTTTTTTTTTTTTACGAACTGCAGGACCTACGCTGCCGTTGCTGCTGATACCTTCTCGAGTGAACTGGGGATCCTCTCCAAGAGCACGCCCCGTCTGATCACCTCGCCTACCTTTCGAAAGGTCCCGCCTGGGACGAATGGCGGCATAACGCTCGTTGGCGTTGCGGCCGGCTCGCTGGGGGCTCTCACGATTGCCATCACGTCTCTGCTGCTTCCGTTTTGTTCCTTGGGTTCGCCGGTTGCGGGTGGTGCGATCCTTGGCCTTGACGGCGGGTGTGCTTGGGGCTGGAGGGAAAAGAGCCTGTGGGTGCTGGCAGTCGCGGTGTGTGGTACGCTGGGGAGCCTTCTCGACAGTCTTCTTGGGGGCCTGCTGCAAGCCACAGTCGTCGACAAGCAGACCGGAAAGGTCGTCGAAGGCAGCGGTGGTCAAAAGGTTTGTCATGTCCTACCTCACTCTCCTGCATCCGTAGTTTCTACCTCGTTCGATTAACATGACCGTGATTAGGTGCTTATTCATGCTGGCGCGTTAACTTCCAGAATCACGGGAGATCCGCCTATCCGGCAAGAAACATCCCTTCGAACGAACGAGACCATCGCCAACGCCCTGACTCCTCATGCCTCTCCGCGCGATGATAACCCTGGCGTCTCAGATCCAGCCCACGAGAGCCGCAAGGTCACTGCCGGCCGTGACATACTGGACAACAACGCCGTCAACTTTCTGATGGCGAGTATGATGGCTGTCGGTGGCATGGCCACCGCCAGCTTTGTCTGGGGTTCGCCCATCAGCAATATATTCCTGAGACGATAAGAGGATTATAATATGCAGTAGACGTGCCATCCTTTAGTCCTTGTATTAAGAACAATCTTAGATTCTACCCCTTTTCACAAAGATGAAGCACAAAAAACTGGGTCTTTCCATACATAATTTGGATATTCATCCGAGACCCAACTGTACGGGGCACATATTTAGCTGATGGCAGCCAGCTGCTTTCAACCTGGGATACAAGACGTTCAACTAGCTATTCAACTTGACCATGGCGACCAAAGATCATACCACATCATACAGCCAGATCGCCTGTATCGGCGCTGGGCTGTCTGCAACAGCCTTAGGAGCAACGCTGAAAAGATGGTATAAAATCAATGATATAAGATTCTTTGAACGACGACCTGCTTTCGGCGGTACATGGGAGGCAAACACATATCCGGGTACCTTGTTCACGGTTATATAAAAAGCAACGAAAATAACAGTTGAACTCTGACCTCTAATTATAGGATGCGGCTGTGACATTCCCAGCGCTCTTTATAGCTTCTCTTTTGCTCTCAATCCCAATTGGACGAAGCTGATGGCGCTGTCCGAGGAGATAAGAGAGTATAACGAAGGTGTTGTCGATGCTTACGATTTGCGCCACCGCATATCACTCTCTACGGAGGTGCTTAAATGCGCCTGGCAGGAGGACTGCTCAAGATGGCTTCTCTTCCTAAGGGATGTCAACAGCGGACGGGAGTTCACGCACGAATGTCAGGTGTTGTTCAGCGCAGTTGGCCTGTTAGTGAAGCCTCGACATTGTAATATCCCCGGAAAGGCCTCGTTCAAGGGGCACATCTTCCACTCTTCAAGATGGAACCACGACGTATCCCTGGAAGGGAAGAATGTCGTCGTCATCGGAAATGGATGTACGTGGGATCCCTATATCAATCCTATATGCATAATTTGTGATTCAACCCTATATGCATAATTTGTGATTCAACCCTATATGCATAATGATGTGATGTCTAATATAGCTTCAGGCAGCGCAACACAGCTCGTCCCTGCAATTGCAAACGAAACCAAGTCGCTTACGCAGATTGTGCGCTCAAAACATTGGCTAGCACCGCCTATCAACTTCAAATACCCTCCGTCTGTACTCTGGGTATTGCAGAACGTCCCCCTGGCTCTGCGTCTCCAACGATTTATGGTCTATCTTTTGGCAGAAAGTGTATTTCCGATGTTTGAAATGACAGAGAAAGGGAGGAAATTACGCGAGAAGAAACGAACCATATCAGAAAATTATATGAAGAAGACGGCCCCCGAAAAATATCATGATATGCTCATCCCGGATTTCGAAATCGGCTGCAAGGTAAGGTCACTGATAATTGAACTTCCCAATCCGACGATTTGGCCCTGAGCTAACCAACATGCTATAATAGCGCCGAATATTCGATTCCGGATACCTTGAAACCCTTCATAACGAGAATGTACTACTCACAGATAAGAAGATTGAGCAAATTGTTCCGGATGGGATCCAAACAAGCGACGGATTCATCCCGGCCGACGTCATCGTTCTGGCTACTGGGTTCGATACGAGCGACTATATGAAGGAAACCATGAATATCTTTGGCCGTGGGGGTAAATCCGTCAGCGAACACTGGGCCGAATATGGTGGCCCCGAAGCATATAATTGCTCTGCTATGCATGAATTTCCCAACTTCTTCATGTTGCTTGGGCCGAATTCCGCAACCGGCCATACTTCAGCTCTGATGGCTACCGAAAAGTGAGCGTTACTCCCTCCAAATAATTACCCGGTGATCAGTTCACTAACGGCCATACCCAATGGGAAGCTCCGTGAATTATGCTCTCCGCATCCTCAAGCCCGTTCTCAAGGGTGACGCCACTTCCGTCGAAGTAAAGCAAGAGGCCGAACGCGACTACGCCAACAAGGTCCAGGCCGCTCTTCAGAATACTGTCTTCCATACCGGTTGCAAATCGGTGGGTATCCCTTCATTTGTATTCATTTCCGTTTCTCGACCTGTTTATCGTTTTGGATCTAATTAACTAAAAACTATAATAAAAACAGTGGTATACAAATGACAAGGGATGGAATGGCACAACGTACCCCTGGCGGCAGTCCTACTACTGGTATCGAAGCTTATTCCCTTGCTGGTCAGATTGGGATATCAAGGTAGGATTCCCTAGGTGATAAATGTTTGTGCGGCGCTGGCGAATATAAGCTGACTTTGGTGATTCGGTTCCAGGGCCCTCCGAAGAAGTCCTGGGGGAGCTGGCTTTTTGGTTCTAATGCTGGTGATTCCCATGCTGGTGACATGGCATGATCCCACGATCAGGGGTCTAACCTTCGGGCCAGTGGGTAACGCCTCATCGTATCTGGGAGATCTTTGGAGCAAGGGTTGCAATCGGTAAAATCATAATATACTTCAATTGTACAAGGTATGTACATATCTTGCTCTTATATTTATATTGTATCTACAGTATTGGGGAACAGCTTCATAGAATATTGCTAGTTTGAACTTCTTTTCCCTTCAATATCCTTTGTCCTTCAAATATTATCTCATGAGAGTAAATCTCTAGTAGCAAGTAAATATGTACAAATCATGGTAACATTACAATATTGTATCCCTTTCCTCATTACGCCTTTCTAGTCTCAGAAACATAAACCGCGGTCTGTTTTAGGATCCCTCCATTATTCGCCTCGAGCGTCTCCATATTAATTATTCGTTCTTCGCTCCCTGTTCTGCTGAGTTCGAGATCTCGTCCGGGCTCTACCATGGTTGTCACAACGTTGTCCCCGTTATGCATGTTCCAAGGTAGGCTAGCCGCGATGCTGAGAGAAGGGTTTGCCACCCGTTGATTTCGATATCGTGCAGAGCGAAAACCGAATAAGCTTGAGCATCTGCCCCTTGACTGTGGTGAGCTTCCGAAAACTGTGGGGAAGAGTATGGAAAGTGGTTGGCGGATTATAGGTAGACAGGCGCATATTATGGCGGTGTTTAGCTCAATGGTAGCCCATATGGCATTGAAGAGAAAGGTATCTGCTAACCAAGTTAGTCGATAATACATCAAATAAGAATAAGGGACCTGGGAGAAACATACATGTAACATCGACCGGCTGGGCGGATTTTGAGAAAGTCATGGTGCGAATTATACTAATAAGGCAAACACTATAAGCGGTTAGAAGATCAGCTATTGTTCAGATATAAAATGCACGGGAAAGGAGTTCTCACAATCCACCGAGAAGAAAAACAAAGATTAGGGCTATTTTATCCCGGAACTCAAGACTGAGTCGGGAAATATAATATATAGGCAGGGCGAATATCAAAATGTCGGTGATGATGTTGATCAGAGCATACGATAGCCAGATGCCCAGATCGTTCATGCATTCATGTGGAATTGTGCGATCCCAAAAGGCCGCCAGCGGCCGACATTGGAAAAGCGTTGGAAAGACGTATGCGATGGATGCCAGGCTACTGAAGATGATAAGGCTAATGCAAGCCCACCGGAAGTACTTGTTGGCAGCGAAGACTCTCAGGTATAGGAATAATATCGATGCTTTTGTAAGACCAATGATAAGTTTAAACAGTACTTGCGCACAGAGAAGCATCTATAATGAGCTTGAATGTAAGCCATGTAGTAGACATATATCGAGAGGATGGTACATACCTTGAATGCTTGAATTTTGTCTTGCTCCGGAATATCATCTCCATGTTTCCCCAGGCCATATCTAACACCTATTATAGAATTTAATTAGTGAGTATGACAGAAGAGTCGGGATAAGCATCACTCACCTATATTATGGACTACCGTAAAAACGATTGCGATGAGCTAGTGTATGTGAGTAAATGTGCCGCTAGCTCTTGGATTATTGGGCGAAAGGGAAGTATACTCACCAATGCCGCAAGAATCGTCCAGTCATCTATCCGAAGTCCTTCTCTGAGATATCTGCCAACCAGCCGGAGAAGAACAACAAGCCCGGCAATAATCACCATCACCGTGCCGACAATAAAGAGTACAATTCCCTTATCAGGCACGCTGGCCACAGGGAATCCATCGCTCCCCATCTCATGGGCGCCAACCAAAATGGAGTCAAGATCGAAAGGTCCAACAGTTGTCGTATCCATGCGCGTAGGACGGACCAGACGAGAGTTCGTTGGTTGATCATTCGAAGGGCAGCCGTTCTTTGAACCTGAGGCCGTGTATCGTTTGAACTGGGAGGCGAGTCAGTCTCTGATGTGTGTTGTGTACATTTCGAAGGTATATACGGAGCATGAAATATAGAGTATTTACTCACCTGTTGAAGGCAGACGTTGGTAGACTATCACATCCTTACATGCATTTAGTATTAGTAGTTATTATTGTTGATCAGCAAACTTCCGGAATCACCACCGCATGGAGAAACGGAGTGGACAACCACTGTTTGACAGGGGAGACAGGGGAACGATTGGCTGGAAATATAGGGATAAAAGCGAGAAGCATGAAAGAACATTCGTTCCTCAAGCCCAGGGAAGAAACATGTCAACAATGTTTTTGGCCTGGGTGGATATAATATCTTGAGAGACTAACCAAAAGATGGGGCAGGGATTTAAAATAAGTAATTCATCTTGAGTACCCAGGCGGCCAGTGGGTACTACTATATCTGACTTCCCTGCATGGCTCAGACAAGGCAGGGTGGAGTTGGCAAGGCCTGCTTCCCTCGTTGAACAAAAAGAGAGCTGTAAACTCCTGAGACCCGGCGCTCAGACAAGCGACTGGTAACTATATGGAGGTGTTGGCAGAAGAAGCACGGGAGAACCTGTAATGTAAAGGCCACTGGCTGCCCTGGAACAAGGGCGGAGGTGTCCGTACCCCGTACTCTCTATGATAGGGTAATCCGGTTGCAAGCGAGACTTGTACTGGGTCTGATCGCAATATCTTGCGGATGCTCAGCCGTAGGTTGTACTATGCACATATAGTAGGGCAGCCTTTCCAAATCCTTGCCGCTAAACCAACCCCTTTCGAACGGAACGTTAGCAAGGATCCATGCACATAAAACGTCCTCCAGTCAAAGGCGCCAACTAGATGCGGACATAAAACCCGTTGCAGGGAGTGGTGGAATGCCTGCCTATCACAGTTGAGAGAATGCATGCTGGGCTCGCCGCTTGAGCATTCCAAATACATTCCATACACCCAGCCTAGCGCCCATTGATAGGCAAAATTTCCATATCCACTGTGGCCGCCAGCTGCCCAAGCAGCTCGGGCAAGCCATGAAACACGAACGTGGTACAAACGAGAAAGAGCTTCGAAACCACGCCACGGCCTGGGCCGCGATTGGCCTGAATGTAAATATAGCAAACTGAACAGCCCATCAGCATGGGGCTCGGGCAGGTGGAGCGAATCTGGAGTAGCGGCTTCCAGAATGTTTTAACTGCAGTCGATTGGCTTTGCGGGAACGGGGTGGAGGGAACAGCTCGGCCAGGCGCTAACCAACTAGTTAAGGTATCAGTCGAGGGACTTGTTGGCGCTCTGGAAGAAAGAGGGTCGCATAATCGGCTACAAATGTAATAGGTGTTGATCGTTTTATTATTAAAATAGCCTCAGGGGCAAACAGCGGGAACCCATGCGAGCCTTTAATGGATATTATTAGATATGAAGGATATGCAATATCCCTTTATGAAGAGAACGAGTGGAGCATCTCATGAAGCCCTGCAGGGACAATAAGTGCTTATTCATATCAAGGTTCTTCTTCTCTCTGACGCTGGATACAGAGGTTTGTGATCGGTCAGGGGAACCATCGATCGTATAGACCTGGCCAGGATAACAGAGATCGATCTGAGCCGGATACTCAAGCCCAAAAATGCTAATCGTGCTGGCATAAAGCACTCTGTAATATCAATAAGCTTTCAAGATAAGCTGGCTTAATAGTATACCACCGTACTCGATACGTAGAGTGGCAAGGAGTGGCGTCCGATATCGCTCTGTTGGCGCGATGTTAGTGATTTATATGTCAGGAGAGGGAGTGAGCATACAGTATAAGAATTGCGTCTATATAACCGCCACTTTGAAAAGTTTTGACACCGTAGACTTTTACCAGTTTACTGCAAATACTGCTTATGATCGACCCAGTGGCCGAATCTATTTGCGTACCTTTGATGTTAGCCTCCTGCTAAAGAAGTGTACCGTTTGATAGTTTATGTAGAGCAGCTCATCTCGTGTAGACGGCATGCCAAAACGGAGAAGTGGAAACTTCCAGTTCACCGTTTGAAATATCAGCCATCAGTGCTACTTGAAATTCCCTAGACTTGACATCATTGCAATGGTCATAGTAAAGAATAAACAGGGAATAAATAAAGGGGTTCATGTAGCAACAACAACTTAGGAGTATCCTAGACATATCTCCTGCATCCGACTGAAATCGAGCCAAGGTCACAACCATCATGGATCCCTCAGGGCTTTTCTAGTCGCTTATAACACCTTCATGGTGGAAGAATTATTGGCAAGGTCAGTTTATTTATTCAACCGGTCATCCGCATTCCCAGTTGCATCTATATCCACAGGGTTAGTTGGCTCTCATTCTGGGAAGTAGAGGCAGATTGTGAGTCCTCTCCATTAGGTTTGTTTGATTTCTCATATGTAATGACCATAAACTGATCTGCTCTGGTATTGTATTCGGGGGCAGAGACAACTTGAGAAAACTCCGAGTATGCTTCAGCCCACTCACTTTGAGCCATAAAGATTTTTCCGTGTAGAAAATGCGCGATATCACGGAGCCTACAGGTGGCAACAGAATAACTCTCGACTTGGCTCTCACATTTATATAGAACCTCAGAAGCGAACGAGCGTGCCCTTCCATACTCACCAGACGAAAATAATATAGCGCTTTCGAGAAGAATGGTTTGTATCCAGTCGTAGCTACCTGGCTTTGTGGCTTTCCGCACGATGCATAGCTCGTTCAAAGCACGCTGTGATTCTCCTCGGCTCCATTTGTATTCTGCGACGCCCAGTAATTTTTCGTTGGCAGGAAAGGAGACCCAAGTGTCCTGTATCCAGCGTGGTTCAGCGGCCAGAACAAAAGAGAGATAGCTGCTATTGTTGCGTATGCTTTTTGAGACAGCTACTTGACTTTCCATGATGATCAACCAGTTCTCTTAAGGGTGGGGTTAGAGATCAGTAATAGTTTTTTAGAGCAGGCGAAAGTTATCTCGAAGAGTCTTCCTCTCTCCAAGAAGTTTGTAGACAATCTTGCCAGCTCTATCAAGCTAGGTTGAGGAACTTTGCCTTCAGGAATGGTATTGCCTAGGGTAGTGCCTTGGGCCCCATCTGTCACAGTAAATAAGATATAGCAAAGGGCAGCTTCCTACAGTGAATTGTTAGTGAATTTATGTTAAATGCATTCCAACAAAATACAAGAATAAAGAGAATTTGCGTAAACTATGTAGCTCTTTGCATGGTAGCGGGTGATGGGAAGTTCCATTATTTCTAGTTGATGGGATGCCTAGTCCGGTTATAAGCATATATATCCTTAAGGACTACAAGGAAGCCTCTTATTTGTCAACATTAACATTGCCACGGAATGCTAGTCATCCATCAGTTCTTCTGGTGCTTTTGTGGTGTCGATATTAATGTTATATTGATATTAAAATGTTGATCTTGATGTTGCTAAAGTTGAACTTTAGTGCAAACACAAACATACAAAGTAAACAACGTAAACAAAGTAAACAACGTAAACAAAATAAACAATACAAACAAAGTAAACAAACAAACAGTGCAAATAATGCAAATACAAACAAGACAAACATGTCGAACAAACAGAGCCAACAGAGCAAACAAACAGCCGCACGCCAAACTTCAACCTCTTTTTTAGTTCTTCTTCGTGTACGAGAAACTCCAGCGACTAAAAGCGACTCTCTAAGCCACCAAGCATGCTACCTCGACATGGATAGTATCATCCCCGTGTAAAACCCCTCATCTTGACTGGATGAAATAGACACTCTTTCGCTAACTTGTTGTTCCTTGCGTAGGACACCTTGGCAGCTGCGTCATAGTCGTGGGCCCATGACAGCCAGATGATCCTCCTCCTCGCGGGCTGGATTTTGTACCGGCCTGCCTGTGCAAATCAGCGATCGATGATGTCGCACATTAATATTCCCTGCGCCTGGCTTGCTGGCGGAGAACTTGCAGGGATGTCGCCATACGAAAAGTAGAAAAATGCCGAAATACCTCATTGTTGCTTCCCCACGCCCTACTTGATGGTATGACATGCATAGTATATGCTTCCTCGGTCAAAGTCGCGCGGTGACTCAAATATCTTCTGAGAGCTGTTCGAGCTGTCTATCCAGGCCGGGATATTGAAGCATACTTCTCCAGTTTTATGACATTGTGAACTTTGTTCTGGTAACTGTTGCAATGATTCCTCAGATTCCGTTAAACCCTTGATTTCGCTCAAGCATATTCCGTACTATTGTACGGGTATTTGGCCCGAGGCCCGCAGGACTCCCGAGTTCCTTGTACTAGTACAAGTATCTTGCCAATATCTCTCTATATATAATACAGTATATATATATTTATGGCCCCCCGCTTGTTGAAGCCTACATTCTGAACAAGCTTGTTGTCTTATTTCTGGTGTTACCACGCCAAACAGTCCCTAATTCGTCTAAACATATCCTCTAGAAGAATCTAGCGAGCATCATGTCACCTATTGCTACATCAAATGTTGATATTGTGGACATCCGCAGAAACAGCCTCGAAAGCTCGTTAGTGCAGGACATTTATCATGGCCTCCAAGCCAAAGAGAAAAGTTTACCTACTTTACTGTTATATGACACCAAAGGACTTCGACTATTCGAGGATATTACTTACCTAGATGAATATTACTTGACGAACGCGGAGATCGAGGTCTTGACAGCAAATGCTGCCAAGATTGCTGCAATTATCCCTGAGAATTGTCAATTAGTTGAGCTGGGGAGTGGGTTTGTCTTCCTCTATCCCTCGAAAGAACCATCTTTCCGGTCAACGCGAAACATGACATGCCCCTCCCCGTCGGCTATTCGATTTTAACCGCGAATGTAGGAATCTGCGAAAAATCGAGATTTTATTGAATGAGCTTGAGCGAACCAAGAAGTCGGTAGAATACTATGCCCTTGACCTTTCGTTGGAAGAGCTTCACCGCACCTTCGCAGAGCTACCGTCGAAGAGCTATCGATACGTCAAGTGTGGTGGGCTCTGGGGTACCTACGATGATGGGCTCGCCTGGCTGAACAAACTCGTCAACAGAAACAAACCAACTTGGGTTATGTCTTTGGGATCATCCATGGGCAACTTTAATCCTACGGAGGCTGCAGGCTTTCTTAGTGGATTCGCCAGGAGTTTGGGACCAGTGGATTCGATGGTTATTGCTTTGGACCCCTGCAAGGCCTCCGAGAAGGTGTTCAGAGCTTACAACGACAGCAAAGGAGTGACAAAGCAATTCTACCTGAACGGGCTGTCCAACGCAAACACTATCCTCGGCTTTGAAGCTTTCAAGCTGGGTGAATGGGATGCAATTGGGGAGTTTGATCAAACACAAGGGTGTCACAGAGCCTATTATGTTCCACTAACCGATACCGTCATCAGGGACATTCACATCAAGAAGGGCGAAAAGATATTTTTTGAGCAAGCCTTCAAATTCGGAGCAGATGAATGCGAAAAGCTTTGGCGCGAAGCCGGTTTACAGCCAACCCGGAAATTTGGCGACGAGTACAGTAAGTAGAACCCCGCCTACGCAGCCAAGCCAGCAAGGGTATCCTGGAACGGGCTCTTCCCACTGGTTTTACCACAGTATATATAGATCTATGCTGAAGAATATGCAATTACGTGACATAGATATCTATATCCTGTCTTCTGCGTCTGCCACGATGAATCCCTATCAGCTACCAACGAAGGGGCCAGAGTATGTGAAGGGTGTCGTTCCAGCCCTAGGAGACTTTGAAGCAGTTTGGAAGCTATGGGATACGGTTACCACTGCTATGGTGCCCCCTAACGACTTGCTATCCAGGCCTATTAATCTGAGGAACTCTTTAATATTCTACCTAGGACATATCCCAGCGTTTATGGGTGAGCGGAAATCCAACAAACCTTTTTATCTTGGTCGAAGTTAATGCAAGTAATAGATAGACACCTTACATGCGCAACTAGCGGCATACCTACCGAACCGGCAAATTTTCATTCCATGTTTGAGCGTGGTATTGACCCTGACGTTGATAACCCCGACCACTGTCATGATCATAGCGCAATTCCCGATGAATGGCCGGCTGTCGAGACCTTGGTTGAATATCAGCAGAAAGTCAGGGTGAGGGCGAAATCTCTCTACTCTGACGCTAAGACGGGTGATAGACGGATCGCAGAAGCTCTATGGATTAGCTTCGAGCACGAAACGATGCATCTGGAAACTTTCCTTTACATGCTTTTACAGAGCAGTAGCACCATGCCTCCTCCGCTAGTTCCTGAACCGGATTTCAAACAGCTAGCATCTAACTCGGCCGAGAAGGCTGTCCCCAACGAATGGTTTGATATTCCAGAGCAGACTCTGGAAATTGGTCTAAATGAGCCAGAATCAGATGAAATTCCCAGCAATTCCTTTGGATGGGACAATGAGAAACCACGACGGGTAGTCCAAGTACCAGGCTTTGTGGCCAAAGCTAGGCCAATAACTAATGGAGAATACGCGAAATACCTCGAAGAGAGAGGCATTGGACAGGTCCCCGCATCTTGGGTTAAAAAACATACCGAGAATGAATCTACCAATGACGGTATAGAAACTCTCTCCTCCGGAAATAGCTCTCATAATGTTGTCACCGAGTATGCTGTTCGCACTGTCTTTGGCCCAGTGCCGCTGGAATGGGTGTTGGACTGGCCCGTCGCTGCGTCTTATGAAGAGTTAACCCAGTACGCAAAGTGGATGAACTGCCGGATTCCTACTTTTGAGGAGGTTAGAAGCTTGTACAAGTACTCACTTACCTCTCCTACCGGGACCAACCATTCGACAAATGAGCTCAGGTTAGTTGCTACGATGCTTCCTTGTTTCGTTCTGCCAATTAACATGCTTATTATCAGGCCCTCTACAACCGAATTAAAGAAACCAGAGTACTGCACTAGCCATCAGCCGGTGCAAACCCCTATGAAAATACATGGACCAGTGTATGTTGACCTCGATGGCTGCAATGTTGGGTTTACCCATTGGCATCCAACTCCAGTCACCCAGAAAGGGAATAAACTCTGTGGCCAGGGTGACTTTGGAGGGTTATGGGAGTGGACTAGTTCTACTCTACAGGCCCACGAAGGGTTTAAACCGATGAGCCTTTACCCAGCATACACCGGTAGGTGCCACTTACTTGACTCATATACAATCTAGCTAACTTCATACTTTGTAGCGGATTTCTTCGACGGCAAGCATAATATCGTTCTCGGAGGATCGTGGGCAACTCACCCAAGGCTCGCAGGCCGCTCGACCTTGTATGCTCATCTTGCCCTCTTTACTGTTATGGTCCGTGACCGCTAATCTATCTTTTAGTGTCAATTGGTATCAGCGAAACTACCCATATGTCTGGGCCGGCGCTCGTCTAGTGCGTGATGATTGAACATGCACTGTTCGACATGCTATCCTGGGATTGCTACGTTTCATGCTAGAATCAGATAATATATTAATACTCCCCGCTCTTGATGATGTGTCCTGACTCTGCTTTCAGTGCGATTCATCTTAATATTAATTATCAAACGTTGCTTGCCATTGCCTTTCTTCATCACCAGGTTGTTCCCTAATTAATTCCGATGAATTCGAGGATTTATTGCGGCAAGAAATCACTCATTCGAGTTCAATATCTTTTCATACTTTCATGGAAGAGAATATCTCCTTTCTCTACGGAACGGGAATGGTCTTGGCCTTCACGTAGTACCTTTCAAGCATGCTGTAGTCGAGATCAGAGTGCGTTGTTGTAGGCAGTGAGTGTCCTTGTATCGATTTCACCGCCGCGTACTCACTAGGGGGTGGAAACGGGCGGTAGGAATGCAACAAAGCAGGGAGACAATGAACCCGGCAAGTTGATGCATCTATATTCGACTCGTTTCTACCCCTTGCGGAGGTTAGGAATGCAGGACATACCAGTGCTTATAGGACGGAAAGGCCAACACTGGCATCTAATGTCAACCTTTTTGAAGATAATAGGCGTGTAGCATCATCCTAAGCCTGGTGTTTTATTTCTGGCTGTGATGAAAGATAACTCCCATCATCTTGATGAAAGGGGCTTGCCATGTTAAATATTCCATTTAAGAAGGATATTGAGTGATAGAGCTATATAATGATGGGGAATTGCCTTATATTCAACAGGTCTGTCAAAGGTGAAAAATTACTGGTTAATAGCATTATTCGTCTTAATCCCATATTAGTAGTGAATAACTGGTCTATACTCATTCATACGATATAGAAGGCAGTTAGTAGACCGATGGAATTCCTGATGGACAGAGGACTCACTGGCTTCTGTATAAAAAGCCAGCCAGGGCTTGATCTTTTTCTCTTCTCTTGATACTTCAACCTCCTTATACAACACCTCGTCCTTGATAACACCAAGATCTCTTACCAAGACGGCACACAAACAGCTGAGTGTCATAGTATCGAACTCTGACACTTCTACTTACCTTTGAAGATACCTTTATCTAATCTTCTTGTCTCCCAGATTCCCACCCAGGCCAATATTGCAATGGATACAAAAACTGATTTTTTCAAATGGGAGGATAGCCCAGGTCTTTGTAAGGAAACAACTAGTTGCCCCTTTTAAGACTGTTGCTAACATTCCCTCACCGTCTTGTGACACAGACCACGGATGTGGAGTTTGTGGGACATGTCTTAACAGCCAAAAGGCAAGGAGGGCTTGCTATGGAAAGCATACGGAGCCATGTTTGAGGTACCACCAAACGATGTTCCATATCGGTATGTTGATCGAGTTGAAAGGGTATAGATATTTCGAAGGGCATGGCTAACTTCTGCGACGTATAGGAAATAGCCATAAATGCGAACCGTAAGTTTGGAAGATGGCTGGCTCGTGTTGTATGCCCTGGCTAACTTGAAGGACAAAATAGCTGTCGAAAGTCGAATGAGCTTCACGAGAAGCGGCATCGAGACATTGCAGCGCTTGTGGAGCAGATCTACGACCTCGACAGAGGAGAAGGGACGCGGACTATCAAGTTTGCTGACCGGGTAAATGCTCTCAGCGAAAATAACACTGCACTTCCTTCCGTCTGGAACAAGGTAAAGGGGAGTAGAGGTGCCATTACCCGATCAACCAACCAGAACCCGTCTCTGAAGAGAACGCAGTCCATCAAGGACAGGAGGGCGGAGAAGAGAGCGATAAAGTTTGAGAAGAGTGTGGCCAAGTCGATCAGACGCCAGGCCAGCCGGCCAGCGGTGCCGGGAGTCATCCTGGCGAGCTCCATTGAGTTTGTAGGCAAGGCCATCCACCGAACCAGCCTGCTGGAGTCTTCCTGGGGGCCCGAGGACGCGGACGCTTTCTTTGTTGCCGGTATCCAGCGGTTCCAGGCCCTGGAAAAGCAGGCTCGGGAGGCTGCCGCCAAACTGGAGCCAAACGGGGCAAACAACGAGTTAAGGGAGAAGGTGGGCTCTCCGTCTCGAGAGAGAGGAGAGTACGGGGGCGTCAACAAGGCTGAGCTACCGATCATCAGAGAGATTCTGGCCGAGTTCAACATCCGGATCAACGAGAGAAACTCCAGCAAGGACCGCAAGGCGCTGCTCACCAAGCTGGCGGAGGCCATCTTCGCAGACATGGAGACGGTGTCGAACGAGGCGAGGGAGACCATGAGACGCAGCGCTGCCTACTGGCGCTTCGCCAACAAGCGTACCTACAACGCCATGGTCCGGAACAGCAAGATCGTGAACTGGGAGACGGGCGAGAAGTTGACGGAGGATCCGGTCGAGGAGTAGTCGTACTTCAGGTATCTGTCTTGTCTTTCATCTTGGTATCTGTCTTGCATCTGCTTCTCTTGTATCTGTCTTGATCTGTCTTGTCTTTCATCTTGGTATCTGTCTTGCATCTGCTTCTCTTGTATCTGTCTTGATCTGTCTTGTCTCCTGCATCTAGGTATCTTGACTTGTGTCTTGTATCTGTCTTGCATCTGTCTTGTATCTTCTTGTATCTGTCTTGATCTGTCTTTCATCTTGGTATCTTCTCTTGTATCTTCTCTCGTATCTTCTTGTAAGTCTATTTTGTATGTTGATGAAGTCGCGCGACTGATTACCCTTTTGGGACTCGGGATGCCGAAACTTTTGTCCGGCGCTTTTTGGCCGAAAGAAGAAGCTCGAAAAGAGACCAAAAGTCGATGTTTTGACATCTCGAGACGTTCGACTTTTGTATCTTGACGCTGAACGACTGAGATGGCTGGAGACAAGACGGCGCGCGCATCTGCCATGGCCTGAAGAAGCCCGCGGAGTTGTCGGTAAACGCGGCTGTTCCAGTCGAACCCCCTCGACCCACAGAGTCCGAGGGCAAGTCGATATTACGATATCTTAAAAAGCGGGCTTGGTCGCCAGCTCGCATCGTCTTTCTTCCTGTCCTGCCTCTCACTCTTCCATGCGCGTGTCTGCTATAGAGGGAATAATACCACAGAGAGCTGTTCGTCGCTGGCTGCGTTCCGTCGTCGCCATGGCCGCTGAAACGCTGACTACCATCTCGCCCATCACCAACAAGCCCGTCGTGACCAGAGCCGGCGTGACCGCAGACGAGCTTGCCACGCTGCCCAGGACCGCCCAGGACGCCTTCCGGTCGTTCTCCAGGTCCACGACGCTCGGCCAGAGACAGGAGATAGTCGCCAGAGCGCTCGGGCTCATGGCCCAGCGGAAGGACACCCTCGCCCGCGAAGTTACTGAGCAGATGGGGCGGCCTATCGCCTACACCGGCGTTGAGATCACGACGGCCATCAAGCGAGGTGAATACCTTAACCGGGTGGCGTGTGAGGCCCTGGGCGAGCCCGTCCCCGGCGACGACGAGCCGGGGTTCAAGAGATATCTCAAAAAGGAGCCCCTGGGCGTCGTCCTCATCATTTTTGCCTGGAACGTAAGCTCACCTCTTCCGCGAATTCTCTCATGTCTGTCTCATGCCTGTGCTGCTATAGAAAGATGCTCATCCACGAATTAGTACCCCTACTTGATCCTCGTCAATAGCTTGATCCCTGCGATCTTAGCTGGCAACGTCGTAATCCTTAAACCTTCCCCACAAACCCCAACAGTGGTCGAGCACATTTCCTCCATCTTCCTCGAAGCGGGCCTTCCCCGTGATGTGCTGCAGTACTTCCATTGTGGCTCCCTCGTCGACCTCGAAACCATCATCCGGTCTCCCCTGATCAACCACATCTGCTTCACCGGGTCCGTCGCCGGAGGCCTCGCCGTCCAGAAGGCGGCGGCAGACCGCATCGTCAACGTCGGCCTCGAGCTCGGCGGCAACGATGCGGCCTACGTCCGTGAAGACGTAGACCTGGCCTGGGCCGCAGAGGAGATCGTTGACGGCGCCATCTTCAACAGCGGCCAGAGCTGCTGCTCCATCGAACGGGTATACGTTCACGAAAAGGTCCACGACAATTTCGTCCAGGAGGTCAAAAAGGTGCTCACCAGCTACCGTGTTGGCGACCCCTTCGACAGCAAGACCCAGGTCGGGCCCGTCATATCCAAAAAGGCCAGAGAGAACATCCTCTCCCACATAGACGACGCCATCAAAAAGGGCGCCAAAGACGAAACTCCGGCAAACACCACCTTCGACAACCTCCCGCCCGATGGCAACTTTGTCAAACCTACGCTGCTCACCGGCGTCACACACGCCATGCGGGTAATGTCTGAAGAGACCTTCGGCCCCGTCATACCCGTCATGAAAGTCAGGGACGACAGTGAGGCCATCCGATGGATGAACGACAGCGACCTGGGCCTCACCGCCAGCGTCTGGACCAAGGACGTCGCGACAGGAGAGAAGCTGATACAAGATATCGAAGCTGGCACCGTCTTCATCAACCGAGCCGATTATCCGAGCCCAGTGAGTTTTTTGCCGAAACCCTTGTGCTGCCTTGCATGACCTTCCAGTTCTTTTCTCAATCTCTCTCATCCCCTACAGCACAAGACCTTTGTCAACACCCACATTCTAACTTTCCTCTCTCTCATAGGATCTTGCTTGGACTGGATGGAAAAACTCCGGAAGGGGAGTCACCCTCAGCCGGTTCGGGTTCGACCAGTTTGTCAAGCTGAAGAGCTTCCATTTGAAGGATTATCCAAAGTAGATTCCAAACGATCCCCGGTAATTAATATGACTGTACGAATATGTATAACCGCTATTTATTTTAATATCTATCGTAATATCTATCGCTCAAGGGAAAAAAATTTTCACTCTAATCGAAAGCGGTTAATCTCTATCATATCCAGGATGCCCCTGATACTAGTATTACTTTTATGCCCTTTTTTAAGCCACATCGAAGATATGCAAGATATGCACCTCTTTTGCCACGGATAATCATGCTCCACCAGCGGCAACTTCAAGGAAGAGCTTCTCACGCTATAGAATGGCCTGATTAGTAAATTCAACCATAGGTGCAGTAGCTTAGGGACTAACCTTTAGGAAAACGGAGAGAAGAACACCCATGCCTCCTGCTACGATCAGGAGTATGTACCTGTTGAACGAATCGCGAGTGAGAGATCAGTTTCGGAATAACAAACTGGATGGAGATGGTCATACACTTGACTGATAGCATCGACGATGATACTCAAGGCCTGGGCCTGATCATGTTCAGATAAAGACTTGAAAAGTGAACTGCTGGTCCCTGCAATGGCGTTCTTCACAGCTTCGGGGTCGGCATCCGGCAGCAGCGTGAGAAGGCCGGTGGTTGATCTATTGACAAAAATCGCACCCGCCATGCCGAGGGCCAAGACGATGCCTCCGAGTTGGGCTTTTTGACGTTAGAGAGTTTGGTTCAAGCTTATTCACGACTATGAGTACTTACAAACCATCATGTATCCCAGGGCCCAGGGGATCTCGTCTGGGTTGACCTTGGCCTGCACAACGCTATATCCTGCCTGGTTGAAGGCGCCAACGCCTAGCGCCATAAGGGCGGTGTATCCGTAGATAGCTCCGGCGGACGTATCCGGTTTGACAAGATCTGGAACGGTTAGCGGGTTCTCAAAGGGGGTTTCGAGACATGGATCCTTACACATGAGGGTGGCGGCGATCAGTTCGAAGGCTGCTCCCACTAGGTACCATGGGAAGTAGTAGCCAAACTTAGACATCATATGGCCATTAAGTATGATTGTGAAAATGAGGATCAGCACAAACGGTAAGAGGCGTATAGAGGCCTTGATGGCTGTATCCCCTTGAGTAAACTGGAAGTAGAGAGGGATATAATAAACCGAGATGAAAAGCCCACTGCTCGCACAAGCTATAAAGTGGTATTAATATTTCGGAAATGCGTTTGGGATAAATTAGGGGGCTGACTCACTATTCAGAATGAAAAGGAGAAATAACGAGCGGTTCGTCAAGAAATGAACAGGGAAAAGTCGGTTCTTTTCAGTGCAGAAAATATAGAAGGTCTGCTGGACTCCAAAGACGATAAATAGGATGGCAGCCACCACAAACAAGGCAACGGACTGGCCACTGTTCCAGGGCCATTCTGATCCTCCAAAGTCGATGGCCATGACTACCGCAGCCAACGTACCGATAGAGAGTATGGATCCAACCCAATCGATGTTATGGGCCTTTTCCTTATGTGTAGCATTGGGAAGAGGCTCAAACGGAGGGAGGAGAAGAAGATAGACAGGCGCAAAGGCAGCCCCTATGACGAGGTTGATATAGAACGCCTGGACACGAATGGATGTCAGTTATATAGGGTAGCCACAACGTGATATGAGAACCATACCCAGCGCCACGTGGCAGAGCTTTCAGCAAATGCACCGCCGATGGCAGGGCCTGTTACGGTTCCAATGCCCCAGGAAACAGCTCTAGAAAGACGTTTAGCAGAGGCCACTTCATCGAGGTTACGGGTAATGTGTTCCTTACGTCAATCCAATGTAAAACGGCCGCTCATGCACCGTGGTATTGACTGACAGGAGTGTCAAAACACCAAAATACATTCCACTTCCCTGGGTGGGTATAAGCATCAAACATAAAAGCCTAGAGCAGACATAAAAGCCTAGAGCAACATACCCCGGCTCCGGCTATTGCCCGGCCTACGATCATCGGATCCATGCTTGGGGCAGCTCCACAGAGCGCTGACCCAGCCATGAACAAGATCACACACTTTATCAACGCATTAGTTTCCAAGTAATGGGCAGGCGCAAGATAGGGTGTGATCTCACTCCGATGTAGAGCCACTTGGCATTGTATGTGGCATAGGCCTTTGACCAGGGTAGAACCAATGCAGAGGAGCAGAGAGGGAACCTGGAGGAAGCAACATATTAATGGAAAGACATAATACCAACCTCAGCGTGTAGGTTACGTACGCAACGGATAGCCATGAAATTTTCCGGGCTTCCAGAAATTGATCAACAATAGCCTAAGCCGTCAGCTTCTGCTTCAGTACCAAAGGCCAAGCCGTAACGCCCTGGGCACTGACTGGTTGAATATTTGCAACGATAGTGTTGTCGAGAGCGAATAGCATATGGCTTGACAAAATCGCAGTCACAACCAAGATCCACTGAGCTTGGACATTAGCAAGCCAACCAACCGGATAAAGATGCATACTACTCACTTTGAACCCGGTAATGCTTCTTGTTCCGGACTTGCTGGATGGCGATTGATCTAGGTCTGAAGAAGTCGAATTCTCCTCGTCCGCTTGCTTGGAGTTCGAGCAACTTGATTTGATCCCAGCTTCAGTATCCTCAATTTTAGTCATTTTGAGACTGATTAAGATCTTTTATCGAGTAGTGGGTATTCTACCTCACCGTTTGAGCAAGTTCATTCTTATGGACAGGAGAGAATCTCCCTTATTTAATGGCATGACATTGAAGCAAAACAAAAGGGACGAAGAATCCCATTGCAAGGGGTATAGTTCTCTGCCCATGGCTAGCTACTGATTTGTAACTCACAGGACGAGGCTTTACGAATCAGTAGCTAAGCTATCCTTCGTTCTCGGGCCATTGCTTGATAATTGCTATTACCGATCAACTGCCACAGAGTATGTAGCTTGCATGGGAGGTCGAATAGCCGTGGGATAGCACGATAGATCCTGATGGGCATCTGATGGATATCTTATGGGATGCTGGTGGGATACCGACGACAAGGATGACAATTGCTATCGATCAACTGCCACAAGAGAAAGTATGTAGCTTGGGAGGGTATCTGATGAGTATCTGATGGGATGCCAGTGGGATACCGACTGACAGGGATGACAATTGCTGTGTCTGGCTCATGCTGGGACGAGTCTAGCATAACCAACCAGCCTTGACGTACATATTCCTTACAAGAAACGCATCCATACAGATCCATACAGAACGCATCCATAACGCATCCATACAGAACGCATCCGTACAGAAAGAATGAAAAAGGGGTTCGTGTCACGTGCTAGTTAGTTACTGCCACCTCACGCCTTGCTTACTCAGCTGCGAGACTCAAAAATCAGTTTACTACGTGGCTGAAGTCACGCTGCATCCCAAATATGGGCCATCACACGCCCAAGCCCGCCGACGAGAGCAGACTCGATATCGACGAATGGGAAGTTGTACACGTGTGGTATTTTCCTCCTTTGCCTCCTTTTAATGCATTTCGTTGGGCCTGAATTACGTACTGTGCGTTGGGTTGGGCATGAATTACGTAGGTTGGGGGGGAATTAGGTTGGGGGCCGCACGGGAGTCTAATCTTTGTAGTTAAAAGCACGGCCGTCTTCGCACTTCTCAGCTCTTCACACTCTCATTCTCACACTCTCACTCTCACACTCTCACACTCGTTCAGCTTCTCACTCATTCAGCTTTTCACTCGCTGTTCATCCCCATATTCGATAACATCTGTTTATGCTGTGGGAGTGAGTCTCTGCCGGCTGTATGAAGCCTGGCAAAGCCGCTCCCTTCCCTTGTCACCTCCCATGTTCACTAGCTATCCCCATCGCTGCCCATAACCCTGCTGATAATCCCACCGAGGTATGGATACTCCATGGAAAAACCGACCCCATCCAGGCTAATGCCTACATATATGACTCCTTTTCACACAATGCTGTTGTACCCTACACCTCTTACATGCCACTCTCGCGTTTTGATGCTGACAGGCCATCGTCAATTCTACAGCGGTTCTCCCGGGCTTGCTCCCCATGGAACGCTCAGCCGCCCGGTTCTGTTGCCCCCACCTTGGGTGTAGCCGAAGCTACCGACGCAGGGAGCATTTGAAGCGACATGTCGCTGCGAGCCACTACCAAGCAACCACGGTTGAGTGTCCTTTTTGCCCCACCCACCGGCTGTTTGCAAGAAAGTAATTCTATCCATCGACTTTCCGTTCTACTACGTGCTTTTGACTGACTGTTCTTTAGCGATACCCTGCGTCAGCATGTCAGGCTGCATCACAAGGAAGAACAGCTGGTCCCCCAGCGTGCAGTCAGCGCCTGTGATTTCTGTCGCTCTCGACGGTCCCGGTGCAAGGGGATGGGGCCTTGCGAGACATGCACAGAGCGGGGCATCCTGTGCTCTTTATCACGGCCTGTGCGGTTGTGCCACCAGGACAGACAGATGAGCGACACCCGTGGGATGGATGCAGCAGACATTCAACACCTACATAAACACACTGCATCGAGGCTCAGCGGTAACTTTACCGATAATCCAGTATATGCCATGCCCTACGTTGAAGCTTATTTCGACAAGTTTCACCCCAGCTGGCCATTCCTACACAGAGCAACCTTTGATCCAGCCCACGAGCCCCCAATCCTACTACAGTCTGTCTTAATGATGGGATTATGGGCGACGGGGGATCAAAAATTGCAATACATGGCAGTCGATCTGCATGAAAAACTAATAATATCTATTTACTCTCAACGGGTTAGTCACAGCTGCCGCATTGTCTCCTCGATTGCTGGAATGAACGTGTTACTAACCTCTTTTCCGACATTAGCATAAATGGGGAACACCCACTAAGAGTCAAGAGGCAAAGCCCTCATGGCCAATCGCCACATATCAGGGCATCCTCTTGCAGGTCATATTTGCCATCTTGAGAAATACTCAGGGTCCACTACCCGCCACACTTACGCACCGGCTCCCCGAGGTCCCGGCTGCATTACTCACCACCCTTACGCGTACCTGTCTCCAGCAGGGCTTGTTCTTTTACCCAAGCATTGCCTCCCAGTTTGCACCAAGTGACGCTCCTGACGTCTTCGTTTGGCTTGGGATCGAAGAAGTGAAACGGCTAGCCCTGACCCTTTACAAAGTATCCAAAATATGCTACACATCGGGCAATGACTTGACCTCTTCCAACAAGTCTCCGGGCAGAGCTCTATCTCTGGCAGATCTTCGGTTTGGAGCTCCTGACAGCGATGACCTATGGAATGCCACTTCAGGTCTAGCAGCAGAGCTGGCAGGCAGAGGGCTAGACGGCAGCCCGATGACCTACTGCGATAAGAACGACGAAACCAATTGGATTTCAAACATTACGCAGCCTTTGCAGACGATCGGTACTACGCCCTTTTGGCTATGACGGCATACAGCTGCATTATACCCACTAATTATTGTTCTTGAGCTGTTAACGCCAACAGGCGGTTGAATAGCCCCGTTATAAAACTACTGCCATTATTACATTGCTTATACTGGGAGCCGGGTTGGATCTGACAAGAGGCTGATAAGCCCTCGGAAGCCTTAGTCACGTTCTCAACCCGAGCCCTGCTCTTTCTATGCATTAGCTGCTAGAATTACTCTTGGGCCTCATCCTCGGTACTACCTGCGGTTGATCTGGGATACGCTACGGGCGCGACTTCATGATATCAGTCATTACATGATGTTGCCAGATTCATCGTCGCCTTCAGGCGGGTCCGAGAATCGCCTCTCACCAAATTATTCTGGTGCAAGCCAATAACCCATACGGAAGCACTCAGATAACTTTGGAGGGAAGCACGATTCAACGGACCCACCGCCAAACAACCCTCCGGAGAGGCCCTCCGGTGGATATATAGTTTTGGCATTAAGGAGCCTTATAACATAAGGCATATACGGAACAGTGACTATTAGGAGATCACTATATTACGGAGTATTATTCGGGATAAATTAACCATGATATAAAGACATAAAATATTATTACTTATTGTCAGATATCAGGTATAAAAACCCGAATTATTATTATATATATATATAAGTATATAGCTTATTAAAATAAAAGTATAATATTAATATACTATAAACACGTCCTTTATTAAACAGCCTCCCAATTTCATATTGAATCCTCAGCAGCTCTCGCTCTCATGACGATATAACTATCCAACTACTAGAACTTGACAATGTAGATGGGATGAATCCATTTTCTTTATGCGGGATTTATAGTTATGACTCTATATTAAACGGTGCTACGCCTCATGTTTGGACACCATTTACCAAGGCCTCCTGGGATACGATACAGTGGAAGTGGTAGATACATAGACAATGCAGGACACGCGGGTATATACAGTCTCTATCTAACAGGGTTTAAAAGGCAAGCCATCGAGTTGAAAGATCATAAGCCCCGGTAGGTTGGTTGCCGTGGTGTATCTGGCCCAACGGGATGATGCCGTATCCTTCTTTGTTTTTCGCTCGTTCCTCGTTTTTCTCTCTTTCTCTGGTATATATATATAGTGACCGACATTGGTATAGGGATTCCCGTTCACTAGGCGGTTCGGAGGGATACCAGTCTGGAATAAAGGCTGTTATTTTCGCTGCCTTCATTATCGTTGTTACCGTATACACTCGGCTAAATGCGAGGGGACATACGTTTGGGTTTAATGACTTAATATCCTACCCGTCCTTACATCTAGTTGATGCATCTATATGGAATATGGAATAAATCATTCCCGCTGAATTTTATGAATAACAGTCCAGCATGGCTGTTGTCTTCACTTAGCTAGGGACGGGTAGTGAAGGGGAAATTTCTGTAGATGGTGCCTGCATCCTTGGGACGGATAGATGGATAGATATCAATAGGTATGCCTGGGTATAGAGGGTTATCGCACCGCCATGTACCCTGTCATAAACTGCTAGACATATTGGAATCATGGTGGCTGGTGTTAACACCAGGTGATTGAGTTGATAGGAATGAATCCGAGTCGTTTTTTTTTTAATTTCTTTGCGGAGCTTTCTTGAACCGGATGGATGAACGATATCTTCAGGAATTCAACTAGGAGGTTGGCAAGGGCTCATGCAGCAACGCGCTGTTGGTGTGTAGAAACAAGGAAAATCTGAATCAAGATGGCCCTTAGAACAACCCGGGTGCGGCGGCACCCTAGGCTGATTGATCGGACCATGGCACCGACGACATATGTGCTGCGCTACGGCCAGGATCACCGGCTGTTTACTTCCAGCACCTCCACAGCAGAAGGTTTACAACTAGGTGGAGGACACTTGTATCTCCAAAATGCATTCGGGTGGAGGGACGATATGTATCGGAGCTAAATGCCGCAGCAAAGAAAAAGTTAAGTCGTGCAGAAAGTGGTTCTTTTCATAGATCCGGGTAGGACCTCCGTAGAACAGCTTTGACTGCGGCCGTAAAGGATTCATGACACCGTAATGTCAAGTTGAGCGGTAGATGACATCTCCATCCGATCACAAAAACGTTGGAACCTGATTAAGACGTTGTTTTCGGAGCTTTTCGTCCTCATCCCTATCCCCTGTCTTCTCGGGCTGAAAAGGTTTCATCCGGCCAAGTAGAGGATCTCTTCGTCCAATTTTCACTTGGCGTTTAGCAGGGCTCGGGCCCGGTTCCTTGGCCGGCTCGTCTAGCTCATCGAAAAATTTTGCAAATCGAGAGCTCGGGCTTCCACGAGGCTTTGGTGGTGATAATGATCGCTTTCCGCATGCACTAGCAGTAGACGAGGATGATCCACTCTGGAAGCTCCGGGAACGGCTGGTGTCTACATGTGGTTGCTTGATAGGCAGAGGTACTGGGTCGGGCCTTGCAATAGCCTCTTTAGTACACGGAAGAGCAGCAGGTGGTGCCCTGAGGCTGGGCGCTGCTGTCTTAGTTCGGGCTTGTATAGCCGGTGGTCGACTTGGTGCTCCGGTCTGCATGTCCAGGTCATCATCGTCACTTGAAGCTGTAGAATCATCTGCAAAACCAGGCTTGGATCTAGGTCGGATGTTGGAAAGTGATCCGGACATTATATCCGTTTCCTTGTCCTTAGATGCTCCTGCAGCGCCACTACTCGTGTTTGTTGGTCGAGAATAGCCCAGCGCAGCCTTTGTGGACGACCTGAGCCCTTCCAGTCCCATCAGTGGACGCGGTCGCTTCGATGTCACCATCAAAGCCTGCAACGAGGTTCCTACCCATGGATCATCGTCACAGTCCTCGTCGCTCGCTCCTACATCCTCATCATTGTCTTCCATCTCAGAGTCGACCGCTGGTCTCCCAGCATCGTGCTTCATCTTCTCCAACGCTTCCTGACGCCGCACATTCGAAACTTCACGTTCCATGTTCTTTCGAGTTACGTTGTTCATGGGCATCCGTGGATCCGTAGGTCGTCGTTGGGTCATGTTTAGCACCTTTGTTGCATTCTCCTCCTTGGCCCGCTTCTTTTTACGTATATATTCCGCCTGATGTAGATGGGCAGTGAAGGCTTGTGCGGTTGCAAGGAACTCATCCTCCACCATAATGTATTGATCATCCGCATCGAGGCCCTCTATCATAAGCCTAGCCGTCTGCATTAGTCAAAGTCCTTGTATCGTGGCCATTCGAGTTCTGCGTACTCTTCAGAAGGTGGCTCTCGGGCAGGCGAAGTCGAAGGTGTTCGATCTGAAACGAAGGTTAGTCACACTCTCGGTGAATACAGATATTCTAAATACATTGGTACATAGCTGTACATGTTAGATCGCGCACTTACTGAGCCTACTCGACAGCGCAGTGCTCGTCCGTTGTGCTCCTCCCAGCTCGCGCCTCGTAGGCCTCACCGGCGTCGACTGTTTTCGCGTTGGCGCGTCCACTTCCCAGGGCAGAACTCGGGGCATCTTATCGTCGACAGTTGCATCTTTAAAGCCGTATTCTCTCTGAAAAGAGTCAAAGGAATCCGGTGGTGCCCTTGTAGTTGAGTGTTGGCGGTTTCGATGTGTTCTCGAACGAAACCGAAGATGTAAACCAAAAGTCTAAATAAGCGCGCCTCAAGCTAAAATTGATAGCAAAAGTTGATCATTTTATGTCTAGTAGATATGAAGCAGCTTGATACTTCCCAATGAGTACTAAGCGGTTTAAAATGGATTAATGTTATATTTTAATCTCACAGATACCCTGACTATATGCTTGTTGAAGAGACTTCGTACTCCCTATGCTGAAGGCTACGTAAGATATCAGCAAGGTGCTCATACCATGGACAATTGCTTTGAATGGCTCTCCATACTATCATAGAACGAAACTGGTGCCATACTTGCCGATATCGCTTATTGCTGCGCATTAACATGGGCAGTTTATATAACCGCCAGCTTCATCTTTGCCTATGGGGGGCATCCTTGCATGAGTTACAGAGTGGCCAATCATTTGGCATTGCTGTGTTGTGAAGGCAGCAAGAAACTCGATAGGCTAGGAAGATGGGTTATAGCTGAATGTATTAAGAGCCAGGAGAGTAGAACGAAATGACCAGAATCATCACTCTTCCAGGTTCCTATTCTCTCTTACCGGTCGATTGGCGTGGGAAAAGAAAAGGTCATATAGATATCAGTCCAAATATAGTCAGAAAGCTCGACAACATCATCAAAATTCTGTCGATGTCACTTAAAAGCATCGATCTTAACATACCTCGGAACCCACGGATCCTGCAGTTCGGTACAATGACCATTTTGGTAAGAAACCCCTGGGCTATATATAGCAGTTATGCTTGCTAACAATTGGAAAGCAGCCTATGATAGGTTCAGCTTGGAGCATCTCTTGGAGCCAAACGTAGGGCGGATTGCTGGATAAATTAATCAACAGGGGATTAATGCGCGCTAATGTATATAATCGTGGACGAAGCCAGAGCCATACCGTGTATACGCGGGAGCCAGAGTACGGATCCCATATTTCCAGGAGGTCACTAACCATATGTAGCCGATTCTGTACCAATGATAACGCCTCCAGGACATTGTTCGGCGTTGGCTGCCACGGGAAACCATGTAAAATGCATAAATACCTGCATCAATACGCAAGATAAAGAGGGGAACCAGTATAAATAATATATTTCCGGGTTCCTGTTAGGTCCTACGCCCTCCAGTCTTCGGCTGAGAGGAAACCCTCCACGCACCCAAACATGATGGAGCGAGCCACAGCTAATATTCTCCTTCTCTTCGTTTTCCTGTACGCTCTAGTCTCTTCTTCGAGTGCTGCACCACCGCCGTGGCCAGGTACTTCCCAATACCAAGATAGGACAAATGGAATTGCCGCATCTATCGATCATGGCCTTGTCGCACGGCAGCCAGGGCTCCGCGTGATGTTTGTGGGCGATTCGATGACGCAGGGCAAGCACGGCGACTGCACCTGGCGCTATCGAATGTGGCAGTGGTTTCAAAATCAGGGTGTAGCCGTCACCTTTGTAGGACCGTATACAGGCACAGTTGAGCCTGACCAGCCAGCACCGCCATACGGATCCAGCGCGACTCCAGTAGCACCCATCAAGACCAGTGGTGGATACGCCCTCGACGTCTCCCCTGACTTTGACCGTCATCATTTCGCCGTCTGGGGTCGTGCGGCAGCTATTAGTAAAGATCTCATCCACGACGTTCTATCCGCCCACCCAGCGGATATGATGCTGCTGATGCTCGGTTTTAATGATCTTGGATGGCTTTTTAGCCAGCCAATCGACGCTTTGGGCTCCCTTTACGCATTAATTAACAATGCACGTAAGGCGAATCCCAACCTCAAGTTTGCTATTGCAAATGTTCCGCAGCGTAGTTTCATCGGCCGCGAAGACCTACCGGTCACTACACAGCAATATAATTCGCTTCTGCGTGATGCACTGCCACAATGGAGCACTGAGCAGTCGCCCATCCACCTGGTTGAACTGCAGGAAAACTACAGCTGTGGGATGGCTGCTTGTGAAGCTGGGTACGATGGTCTTCACCCGAATGCCCAGGGTGAATATCAGATCGCACACGCCTTTACCCTCACTTTGGTCAATGATTTCAAGATAGGATCTTCACCACTAATGGTTCCTTTGAACTCTAGAGGCGGATTTTAGACCTGGTTATGTAGCAGGTATTTGGCATGTAATTATCTCAGTTTGAAGATATGGTATATGCAAAGCCAATTACTTGAACCCGACGAGATCCATGTAAAATCAAGGCTTAACGCCTCTACTGGAGCACCATGGCCATGTTATTATTCATAGAAATTCATCCATATGTCGTGGTTTTGTACATCGTCTCTGCCATTCAAACGGTTAGACGTAACAAGCTGGACCAGAAGTAGTGTGAACCCTGCTCACCAAAAACATAAATCATTGGAGGAGTACCAGGTATTTCACTCCTTTACATACTGGATGTTTTAACATAGGCAGAATACTATGTATGTATTTTCTCTTTGGTGTTTGTTGGAGATAATGAAGTGCGAATTGAACGTTGCTAAAGGCTTACGTGATATAAATCAGGCAGCATGATTTAACTTAGTCAGCATTTACTCACAGTGGTAAAGTTACAATGGATGGAGGCGTAACTCGAAGATAACCATATATTCAATCTAGGTGTGGTTATCTTTAGAGATATTGCCTTCTTGTCTTCGTCATCATGCCTTCTATCCCCTAGAACAAGTTATCCCAAACGCCGTTCCAAGCTAAACTCCAAGGAATCCCCCTCCAACCGCTCCGGCCCATGAGCAAACTCCGTTTTGAACATGATAGGATACGAGAAAACACCACCCGAGGTGAATGAGCCTGGCTGCTGCCACGGGGGGTGAAACATTGCCACGATTGGCTTTGCCCGCAAGAGCATTTTCATACCTCACCAGGACGCTTGCTGTTGCACCCCACGATCTTTACCTTGTCTGCATGTAGGGTAGACTGGTCATCCAGCTTGAAGGTGACGTCCTTGACAAGGAAAGTCCAAACTTCATCGCAGAAACGATAAGTATCAAGATGACCCTGTACGGTGAAGAGGGGAATTTATTCCCCGACTCGTCAGCCACAAGCGAACGGTATATATCTGAAGCAAGAGGTATACAGCCTTATCCCGTAATAAACATGGGACGGCTCGTTTAAATAAACCAGCACCCTGGCCAACCTGCATACCTTGAATGAGAGCTTGCACTTCACTTTATCAGCAAGGACTTCAGTAATGACGCGGTCGAAGTTGGACAGTATCTTCATAGCCAGCTGGGGTTCGATGCGCCCCTCATTGATTAAATCATCGAGAGTATCAGTCAGGGACAGGCCGATGCTAGTCAAGGCGAAGAAGGGGAAAAAGAAAAGATGTCAGCAGTGCCTATCCTATTTCAAATGACTTGGGGTGAGAGCAATACCTGCTGCCACGGTATAGCTCGTAGTATGCTGGGGCGCTCATTTTGCCGCCTTGGATGCTCTTCAAGTCTCCACTGGTCAAATAGTAGCAAAACGCTTAATTTCGAGGAGACAGGGCCGAGTATTATCCAGTAACGCGACGCCAGCTGCAGAGATTCCCTTCTCTTCCTCGCCTTTGCATTTCTCTCTCGTTCAAGTGAAAAAAGGTGAAGTCCAACAGCGGAAAAGTGAAAGAAGCGCAATCAATCAATCACATGATAGTTAGGAACGTGTGAGGCTTGAAGTGGATTCCACGTGATATGTATTCTAAGTTGCCGGTCTTGGCATTAAAAATATCTGATTTTGTTCTTTTTTGAACTTCATAAAGACAATCAAGTTTGATAGCCTTGCAAGTTCAACTTACAGCATGCTACGGGAGACAAGAAGAGTATCCATCACAGGACCCTGTGATTTTGCGCACTGCTGTTACCGTCGAGGAGCTGATAGCTATACGATTTGATGGTAAATGGGCTGACAGTCCACCCACGGACATGGGCTGACCCTCGCTTCCTGCCTACATATATAGCACATACACCCCTAGCTATCAACGGCTCATGTTTCCGAGCTACGGGCAAGGATAGCTAATATAGGTGAAATGCATAGGCTATGGAAGGCCGCCACCAAATATAGGAAGCAATGACTTTCGCGCCGGTCCACGGAGGGGCATGTCAAGCCTCCCTTCCCGCTGGGACAATTTATTCCATACTGTGAATACAGGAAAATTCTATAGCCAAGGGCATCTCGGCCAGCCCATGCTCGTCTCGATAATAGTTGTCGGTGCAATGTTCAGGGAAGATTCAAACACCAAGGACGGTGGCTTGTCCCATTTCAAATTCCACCCTGCTTCTTGCCTTTGACATGCTGCTGTTGCATGGCTCCAACTCGTGTCTCTGGAATGTTCGGGATTTAACAATACCCGGGGCCCTTGTTGAAGGCGAATTATACTCCGTATCTTTTTATTCTCATTTTATTGCCATTTGGTCGAGCACTACTGCGTTCTCTGGCTTCTAGAGCTCCGTATACAGCTCATCAACGGTCCACCGGTTGAGGATCCGTAAAAACACCCGATCCTGGCAATGCATCCCTCGTGAATCCTGACAAAAGGCTAGATCAAGCGGCCAATGCTCAATACCACGGAGAATTTATACTTGCAGCAAGGTGCAAAAAGGAACATGCTCTTTATGCGCTCAATCTTTACCCTGATCGCCCCGCTTGTTGTGGCACATCGCAATGGAGTGGTGGGACAAGGGTATATTTCTTTTTTTGCTACTCTTTTTTCCCATCCAGGGGAGATTTGCATTATTGAAGTTAAAATAATTGGTGCTGCATTAACTCTAAAATTGGGACATACATTTTTTTTATCTCTCATCTACCAAGAAGCTGCCATGCCAATTCACGATATGCACGTTATTGAAAGCTGAGCACGAAAAAGAATCCCAACCTCACTGAATTCGAAGAAAGAAGAAAATTCTTCGGGCCACCGTCCATCCATAGCTTCACGTGCTGGCTGTCAAAAGCTATATATATCAGCTCCTATTCCCTCAGTTTTGAATATCCATCAACAGCAACAACGACAACAACAGCAATCAAGGAATCAGCTCTCCAAGAAACTTCTCTCGACTCTTCAAACGGCTACCAGCTTCCCATTCCCAAAAAACCCGAGATTCACCTCTCTCAAACCAAATCATTCACAATGTTCTTCTCCAAGACCATCGCCGTTTGCGTCATTGCTGCTTGCAGGTAGGCTGATACAGCAGAATGGCTATTCTCCTGAGATATAATATCTAACTCTCAATAGCGCACTTGTCAGTGCCTCCCCGGCACCTGTCATCACCCCAAAGCCATGCTACACCAGAACCCTTTCCTACAGGGCCGCCTTCTGCCCTGCCACTTACACTCCACCCTGTGATGGCCCATGCTTTGTTGCCGTCACCACCTCCATTCCTTGCCCTGAGAAGAGGTGCCCAACCACCAAGACCGTCAGCGTCAACTACGGCTGCCCAACTTGCACTTCGGTCTGCCCAACTGTCACCAAGTCTTGCAGCGCTTCTCCAACTCTCGGCCCTACCCTGACCGCTTCCTAAGCGCACTTGGATTTCACGATTATACGAACGAAGGATGACCGGTTTTAACATGATACGCTCTTTTAAAATTAAAAAAAAGTGATATTTCTTTGGATTGACGAGATGTGCCCCCAGTCTTTTTCTTATTTCCTTGTCAACCACTCTATGACCATTTAATTCTCTGCCCTTTTACCCCTAGTCTAGATCAGATAGTTGCGATGAATTTATGATATTTAATGATGGAAACACCCTTCCTATGAATCCCATCTATTGTATCCCTTCCGGGAAACTATATAATGAAAACTATACAATTACTATGAGTAACTCATAATGTAGATCGGCAGCCATAGGCCCAAACCTCAGCGGGAACCTGCGCCGCCTATCACACATAGACTTTGGAGACAAGATGACAGCCCCTTTCACTGACCGCATCGATTTTAGCAACAAGATCGCAGTTAGCGTAACCAGGCATCCAGGTTTCAATTCCACCCATCAACCGTTACCAATCGCCGCCGAAATAGCGTTCCTTGAATGCCTGGGAGGAGTTTCGATGGGCGTAACTCAGTCTCTGTACGCCTTAACAAACATATATGAAACGCAATGGACTATACACATATCGTTGGTTATTGAAGCGCTCACAAAGAATACAAATATCAGGACAAAGAAGGATGGTATCGCGATGGCACAAAAAGCTGACGCGGTGTATCAACTACCTTCTCGAACCCGGCGTCTATATTATTCAAAATGGAGCAATATGGTCCAGTCTACGAGGAGTCCTTCGCACCTGGATGCCTGTAGTATATATATACACCATCAAATCCAGCTGGATCAGTTTCTACGTCCTCAGGAAAGCTGAGAAGAAGATAAAGTGAAGAAACATCTAAACCGCCTGAATAATGCAGTTCACCTATGTTGTGGTGTTGGCTGTGGCCACTCTCTGGTATCTCTCTACATTCTTGAGACCTTGAACAAGCTGGGTATATAACGGTATAAACTAACATGCTTGCTTCCTCTAGCTCAGCCTCAACAGGACAAATGATACCAGTAACGTTCAAAACTGAAGTGCAGCCTTATCCAACAGGAGTGCCTGTTCCAATCGATTCGGAGCCATCTACTCCTGAGCCTATGCCATCCCAAACTCCATCCCCTACAGGTCGTCATGGTGGTGACGAGGGAGATGGCAATGAAGACGAGATTTCAAGCATGCCGATGATGCCAACAGGCAATGAGCCAGCGACCCTTGACCCAGACCCAACCGCCAGTATACCCCTGATTCCGGAATATTCATCCATCCTGATGATCCCTGAATCCAGCATGATGTCAGCAACAATTCCGACACCCCAGGCTCCTAAGTATTATCCTAGGTACATGAGAGATCCAAGACGCCAGAGAGGTGGTCCATCATCGATGAGCTCTGTCCCAGGCTGTACATCTGAAATATCAACCCTGGATCCAACTTCACTTACCCAACTGCTCCCAGAGTCCAGCATGTGGGCGACTACTCAGGCCATCTAACGGTATGCCCCGGCGGATGTGAGACTCGCATCAATAGATGTACGACTCTAACCTTGCAACTTTTCTGCGGCCGGCTGTACTGCAACACCAACGGCCTAGGATGAAACAGATACAGAAATGGGGAATATTTTGGTAGTTGGCGACAAAAGGGACTTAATGGAAGTGTTGGTTGAATGAGAGAATGTTGGGTAAGAAAAATCCGAAAACATACATGACCTTCTAGAATAGATAGAAATTTAATCTTTCGGGATAGCTGAGCCCAGCTGGCCAGTTTTCAACCTGTGATCAACTGTGTAAAATGACAGAACACTCTATTAGAAGACTTGATACCAAGTGGCATTAACTTGTAACTACCAAAGTGAAGAGGCAAACATGCGGTAAACCCATCCCAGCTCTATTTTCCATTTTGTTCGAAGAAAAAATATGTATATGACGGTAAGAAAACACTTATCACTGTGAACCAAGGTTGGTAATTGGACATATCAAAGGCAAGACAATACATAGCATAGAAATGAAAAGTGATGGGTGGGGGATATTCAAGTGCTCGACACCATGCCGGCTAAAACACCAGCACCGATGATGCCTCCATCGGAGGCTTCTCTCAGGAACACGGATTTACCACTCTCCTGTGGTCCGTCCCAGATGACGAGACGGTCGATGAAGCCCTGACAGGTTTCTTTGAAATGCGGGTAATGCTGGATAATTCCACCCGTGTAAGCAACGACCAGCTCTTCCGGGCCAGACTGCCAGCCTGACGGGGGTGAGTCCATGCCAGGTGTAGATGGGCCCTGCGGTGTCGTAGAGGCAGGTCTGTACACGCTCGTGATAGTATCCGTTGAATTGTTGAAGGAAGGGACAATGATATTGGTAGATCGTCTGGGGTTAGTGGCGCCATCGGAGCGAAGTTGGATCTCCTTCTGGCACGCTAGAAGGCCGACGACGGCAGCGGCGATAAGCCCTGCAGACCGTGTCTGTACTATCCTAGCTGTTTTCCGGAACGCTCGGGCAGTAGATATGTCCCAGTTCCAGGTGCTTGATTCTGGTGGAGGGAGAGTAGATTTCAGCTTTTCCAGCAAATCCTGGTCAGTACGTATGGGGGCTACATTGCTGGAGAGGTAGCCGGTTGATAGGGCGTAGCCCTGTATCAAATTTGCGGGTAGCAACTTTGGCGACAGCCCCATCACTGATGTCAAGTAGTCGTAGAAGACGAGTCTGACCAGCTCGCCAATGTATCGTCCGCCGGTCATGTACTCGAACGGCTGGAATCCAGGGCGCGCGCACTGCTCGTCCAGCTGAATGTCCCATTTGGTGGTGAACTTGAGATCTCGTAGAGGGGGGGCTGCACCACCCAGGGTGAATTCAGTGTTGACGACTGTCTCAGTGGCATCTGGCTGCTGCGCGGAGACATGCCTGGCTTTGGATTCGTGTAGGTCTGACAGTTTCATGGGTATTGTGGCGTTGCAGCCGGTTCCCACGATGAGTCCCATGGCAACACGGCTGTTGGGCAATGACTTGACCATGTAGGCCAGAGAGGCCAGGGTAGCAACGGTATCATTGGTGATGGCAGCAATCTTCAGTTTTGGCAGGGGAAACCTCCTCTGCCGTTTGGCAGACGGTTCGTCAGAGCCGTACGGCCGTCGGGTATGTCTGTCATAGCCTGCCAGCAGTATCTTGCCCAGGTTCAGGTCTGAGGTGATGGCAAACCCCTTTCCCATGGGCATCAGCGTGGCCTCCGAGAGCGAGTTTTGCCTATACGCATGGTTAGCCAGCCGTCTAACAGGCGTCCGCGTCTACCAAAACCAGGGTATCTGAGCATACGAAAGAGTGCTTTTTCACATACATCATGGGAAAGCTGAAGGTGATGCCCATCTCGAGCTCCTCGGGGGGCTCCTGGACAGCGGCGTCCGTAGCCAGACTGTCGGCCACCACCTCAGCCATGCAGTCCCCGATCCACAGGAAGAGATCCTCTGCCTTGTCCTTCTTCAGATGCTCTGCTATCGGCCAGGCTTTCTCCAGCGTCCGTCGAACTCGGTGTCTCCGTGCCTTTCGCAGAGTATCACGTGATCTCTCCGAGTTCGAGATGGATTCGCTGCCGTTGCTGCTGGTCTCCAGATCATCGCTCTCAGCGCCGAGTAGTTCGATAAAGGCGACCCTGAGATTGCTTCCGCCGACGTCTATGGCCAGGTATCGACCCGTCTCCCGGCCGCTGGGCAGCCGGGTCACAGGCGTGGGCAGGAATTGCTGGTCGGAGGTGCGCGCAAGCTCGAGGTAGAGCTGTGAGAAACGACAGCCAAGCTGGTACAGCCTGGCGTCGTTGACGGCGAGAGGCGCGAGGAAGTTGTCGATGACCTCGTCGTGCCTTGACTGCTCCTGGTCACTCTGGAAGTCGTCTATGGTATCTTCTTCCTCTTCGTCTCCGTCGAACAGCTCAACCGCCGCGTTCTGGTCACTCTCCTCCTCGGGACCGTGTACGGACATGACGGACGTTCGGGACGTTAGTATGGGAGGTTCTTTATCTGCTGTGCTTCTCAGCAAGTGACAACCCGTCTTATACGTAGAGGTCGAAGGAACGACGTCCTACAGCTAGCTCGCTTCGAGGGCAGCCGGAGGGAAACGGTCTCCGGGTCGCTTGTTCGCCTGAGCGTATTCGCTGGTTCGACTCCGTGGGGGGAGATTCGATGCAGGATAAGGCGTCCGCCTAGCGAATTGATCTAGATTCTTACGCCCTTCAAGCAAGGCACCCGGAAGATGAAGGGAGAAAAGAGGACAAATAAGTACTCGGAGGAAATACAAAACCTGGTTTCCGGCTTAAAGGGAAATATATACACGCCTCATCTCCAACGGGTTTGATCATCTCAAGGGCAAAACAACGAATCACCTTGCGAGGACGACCCTTTTTTACCTATATGACTTTGGGCCCGATACTACACCACCGCGAAAAAGGAGCCCAGTCTGTCAGAATAGTGGATGTGACGCTGGGGTAGCGCTGGCCCTTGGGATGGAAATATATTGGTCAGACCACGAACCGCTGCCCGGCTGTCTCCTCCTCGGTGGGGGGTTGTTAGAAAAAAGTGTCAAGCCACGGTTGAGAATACGGAACAGACGGAGGAACTGCGGAAAAAGGGCCTTTTTCACTATACGAAAGCTACTTGATAGGTTATCTACTTCTCTATATTGGTTGTCTTCCGCTCTGGCTAAGCGATGTGACGACGCCCTTGTTCAAAACTGCCAACCAACCAACCAACAAAACAGTGTTTGCAGGGAAGAGAGAGAAAAGAGCATCTCATTTCCACCGTTGACGCCTTCCAGGGGTCTCTCTCTCCGGAGTGAGTTAATATATACAGCAAATACGTTGTACTTTAGGATGCTGGGCGATCAAGCTAGGATAACTATATGGAAGTGCTATCTAGAAGACAGCCTGTCAACAGCCCTTTGCCTAGCGTTCGCCCCCTCTGAACCCAACTGACGTCGTAATAGTTACCGTGAACTATGAACTATGGGAATAAACGGTTTGCTCCTGCGCCTTAGCGGCGGGGGCCCGGCAGGGATATCCCGCGACGAACATCCATCTATATGTTGCGCGCCGAGAGCCCAAGGAAGGCTGGGATCGAAGAAGATGGTCGATGTTGACAACCTCAACTGATCTTCGGTCATCTTTCCTCTTGGCTCCTGGCGGCATTTGAAGTAGCGAATGCTTAACGGCGGTGCGGAAGCATCGGTTCATGGACAACAACAAGATATGTACTGATCCAGCACAACAAAATCTAGATAGCTTATTATCCAACAGATCCAACTATTTACCTCGAACGGACAGGCCCTAGAAGGATTGATACTACCCTGTGTCTGATGCCTGTCTTTTCCTGGATGGTGATCTGGAAGCTTAACTGGGCATTCATCCTGTATGGACGGCAGGATAAACTGTCTAGCCTGCGAGATATATGCAGCAGTTCGTTTCAGAAACGGCCCCATCGCCTATGCACTGTGTGCATTTGCGTCTCAACCTCCTGCACCCGGCTCCGTCAGCGATGCTCCGGCCAAACCTGATGGAAAAGGAAGCCGAGCTCTGTACCTGGACAAATCCATGCACTGATGTTAGATACGAGCTATTGAAGCCAGGAACCCGTCCTGGCCAGCCGTACTGTATCACAGTCGATAGCTACGTTTGACTGCCGCCTGTCTCCAAGGAAATATATAAGATTGAACGATGGAAGCCCAGGGTATCTCTCAACTCCTTTCGCTTCTGATGTCAGACTCGCACTCTACTAAAACTTACAACGTAGTATCGATCTGGCTTTTGCTTCCGCAGGGGTCGGGATGCTATGCTCAACTGTTAGATAGCTAATTTCCTGATTTCTGTGCAGGAGAAACCAACTGCGGCTTTGCATTCCGAGTTGGTTGCCCTTTCAAGAGCTCGTATAGCCCTACAGCTAGCGAGCCCCGTCCTTCTTCTACCTCTTCTCTCTCCATCTAATTTCTTTAACTTCATCCTTCAGCTTCATCGACTTTTTTATATAAGAATAAAAAAGTCCTCGAAATCATCACGTGCTACGCTTATGTAATATTACATAAGCATATACCCGAACTTTGACGAAATCAAAACGTCACGCGAAGAAACAACAAAAACAATCAGTATTGACGAAGTTATATAGCTCTACAACCAGGGGATGCGCCTGTGATACGACTGTATAACGTCCAGTTGAGCTGCTAGCAAGTAGCAGTACCTCTCATCTAAGGATAGAGAACCCCCGACTTATATCAACCATGAAGGAGAGGTATGATACTATCCCGCCACCGGTTTCGCACCCGCAGCAAGATGGCAGGAAAAGCTCCAAGGCGATGAATTATGCCCGACACTGCTTGATCGCTCTCTTTCTATGCTTGACGGTCTTTGGAGTACTGCATAGACCTCACTTCCCACAAAAGTACGTGGATGTTGTGAAAAATGCGGCCGCAGCGAGGCCGGGAAAGCAGACCGCCACTAGCTCAGACGAGTCAAAGCGGGTGCCATTTGAAGCACACATCATGAGCAAGTGTCCGGATGCGCAGTTCTGCCTGCGTGAGCTGGTTGTGCCCACCATGGAGCAGGTTCACAGGAAAGTCGACTTCCGGCTTTCTTTCATCGGACAGTAAGTCATCCGTCTGTCTACTCTTAACCTGCGACATATATATTGACCCACCTTTTCTGCACCTGCAGAGCCTCAAACGACTCTTCGGCCGTATCCTGTCTCCACGGACCACCAGAATGCGTTGGAAACATGCTGATGCTCTGCGCAGCAAACCTTCCATACCCACCACGCATCGCCGGCTCCTCATCCTCATCAGACACCACGCCCTGTCCCAACTATGAAACGACCCCTGTTGTTCGATATCTCGGTTTCACCAACTGCATGATATCTGAATATCAGGATATCCCCGATCGTGCTCTTGTCCATGACTGCGCACTCGAATACGGAATCAGCTTCAACGCCTTGAACCAGTGTGCCAGTCGTCAGAGTGACGAGGGCGACGAGGCCCGTGATGGTCAAGGGGACTGTGACCGTGGACCCAGCGGCCTCGCGCTGATGAGGAAGAGCTTCCAACACAGCGCTGAGGCTGGCGTCACCAAGAGCTGTACCGTCAGGGTCAACGATAAGTTCTGGTGCATCCGCGATGGCGGTGCATGGACAGACTGTGGAGAAGGAGGTGAGAGGAGCAATGTACCTGTGTTGGTCAAGGAGATCGAGAGGCTCTGGGATGAACGAAACTAGGGATACGTCCTCCTTTCTTGGTCTTGGCCTTATTTTCTATCTTTTGGTTATTATGATTGTTACGTGATGATTCTTTTTTTTTGGTGATGCACTGGAAGCTTGCTGCCTTATACTCTCCAGGTTTATAGCCCTGTTATCAGTACTTAATTTTTCAGCTAGGAGCCTGGGTTTTGTGTTTAAGCCTGTTGCTTGTAGTTTAGGATATTGGATTCTTTATATAATACACCCATTTTTATTGTTTTGGTCTGCTTCTTGTATCCTACTTTGACAAGAGATGTATATCTAAGAGATGGAGATAAGCTGACAGTTTTATAGAGAATCAGAGCTGCTGGTAGCTACCTATGCCCATGGATATAATAGCCTTTGATACACCATTCTGATGATGACTATGGAGTCTGACGGAAGTCCCCATTTGATATCCAGCGACCTCCAAATTTCCAGCGACCTCCTTATTTATTATAAATGCCTCCTTCAACGCTCTACATCAGTTAAATGCACTCTCTTATTCCTTTAAATTTCACCTCCTTGTGCAGCAAGATATCAACAACAGCTTCGTATCAAAGTGCGAGTTGGCTGAATAACCATGTCTTCTCAAGACACCAAAGCTAAGCCAGATAACCAGACCAACCTGGACATGGAAGTGGATGCCCTTGTTTGCCAGTATCAAGGCATCAAGACACCTAGCACAATCATTCACTTGTCAAAGACACCTGGCTACAGAGAGCTCTTTAACCATGTGTTCGAACATCACATCTGCCTGATCGGATCGCGCTCTCAGGACCTCGAGGATGCCCGTATCACGGTATACGACAAGGCACTGCTGATTCTCACCAATAACGGCAGCAGCCTATCTCACTTTGGGGCTATTGAGCTGTTCAAGGACGAGGTTTTGGGTATCAGGAAAGAGAGTGATATGGGGAAGCTGGACGCGTTGTTTAGCAAGAATATTGCTTTACGCGCTATCCTTGGCCATGGTATGTTCATTTTTCCTCTGGTGTTAGTTTGAAAGCGATTATCGTACGTTGAGCTGATTTGATAGTGACTGGGTGGAGGAAGGATGCTCGGTTTGAGATCATGGCCTCGGGTGCGGAGAGCAAAGAGACTGCTCAGCAGAAAGCCGCATCTGATCCCTTGACACCCCCGTCTGGTGCTTCGAGGAGAGAACTAGACGACCGGCTTACGAGCATGTTGAAAACGTTCGCCACGGCTCAGTTCGAGCACAACTCCCTTTCCGGGATCAAGAACCATGCAAAGTACAGAGCTGCTCTCTTTCTGAGTGACAGCGCGGAGAATTTGCTTGGACACCTCCGTGATCATGATCCAACGCACTACATGGTTCCCGTCCTGAAACAAACATTCGACATGGCTCAACGCGAGATCGTGGAGATGGATGGAGCGAAAAAGCGGTCATTTGATATGTATGACAAGGAGCCTCTAGACCGCCCACACAGCCGTCGTCGGCCTTCGACTCCTGCAGCCAAAGGATCAGGTTCACGCCGTCGTCGACGTGGACAGGCGGATTGCTACAGGCCATAAACTGGTCGACAAAGAACATACGTACATACGGATGCAACTGACCCGCTTCCGAGGGAGAAGGCCATGCATGGGTGGGGTGAGATTGCCCAACAGACATATAGGAGATCAGCGGAGGGGGAGAAATAGGGGGAATTGCTGTATGCCAGACTCGAAGAGGCAACTTATGATGCATAGGATGGGATCTGGCTGTTCATGTGTGACACTGCAGGATGGAGATGATGACGCTCCTGGTGATCAAGTCTGGTGGTTCAACGATTAGATCCAGCAAATGAGAGAGCTGATAGCATAACCAATACGGAGTCTAGCAATCCATCTTCATCCTTCTTTTTCCCCCGTCTCCATGAGGTGTCCGTCTATGCGTTGAGGAGGCCGAACAGCCGAACAAGTCACTTCCCCGTCCCTTGACCCTTCTGCCTCTTCTTCCAATGACGATGCATGCATTGCCATTCGTCAACCTGCGAACTGCGGTGAGAAATGCCGAAAGGATAAAAGGAGAGAGAGAAGCTGAAGAGGTCAAGGAGTCACATGAGGCTGTTTCGGCCCTAAACTTCGTCGCTAACTAAAAATATAGTTAAATATAAAAATGTCGAGCGTATTCAAAAGTCCCCCCTGTGGCCGCACGAGAGGAAATATATACTGCAATTCGATGACTGACTGACCGGAAGATGCAGTGCCAGCCTTGATGAATCGAAGTCCTTGCACGGCGGAGCTGGAGGTGAAACCAAAATGACCAAATCCAGTCGTCCGTTGGCGATTCCGCCGCATGTCAAAGACATTAACTCACCCCGGACCGATGAGATTCTCTCCGAGTCGATGATGACCCCCGCATCGAGCTCCACGGGATGGGCAAACGACGATGTCACTTCTACGAGCATAGCTGGGCGTGGTGTTGGTTTGAAGAGGCTGGAGACAGATATCCCCAACGAAGTCGACAGCCCGGACATTTCACCCCCTCTCGCGGAGGAAGCAGACGATGAACGAGAGGGAGACAGCAATGGCCTGGACAGTTCAGACGATGAACGATATCGGGATAATCCGGGGCGTGATGTGGAGGACGACCTGGAGCTTGCGTCGTACTCGTTGAATTCGTTCACAGCTGAAGAGGAGAGACAGGTGGTCAGGAAGTTCGATAGGCGATTGACCATGTTTCTGGCCTTTCTGTACATGCTTTCGTTCCTCGACCGGTCCAGTGAGTCCTGCTTTTGTCCTTGGAAAACACTCTATATAAACTAATGTATGTGGTAGATATTGGAAATGCACGAATTGCAGGGCTGATGGACGACCTGAACCTCTCATCCGGCCAGTACGAATGGGTCCTTACGGCGTTCTACATCACCTACATCTGCTTTGAATGGATGACCCTGATGTACAAGATCCTCCCCGCGCATATATACATTCCCGTCTGTGTCTTTTCATGGGGAATCCTTGCCTCGATGCAGTGCCTGGTCACATCCTTCTCGCAGCTTATCCTCTTGAGAGCCTTGATCGGTCTCTCGGAGGCAGCCTTTTCGCCAGGTGTCCCATTCTTTCTCTCCTTCTTTTACAAACGGGAGGAACTTGCCTTCCGTACTGGCATGATATTATGTGCTGCTCCCCTAGCGACCTCGTTCGCCGGCTCTTTGGCCTGGTTTATCGTCTGGATTAGTGAAAACGGACCTATTGCTCCATGGCGAGCGTTGTTCTTGTACGAAGGGTTTCCCAGCATCATCGTCGCCTTTATTGCCTGGGCGTATATCCCAGATGGCCCCGGAAGGGCCAAATACCTTACTCCTAGAGAGCGGAAAGTCGCTAAGCTTAGGCTGAAAACGGGCAAGCCGAGACATGAGGCCAAAGGGGCCAGCTTCGACTGGAGAGAAGTCGGTAGAACGCTGTGTGATACCAAGTCTTATATCACCGCAGTATGTGATTTTCATTTATGCCTTCGGTTCTCCAACATTGTGCTGACCTCGAGATAAGTTTATGTTCCTCAGCTGCAATGTAGCATTCAGCTCTCTTCCGGTATTCTTGCCTACAATATTACACGAGTATGTCAAATCACACCTGGAGATCTAAATACACGCCGGCTAACAAACATCTAGCATGGGCTACTCGAAGCTCACGTCTCAAGCCCTCTCTGCACCCCCTTACCTTTTCGCCTTTGTAGTAGTTCTTGTCACTGCGTCCCTGTCTGATCGCCATCGAAGCCGCAGTTTCTACCTCATCATACTCGCCCTCATCTCGTCTATCACATATCTCACCATAGCTCTCACAGGTTATTTCCACTCCCACCTCCCTGCCTCAGTCCACATCCTTATCCGATATGTATGCCTTTACCCAGCTGCCGCCGGGTTCTTCTCCGCCATTACCATTGTCATAGCCTGGACCATGGATAACAAGCCTGCTGGAGAGGGTAAAGGGACCGGTATGGCTATCCTAAATATCATTGGCCAATGTGGCCCCCTGATTGGCACTAGGCTGTACCCTGATACAGACGGACCATGGTACATCAAGGGCATGACGGTTTGCTCTCTGTTCATGCTATTAGTTGCAGTGCTTGCTTTTTCACTGAGAGTTCTACTCCAGCGGGAAAATAGACGAGCCATGGCTGCCGCAGCCGGCATTGCTTCGACCGACGAAGCCGCTCTAGATCGTGAAGAGGATGCTATACTCCGTGCTGAAGAGCAGGACGGAGCAGCTGAAAGACTAATGGGACCTGGTGTTTCAAAGTCATCGGCTGTTATAGAGAAACCACCTCAACCTCGATTTGTATACATCATATAAATCGGCAATTCTGCCTTTTTATTATATATTATTGCAAGATCAAGCGTTCCAGATACCCAAATATCATGATCATGATCATTTCTTCTGCAGCTTATTCATGCAATCAATTCTAGATTTCAAAGTATCCTCTCTTCCTTCTGTAGCTGTAGGCAGACTACGTTGGATATGTTATTGAATAGTTTATTCTCATTTCTCGTAACATAATACGTAAGGGCCTGTGTAAATCTACTCTGTAAGATAGCTGACTACCCGCTTATAAGACGCCGAATACATACCCCTGTAAAGGTAACCCCTATTCCGCAAACACCGTGTTCCCAAAGTCTAGCACATCACCTCCGTTATCCTCTGCACTAGCGCCGCCGAATTCGAGTCTCATCAGCAGTCGATCCACACCCGCAGCTCTCCATGGGACAAAAGCATTATTCCCCTGCCTGCCACGCAGCGTCTCCTCGTTCCCCTTCACCCAACGGAGTTCTGGTGTTGCATGCCTGGAACTAGCATCCAGTGAGGTGATGCCCTTTGTGGTTCGGTGGTCATCTATGTCGCGTAGCCTGGCGATGAGGTCTGTCATGGAGCTCTCTAGATTAGTGCGTGCAGCGGAAACCTCAGCCCATACTCTTGCTTCATCTTGGGCGTAATCTTGCAATGAGTCAAAGACGCCTTCATCCGTTTCAAGGTCGAGGTTCTGTTGGATAGTTTGTAGCTGGCCGAGGAGAGAGGCGAAGCGGTCAACATGTGAGATCAGAGAGCGTAGAGTGCGAGTGAATGGGACGTCGGTTAGGAAGAGGGACTGGATAAGATGGGTAAGATATGTACGGTGAGCAATGTTGATAGTTTCAGGATCGTGTGAGTGGTATAGGGGTGTAGAAGAGGATGCTGTTCCAGGTCGAGAACCTTGTCCATAGGAGTTTTGAGGCCGGCCGCCATTCAACCATGCATTAAAATGGCGCCAGGAGCTGCCAATGACCTCGCCCTGCAAGTAACTGCCCAGTTCTGAGAAGACAAATAAGGCGGCACTTCCAGAAGCCCAGACACGCCGCATCAAAGCGGCTCGTTTCTTCTGCCTTTCTCGACCGATCTTGAGGTTTGCCCGGCCACCGGGCTTATTGCTCATCGGTGGACCCCAAGGGGAAGGGTGAACTCTTCTAAGGGAGGTTCGTTTCCATAAGTCACCAAGTCGCATCTGTCCTCGACGGATGCCTAGAAGATAGGAGTGAATCTTGGAATATATGATCATATCGGATTGAGCAAGGAAGAGATCCAGGGGTGGATTGACGTGAAGGGACAGGGTTGTGGGAGAGCCAAGTAAGATATCGGAAAAGTTGACATCGGAAATATATGTGAGCGTTTGGTTCGCAGATTTCATGTCTTTGCTTATAGACGAGCCCTTCTCTATTGAAAGTCGTAGCAGGGATCGTGCCAGATCTAGCTCATCATCTACCGGGTCCTCTGCATTGGAAATGGAATATAGTTCCGCCCATGTTTGAGTAAGAACTGTAGACACCTCGCTCTCCTTGAGGGTCAGGACGTCCATAGTTTCTTCGATAGAGGTAGCCTGGTAAGTTCGCTTGTGTTTGGTTGAAATTCGCTCGTCTGCATGGGATACCAGGGCCATTGCGAACTCGCCTCTCCCGAGTAGAAGGAAGTTATGCAACAATGATAAAACTTCCATTATTTTATGTAATGGTAGTAGCTGCGAGAGGACCGTATGAGACAGTGCAAGCCGTATTTCCGAGACTGCATTAGCTAGGCTATTCATTGATATGGGAGAAGTGAGTGAAGAGAGACACCGGATGAATTCGCCATGGAGTGTCATTTGAGACGAGGAGTGCTTTGCTTCTTCTCCTGCGGGAAACTTTCCTCGAGCACGTATATGATTTAGTGATCGTCCAACAAACAGAATCGAGTTAGCTGTAGAACGAGATACAAACTTGGGCAACAGCTCAGGCTGGAGCACAAAATCCGTAGTATTAGCGCGCCTATCACTGCCTGCACTGCTTTCCTGGATGAAGAAATCATCTCGTCCTAGCGACGGGAGGCGTCCATATAGTATGAAAACGGAGAGCTGGCGCATCCAGGCCGTTTCTGCAGCTTTGATGAGGCCAAGCGATATCTCCTCGACATCCGTATATCCAGTCTGTGACTCGGTTCGAAGATAGTCGATGAGAGCAGCACCACTGCATCCTTTACCGGCTGTAGCTTCCTTTGTCTTTGCCTCCTTGGACACGTACGGCAGCATAAATTGCGATGTTTCCCAAAGCCATTCTAACTTCCGCACCCAGGGAGAAAACTCTCCAACGATGGTAGAAAGCGGGACTATTCCATAGCCACCAACATAGCCGGCATCTCTCCCAAGTATCGATCGTTCCACCTCGAGTATCTTTTCCTGAAAACTGCCCAGGTACTCAGTGGATATGGTCGTTGAGGCGGCGCGACAGACGGTTGAAGGGTGAGAGGAAGATATATGCGCTGAATGGGCCCTCAGCAAGCCATGAAGCCGACTTAGACGCGCAATCGGTTCGAGCAGTGCCTTTTCCTGAGGCGAGAGGAGTGGGAAACCGTCCTGGGGAGTTCCGCGGTCTTTAGCTGGCTGCTCGAAGATAGGGGACGGCTGACCGGACAGGGAGAGGAGGATCTCGTGGAGCATCCTGTGTCTGGGGGATTCTTAGGCCTGCTGAGTGATTGTTAGCAGTGGTATTTAGTTGTCATGAACAGGTTCAGCGCCACCTGGTGGGCACCTCGTCCCTCCAAGCAGACCGCAGACGGTGCCAAAACAAAATACCGCAACCCAGGATCTCGAATCGACACATTCAGAAGAGTTCCAGAGCCTCTAGTGCTGCATATTGGGCATCAAACAAGTGTCAAGTCTATCATATGTGATGTTTGTTGTGAATCAACTGCTTTGTTACTGAAATAAAATTAACAAGCGCGTTTAAGCTTAAATCCATTTGAGCCGCAAGTATATAAATATCGTCACTTATTTATGCCATAACTAACTACTCCGTGTAGCTATTTAATAGTAATATGTTGATTCTGATTAAGAGACGACACTATCAATACCACGCTACTAGAGAGCCCAGTCTGGAGGGCCACTGAGCTTGCCGTTGTCACATCGCGTGACGCAGGGTTTGCGAACGAAGCACTGAGACTTGCATCCGCTGTCGCAGGTGTAAAAGGTAGGCTTGCCGCGTTCGCAGACGACGTATTTTCCAGTGATCTCGCAGTAGTCGAATTCGGGGCGCCGTGAGCAGAAATCGTACTCTTTGGATAGAGGCGCTTCCATGGCCGAGAGAGAAGCTGCAAGTCCACAGAGGGTGACAGCGACAGGCAAGATGGAGAGCTTCATCTTGAAGTTGTTATAATTGTGCGTATCTGATATGTGCAGTGGAGCTGTCGAGGTAGAGACGTATGTAGTAGAACAGGTTATATCGAGTGACTCAATCGATTGAAGACCGATGACGATGACGAGAATAAGACCTCCATGAACATCCATGGGATTATATATCTTTATATATCCGTCCTCTGGCTCAACGCCGTGATATGTATGCCCTTTTTCAAAGGACAGGGATCCCTAGGGTGTTTCTTTATCGCTTGCGGGAAGATATGCAGGCCAACGCCATTGTCCTTGAGCTATTGATGTTCCGTATATGCATATCTGTTGGTAGATGTCGTCTTTCTTCCTCTTATTCCTTCACAATCGGGGTATCATGCATATTGTGTATGGGAATAGGACCCGTCAAGCCAGGTGCAGTTGCGAGAGAATCCTCGGCGAGAACGTCTTTGGTTATAATATAGCTTGCCGGTCGGTGTCTTCAAATCCTCCAATATGAGATAGAAGATGGAATAGAGAGATATCAGAGTCGCCTATGCCATCTATGCCATCTTCGAACGATATATCCCTTGCTGGTTCATCTTCACTGATGAGACTGTGCTATATGGCGGCATGTCACAGTCGGCCATCACCTCTTACCATCCTCTCCATCCTCACTCCATCTTCCCTTCACATCCGTCTCTATTATATCTCTGTAATATCAATATCATCTCGGTATCGTCCTCATCTCCATCTTTGTCTTTCTACCAAAACTTCAGCTTCAACCTGCTGACTCAGCAACATCAACGTCAACATCGAAAGTCGAAGAAACGAAAACTTGCAGATATCAATATAAAAGACACTCATTCGTAGCTAACAGAAGAGACTTAAAGCTGGCTCTCTATTCTTGCTCTCTCAGCTACTTCAAAAAGACTTCTCTTCTCAGGCCAACAGCTTGAGAATCCCACTATTTACCTACAAACTATTTACCCTCCCCGCACCTCGCCAGGCCCGCCTTGGGACGCTGTGAAAGGCTTCAACTTTTCCACTTCACAAGCCATATCGAAGGCCTTGCGCTCTGGCAAGGCTTTCACTCACATTCTTCACAATTTCCTCTCGCGCCAGTGACCTGGAAATTAGGAAACGAAAGGCTTCCGGTAGTCAAGTAGACCGAAACGACAAGAAAATCATGACTGTGAGCTTTCCCCCTTTCATTCGTGTCTCGAACATTCATACCCGTGTCTACCGTGATATCGCTGGGATTATGGCATATTTAAGCCTCTGTATCTTCTGCAGTTTCTCTATTTTAATTCTACTTAACTAACACATTGCTTTCTACCCGGTATAGGACACTAAGATGCAAGTTGACAGCCCTGAGTTGGTGGAGAAGGCGAAGCATGGAGAGATCGATGAATCACTCTATAGCAGACAGCTGTAGGTGCCTCTTTTCTGTTGCTTTATTAGGCCTGGGCTGACCTTGTTGGTAGTTATGTCCTCGGACACGAAGCTATGAAGCGGATGGGCTCGTCCAATGTACTCATCGTCGGTCTCAGAGGTCTCGGTGTTGAGATTGGTACGTATCAGCCGCTTCCACTTGCTTCCAAAGCTATAGGCGGACTTCAGCTAACCTGTACGCAAACGCGTAGCTAAAAATATCGCCCTGGCTGGCGTTAAATCCCTGACTCTTTTCGACCCCGCACCCGCAACAATCTCTGACCTTTCCTCCCAGTTCTTCCTCAAACCACAAGATGTTGGCAAACCACGAGCTGAAGTGACGGCTCCCCGGGTAGCAGAACTCAACGCGTATACACCAGTCTCCGTCCTTCCAGGCAAGAGTCTCACAGACGACCTTTCCCAGCTAAAGGGATTCCAGGTTGTCGTCCTCACCAGCACATCTCTAAAGGAGCAGACAGCTATTGCAGAATACTGTCATGAGAATGGAATTTATGTCGTTGTCACGGATACGTTCGGTCTATTCGGCTATATCTTCACCGACTTTGGAAAGAACTTTACTGTTGGGGATGCTACCGGCGAGAATCCGTTGAGTGGCATTGTCGCTGGAATCGACGAGGAAGGGCTAGTTTCTGCGCTAGATGATGCGAGACACGGGTTCGAAGATGGCGACTACGTTACTTTCTCTGAAGTTCGTGGAATGGAGGCTCTCAACAACTCAGAGCCTAGAAAGGTTACTGTTAAGGGGCCGTACACCTTCTCCATCGGAGATGTAAGCGGACTAGGGACTTACGAAGGCGGCGGCCTTTACACTCAGGTTAAGATGCCCAAATTCATCGACTTCCAGCCGTTCAGCGAACAGCTCAAGAAGCCAGAGTTTGTTATTTCCGATTTCGCCAAATTCGACCGGCCAGCACAGCTCCATCTCGGTGTCCAGGCATTGCATAAGTTTGCTGAAACCCACGACAACCAGCTTCCCAGACCTCATCACGATGGTGACGCGAAAGAAGTAATTGCCCTTGTCCAGAAGCTTGCTGGTGAAGGCGAGGACAAGGTTGAAATTGATGAGAAGCTTATTCGAGAGCTGAGTTACCAGGCTAGAGGAGACCTGTCCCCCATGGCAGCTTTCTTTGGTGGATTGGCTGCACAGGAAGTCCTGAAGGCTGTCTCCGGCAAATTCAACCCCATCGTCCAGTGGATGTACTTTGACTCCCTAGAATCCCTTCCGACTACAATCAAGAGATCCGAAGAGCTTTGCGCCCCAAAGAACTCGAGATATGACGGTCAAATCGCAGTCTTTGGACGGGAATTCCAGGATAAACTCGCAAATATTAACGAATTCCTGGTTGGAGCTGGTGCTATTGGGTGTGAGATGCTCAAGAACTGGGCTATGATCGGTCTCAGCACGGGTCCCAAGGGCCAAATTACAGTCACCGATATGGACCAGATCGAGAAGAGCAACCTTAACCGACAGTTCCTGTTCCGCACTACTGACGTCGGAAAACTAAAGAGTGACTGTGCCGCTGAAGCTGTTCAGGCTATGAATCCAGAACTCAAGGGGAAAATCACGGCTCTAAAGGAGCGAGTTGGAGCGGACTCGGAGCATATTTTCAATGAGGACTTCTGGGGAAAACTCGACGGGGTCACCAATGCTCTCGACAACGTTGACGCCCGTACATATGTTGACCGACGCTGTGTGTTTTTCCGAAAGCCCCTCCTGGAGAGCGGTACCCTGGGTACCAAGGGAAATACCCAGGTTATTATCCCAAGTCTCACCGAGTCATATTCTAGCTCCCATGATCCTCCAGAGAAATCTTTCCCAATGTGCACACTGAGGAGTTTCCCCAACCAGATTCAGCACACTATCGCCTGGGCGAGAGATATCTTTGAGTCCTTGTTCGCTGGGCCTACCGAAGTTGTAAACCTCTATCTCACACAGCCAGGCTACATTGAACGTACATTGAAACAGGGCGGATCAGAGAAGCAGACGTTGGAGAACCTCCGAGACTTCCTGGTTACAGAGAAGCCACTTAGCTTCGATGACTGTATTGTCTGGGCTAGGCATCAGTTTGAGAAGTACTACAATAACGGCATTCAACAGCTCTTGTTCAACTTCCCCAGGGACTCAGTCACGTCTAGCGGAGCACGCTTCTGGTCCGGACCAAAACGTGCACCGACTCCATTGAAGTTCGACTCTAAGAATGATACCCACCTTGCATATATCATCGCTGCTGCGAATCTTCACGCATTTAACTACAACATCAAGAACCCTGGCGCTGACAGGGATCATTACCGTAAAGTGACTGACGACATGATCATCCCGGAGTTCACCCCCTCGTCCGGTGTGAAGATTCAGGCCGACGATAATGAGGAGCAGGAAGCACAGCCCACCTCGTTTGATGATAACGAGGAGATCAACAAGCTAGTCAGCTCCCTTCCTGACCCCAAGTCACTGGCTGGATTTAAGCTTCAGCCTGTCGAGTTTGAGAAGGATGATGACACAAACCACCACATCGACTTCATCACCGCTGCCAGCAACTTGCGTGCAGAGAACTACGAGATCGAGCCCGCTGACCGACACAACACCAAGTTCATCGCTGGAAAGATCATCCCTGCCATCGCGACGACCACTGCCCTGGTGACTGGATTGGTGATTCTCGAGTTGTACAAGGTCATCGACAACAACCGGGATATCGAGAGATACAAGAACGGTTTCATCAACCTTGCACTACCTTTCTTCGGTTTCAGCGAGCCAATCGCCAGCCCCAAGACCAAGTATAACGGACCAAAGGGCGAAGTTGTCTTAGACAAGCTGTGGGACCGCTTCGAGGTAAACGACATAACCCTCCAAGAGTTCCTGGATCACTTCAAGAAGCAGGGCCTAGAGATTATCATGGTTAGCTCCGGCGTCAGCCTGCTGTATGCCAGTTTCTACCCGCCTGCGAAGGTGAAGGATCGTCTGCCCATGAAGTAAGTCTTATTATTTTGTGACTGCCTTACATTGAGACAGGTACTAACGTTGGTCAAACAGGATGAGCAAGTTGATTGCGGAGATCAGCAGGAAGCCGATCCCTGAGCACCAGAAGAGTGTGATTATCGAAATACATCCTGAGACGCCCGATGGAGAGGAAGTCGAGGCTCCCTATGTCATGCTGAAGCTTGACAAATAGGCGTTCAAGAAAGAAATATAAATATGAAAGAGAGAGATGAAAATAAACAAGAGATGAAAAAGGAGTTAATGTTTTGCGCATGCGCTTTCTTAAGCCTTGTATCACAGGGTGGTAGATAGTTGACCACCGGCTGAATTATAGCCGGCGTAGTTAGTTAATAGAAGTTATCAATAATTTGTTCCATCGTCCGTCGGCTGGCTCGCAATGCCTATCAAGCGCCTTGCAACCTACAACTCCGAGAGCTATAGGCTTGCCAGCCGCCTATATATGTTGAATAGTCGTACGATATGATCTCCTGCAGTGTTTTTGCTTCTCAGCTGAATCTCTTGGTTATGGCTAACGTGATACCCGATACGAAGTTCCCAGGTAGACGATGGGAAGATCGTGAAGCTGAGCGAAGTAAAGACGAAGGAGTTATTCACCCTTGCAGCTCCTCTTTCGTCTATCAAAGATACCAGGCTCTCCTCTGGTTATACGATCGGGTTCGCGAGGATGTTCAGTTTACCCGAATGAGACCATGCCTCAGCTCTGAGCGAGGGTGAAGAATAGCAACTACACGATGTTTACGAGTATATAACTCGTCATATTTCCAACACGATGAAGGGGATCTGGACATAGAACGGAATACAAGGACATCAAGAGATTCCCTTCTCGATATACCACTGACTTCAACTGAGTCTATCAAGCTCTAAAGTATGTAACAACACCTACCAAGTTACATCTTACTGACCGTGAATAAAAGGCCATCGAAATGCATCTTGAGAAGCTACTTGCTCTTCTACCAGTGCTGCTTGCTGCTCCCGCGCTCGCACAGCTCGACGTCTACGCCCGCCGTGTTCAAACTGCAAATGCAACGGCGCGTTCCTCCATCGGTGGAAGAACGGGGACGAACCCAACCAATGCTTCAAAATCATTGTTGGTTTCGGTCCTGTTGCTGTTGATCTGAAGGGCGGCGACTCTGTTTCGTGCCAGATGTATTCTTCTGGAGACTGTACGGGGGTGCAGCAGTCTATAGGCATAAGGGGCAGAGCTATGGCTGTACCGGCACCCAGATCGGCTCCTTTGGCTCTCTGAGACGCACGACGTGGAAATAGGTCGGCTTCTGGGTATATTTCGAGGCTCTTCATGATGTCACAAGCCGTCATGTAACCTGGATATGAGATGCTTCTGTCATGCTCGGTCATAGAGCCGTAATCAAAATGTTGGACAAGCATTACTCGAGCATTTGTCATCGCCATCTAGAACTTCCCCGTCATACTTTTGGACATCGGCCAGCTAGCTATATAAACGATCTCGAGCCTCCCCCTGTTGATGGCTTTCATCTCCCCGTTCACTCTCTCGCTGCTTGCTGTTCTCTCCATGTTCTCTCTCTTTCGGCCTGCAAACATCTTCTGCGCCCTCAAGAACGCTTCGGTCCCGCTGATGTCAGCCAAGAATCTCTCATCTCTATCAACCATGGCGGTTCGTATAGTTAGCATTCAAGTAAATAATTGATAGACGAGTTGCTAACTGCCACAGACCGGAAACGATGTCAAGATCACGTCGTGGGTCAGCCCGGACGACAAGTCTGGGGAGTACAAGCGAGGACAGTCTGCGTTCAGGAATTGGATCTCCAAGAAACCAGGAGCTCAGTTTCCACCAGAGAAGGACAGATATCATCTCTATGTCTCCTATGCCTGTCCATGGGGTATGTGATGGCCTCTCCCGTGTACGGATCTGATACTGACTGCCAGCAGCTCATAGAACCCTTATTACCAGGAAACTGAAGGGGCTCGAGGACATCGTCCCCTTCACTGCAGTCCATTGGCACATGGGAGAGAAAGGCTGGCGCTTCGTCACTCCCGATGAGAAGCTTCCTGGTGAAAATGTCACGGCAGATCCGTTGAACAACTTCTCTCATCTCCGTGATATCTATTTCTCCGTCAACCCGGAATACAAGGGCCGCTTCACGGTGCCGACTCTATACGATAAGAAGACGAAGCAGATCGTCAGCAATGAAGTGAGTATAATCTATCAGTTTGCGGGTTTCGTATGTTAACAACCTCTTTAGAGCTCGGAAATAATTCGCATGTTCTATCATGAATTCGACGACCTGTTGGATGACAAGTATAAATCCGTCGATCCCCTACCTTCTGCATTGGAGAAGGACATTGACGCTGCGAACGAATGGATCTACGACACCGTGAACAACGGCGTGTATAAGTGTGGATTCGCAACGTATGTCCTTGCGTTCACCTGGCTTATCGTACAATTACTAACAAAAACACAATAGTACTCAAGAAGCATATGAAAAGGCTATGAAGCCGCTCTTCTCCTCGCTCGATAGGATTGAATCCCACCTGGCCAAGACATACTCCCCATCTACCCCGTATTATTTTGGCAAAGACCTCACGGAAGTAGACATCAGGCTGTTCACAACCATTATCCGCTTTGACCCGGTGTACGTGCAGCATTTTAAGACTAATATTCGCGATATCAGATCTGGATATCCTGCTATCCACCGGTGGGTCAGACACTTGTACTGGGACCACCCTGCGTTCGGAGAGACGACCCAGTTTGAACATATCAAGAAGCACTATACCAAGAGTCACGGACAGATTAACCAGTTTGCCATTACTCCTGTTGGACCGGTGCCGGATATCATGGGTAAGGAGGAAGAGGTCAACGCCGTGGGGAAGTGAGAGTTTCAGGAGTCAACTGTCGTGACAGTCGGATAGCCAATTTGTCATTAAACCGGTATGTAATGTTTATTCGCTATGCCTTGCTCTAAAAGTCGAACATGTTATATGGCAGTGCATATATCAAATTGGCACAGCTGAGCGCCCTTTATATCTCTTTATCTTTATCTTTTTTCATGTCATGATACAAAAAATGGAAATATGAAACATATGAAAGTGACAAAAGAAACCGCGCAAGCCGCGAAAGCTGACTGTCCTGGTCAATGGAGCCATGTACCCAAGAAGCAAGATGAAATGGAAAACCAAAGATAATGTAGCCCTCGAATAGCGCGCCGGATATATGCGAAGTGAAGTGAACTTACAAGTAGAAAAATGAACATGAAGAGGAAATGTGAACGGCTGTGAGGATTGGAGTGGGTATTCGCACTTTTATGGCAGCCCAAACAGCCGTTTCGAATTCTCGTAGACGATATAGCTGATCGATACCGATGGCACAACCTTTAGCAGGTTGGGCGTCAGCCCTCTAAAGAGACCGTAGACGCCTTCACTCCGCACCGTTCGTACGGTAACATCCACGATGCCGGTATAAGTAGGCTTATGGAGCACAGTGCCCTGTGCCTGGAGACGCGTACGCAGCACGTTCAGAGGGTAGACAATGGAAGCACTCAGTGCACCGCTGAATGCACCGATAGCCCCGGTAGTGAAATTGCTCAGCTGCACATCTGATTCGTGGCAGTGAGCTAGGCGCGCATTGCGGGTTACAAGGGTTGATTTTAGGTATTCGAATGTCATTAGGTCAATGGCGGCGAATGGGAACATTCCCAGTAGACCGAGAGGGAGACCGCGGAAGTAGCCTGATATGCCATTTGTTTGCCACATTTTGGAGGCAGTGGAGTAGATGAGTTGGTTACCATGGAGGCCACCTTGGACAGTCTCGCATTGCATGCGACTACATAGTACGGATATTAGGGACATGGATGGTATAAAATGGGGTGATAAGAAAGGCGGGCTTACAATTTTAGAGTGTCGAGAGGGTAAACGCAGCATCTTGTGAAGTTTAGCGGTTAGCACACTAGGATTAGAGATAAGACTAGATGACAGGGATACATACTGGGAAATCATGCCACCAATGCCGCCAGATAGGAATTGTGAGATAGGGAGCAGGTTCTTCGTATCGCCGTGACCTTCGAGGCTGGCAAAAAAACGTTTTGAAGCCTAATTGAGTTAGCTAGCTCGTATATGCATGAAGAGCGCAAAGGACTCACTTCGTATGCACCGAACTTGATAGCAGACTCTGGCATGACCTTGACCACGTTCAAGCCGTTACCTATGGGCTGTCAGCTACACCGATAGCCCAGATATACAAGAACACAAGGAACGACATACCGGCGAACAAACTCCTGATCCCTCCAGCACGCCATAGCTCCTTGGTGGCTTCGACGATAGGCCAAGTCATCCACCCCACAGCCTTAACCGGCGCACCTGCCTTGACCGCGTTGACGGCCGCACCCTGTACGCTACCAGTATGCGTCTGTGCAATGAGATAGACCTTCAACCGATCGAAAGGCGCGGTAGCGGTTCGGGAGACAACACCAGCCATCCCGCCGGCAAGAAAGTAGCCTACATGGGGTGTGGATTCGGTCAATACTTCTTCTAGGTAGCGGTATGACAGCCATATTCTGACGAGGGAAGGGACGGTGATGAACTCTAGTTCCACTTCTAATCCCTGATCTATTTTGTGGTGGTCGTTATAAGGAGGCGCAAACATAAAGTCTTGGTGTTGGTCTGGTCTGGATCGGGCGAGAGGAGGGAGGGTGGGGGAGGGGATGGTGTTCATGGGGATGGCTGGGGCTGGCTCTGCGGCAGAATGGGTAGTAAGGAAAGAGGAGAGGAGCTGTACCTGATCCTTGTAGTGTCTTGATGTGCACATCTCCCTCAGGGCTGAGCGTGCCGGCTGAGGAGTAGTAAGATATGACTGAGCGAAGGTTATGTGTGCCAGGGAGGAAGAGGAGGAAATCTCTGTCGAGCTGGCTGTTAGCAACTATAATAAGTGGTGTGGAAGCAAGGGGCGAGGATATACCTCCACTCCTCGAAGCTGATGACCCCATCGCTGTTTGTATCTACATCGGCGAAGAACTGGTCTATCTTGGAGCTCGGAACGGTCAAGCCCGCCTTTGCAAACGCATCTTTCAGTTCCTGTTTGTCGAGATGGCCATTACGGTCGTGGTCAATAGCTTGAAAGAGCTGCCACAGCTGTTTCTCAGCCTGTTGTACAAACGAACGGAACTCTAGATTCCCATCGATTAGCATTACACTTTTGAAGGATAGGAGGCCAAACACACCAGTATACTGTATCTGGCCATCCTGGCTTGTATCGATCGCCTTGAGAATATCATGTAGCAGGTCGTCGGCGTTTTTCAGGGCTATGCCGCATCTATTAGCATGATATGATGTAACCACACAGATGCCGTCAACATACGGTGGTCAATCTTCTTCAGCCCCTTTTTGAACCCCTTGAAATCAATCTGCCCCTCTCCCCGTGTGTCTAGAGACTCCCAGAGATGTTTTATACGTTCATCTCGCTCACGCGTGCTCCCGTTGTCGTTCCCGGGCATTGTTGATACGGGTGAGGTAGACGGCGTACCGGCCAACGCCTAAACCGGTACAATGCTGGGAGGGAGACTTGAACGCTGAGCCCCGTACCAATGGCAACGGCCACAGTATCAGTGACAGTCGGCAACAGGCAGACGACCGCCTAGCCTCTATCTGCTATGAAGAGAGATCTCGCAGGTCGACGCATCCAGACTCTTGCCGGCGGTGCGGGCCGCAGTTGTATATCACTTTGAGTGGGCTGCACATCAGACGGCACGGCGTTTCTGAGGGTGTCTCGACGTTATATACCCTTGAACGACGGTGACCAACTATCGTACTATCATCTATCCTTCATCCAGCGTCCTTGGAGGGTTTGAAGTCGAAAGTCGTTGAACTTGCTTCTTCTTCTTCGCTTCTTGGGTTGTTTTTGTTTTCGCTTCTTCTGATTGGTTGATAGCTTAGTCATCGTCTTAGTCATCTTTGTCTCTATGAAAGAAGAAGCAAAACAGCTAAAGACGAAGTAAAGAGTAAAGCTGGATAGAATAGCTGGCTGGTATGTGAGATCGAGGATGAATGGCGGCCAACTACTGGAACTCGACGCAGCGGCGGTTCTGGCTGTTTGACCGCGAGAAGCTGGCAGAGACGCGGGCAGCGCTGGAGGAGGCAGACCGGGCCTTTATCGCCCAGTATCCGCTGCCTGACCACCGGCTAGTAAACATCTACATAAACCAGCGTAGGTCTTCCTGCAACGGTGATGGAAGAAGAAGCTGACGAAGGGAAGAGTTGATCAAGCTGGGGAAGCGGATGAACACTCGCCAGCAGGCTCTGGCTACGGCACAGGTGTATGTGAAGCGCTTCTTCACCAAGGTCAGCATCAGACGGACGAACCCGTACCTGCTGCTCACCACGGCCTTCTACCTCGCCTGCAAGACGGAGGAGTGTCCCCAGCACATCAAGTACGTCGTCTCCGAAGCCAGGGGACTATGGCCAGGTATGTCTACATCTGTATCTATGTATGTACGATATATCTAACGGGGCAGAATTCATCCTGTCCGATGCGGCCAAGGTGGGCGAGTGCGAGTTCTGGCTCATCAGCGAGCTCAACTCGCAGCTCATCATCCACCACCCGTACCGGACGCTCTCTGACTTCTCGTCCACGCTGACCAACACGAGCAGCACCGGCCTGGTGCTCTCGTCCGACGAGATAGCGCTGGCCTGGTCGGTGGTGAACGACAGCTACCTGACAGACCTCCCGCTGCTCCAGCCACCGCACGTCATCGCCGTGATGGCCGTGTTTGTGGCTGTGGTGTTCAAGCCGGGGACGGCGGGCAGCTCGACCTCTGCTGGGATGGCGGCCGGCATACGAGAAGGGATGGGCGACGGGGGCCGAGTGCAAAAGGTTGTGGAGTGGCTGGCGGGCAGCGAGGTGTCGATCGAGGCAGTGGTCGACTGCACGCAGGAGATGGTGGCGCTGTATGAGGTCTGGGAGGGATACGGGGAGAAGGGCCTGCGCGAGGCGATAGGCCGGTATGTGCGGGGGAGGTTTCTCGACAAGTGAGGCCGCGCGCGAGAGAAAACACTGTTGGGCCTACACGGTGTGATGCATGCATGTACATGTTTCGTCTCCTCCCCCTGCCGTCACTTTGCTTCTTCTTCCTCGTCCTCTTCTCTATATATTGCTATTAATGGGACTAGTGGCAGGGTTAAGTAAGCATGAAACTCGGCGCTAAAAACCGGAGGTACTTCCTGTCTCTCCTTATTCTGGTGGCGGACGAGGTACCGATGGTCAGGTGGACGATGATGCAAGGGTGTGCGAGGGTACTTCCCATCCCATAGCACTTTGTATGCAGCGCCAGGTACCTTCGCATCGATCGGCATCGACTTCTCTTCTGGCTGAGTGGCAGAAAATCCACTTTTTTTTTTCTCTCTTTTTCTTTCGCCCGCCTTCACCGCCTTCTTCTTCTTCTTCTTCTTCTTCTGAATCTCGAACTTCGACTTCAACTTCGCCCTCGACGTATATAAAACTGTTTTATAACTATTAACTACTTTCTTCTCTTCTACTTCTCTTCTGCTTCTTCTCTTCTGCTTCTCCTTCTTTTGCCTCTGCTTCTTTTACTTCCTAATTGCCCCCGCTGACTCATCACCATCCCTATGTCTGCGTTATTCTTCTCCCACCACAGCCCACAGCACCAACATCCAGCGCCTCCGACTCATCTGCCAGCGGCTACAGCAACCACCATGTCCCATCACCACCAGCACCAGCACCAGCACCAGCATCACCACCGTCGTCGACAACGGCTCAACGCTGCTGCCTCCTCGACGACCTCCCTCGCAACTCCGTCGACTGCAGCACCGCCCGCCTCCGTCTCCTCCGGCTCTCGTCAGTTCCGGGGCGTCAAGTCCATGCGTGATCTCATCGAAAGCACCCGCCATCACTGCCTTCAGGGCCCGTTTCGAGGCCGGACGCTCCTTTGACCTCGACGACGACCTCGAGTTCTGTCCAAACCTGCTCACCGAAGACGATCTGCAGTCCATCCACTCGCTTGCTGCCTCGGATCGTAGCTCTCTTGGCAGTGCCTCCCCGGACTCTTCTCCCTTACAGCACCAGGTTCATCCCCTGCAGCAGCAGCAGCAGCAGCTGAACAGCTTGGGCCACAGCATCAACGGGATGGCCATGTCGGGCCTGATGGGCAAGATCCATCAGCCTGCCGCCGTCAGGACACGGAACGCCATCCCCATCGTCAACCCGAGTACCGGCATGAGGGTCTCCAGTCCCACCAGACGAGACTGGTGATCCCTCTTTACTCTTCCTTGACGCCATGACGAATCGTCTCGTTCGCTCGTTCCATCTCTTTCCTTTTTCCTTGCATCAACTACAACACTATACGTATTTTCGGTAATCGACGAAACTCCTTTTTCATCTCTCGACGGGCTGAGCGACGGCGTGTACCCTTCTTTTTATTTCCCATTTCGAACTTGAACAACTTAACGATATGCAACACTATACTTATACTACATATATACATACACGGAGCGGACGGATGGATTCGGAGGGTTGGTCGGTGTTTTCGTACCTTTTTTTACTTCACTTCTCTCAGAAAAAGACTTTCGAATCCTTTTTCGAACTGAAAAATATTTGCTGTTTATACCACCTTATTTATTGGCTCTGCTGGCTACTGGATACTGGATACCGGGATACTCGTCGTTGGTTGATAGAACGCGTGCTGCGTTGTTGTGTTGTTGCCTTGTTTGCTCACTGCCCCCATGATACATATATTATATATACTCGGTACTTGCCGGATGGACGGTCGGTCGGTCGGGATGGATGGTGCTGTTGTCCTGGGTTGTCGTTGTCGGTTGGCTGCTTGCATACCCTTCTACACATATAACTTCTTATTCTCATACGTCTTCGTTTTGCTGCTTTAACGTCTTGTCCTGGGGAACGGAAGTGTATTTCATGTCTCACCATACCTTACTTGTCTCTTCACACCTTTCTCTTCCTCTAATTCTCTTTTACACCGCTTTCCTTTTCTCATCTCTCCTTGATTTGAACTTCATTAATCTCCCCCTTCTGGACGGCTGCGTGGCGGCGACCAAAAAATGATTTCGATTCGTCGGATGGAAAAGTGGACTTGGGGCAAAAGAAAAGGAAAGAAAACAGTTATCGCCTACTTGAGGTTGAATAAATAATATCAATATGAATATTTATCTATTACTTCGTCTGTTACTTCGTCTGTTACTTCGTCTGTTACTTCGTCCTGTCGACTCTATATTGACGATCTTGTCAAACTTGCTTCCTCCGCGATGACGTCACAAGTCGAACATCTTCTTCCAGCCAAAACATCCCAGGCAAGCTTCGTCATAACCAGTCTTTTCGTTGATATTGACAAGGTCTAGCCTAACGAACAGGCTGGCTGCAAGATATATAAGTGGCCTGCATCCACACGAAAGTTGCTAGTCTACTTCATATCTAGTTACCACCATCAAACGCCTACTACAATGGCATCATTCACATCCATTCGCTCCCTTTCGATGAGCGGTCGATTTCAGCTCCGTTCTATCCCAAGGACGAGCCTTGGACCATCGTCGTCCGTCAACCGTAGCTTATTCCATAGCTCAGCACCGGTTCGTGCATTGAAAGAGGGAGACAGACGTACGCCCCGGCTCACCTATCCACCTAACAACCTCTAACTGATCCATAGATCGAGACACGCAAGAGGTATCCTCGGAAGTCGAGAGGGAGAATCACGAGCATCTCTCGAAACACAAGGAGGGTCTAGGCAAATGGAACAACCATCTCGCCAGCAACAGTGAGGCGGATGTATGTTAAACCACCTAGTCTTGCTTTATACAAGTACTAACTTGCAACAGGTAAAAGCAGACAGAGGCGAGGTAGACACCGTCGAAACCGAGCAGATGGAGAAAGAAGTTCGCAAGGCAAAGACTATTCGCAAAGAAACCAAGGGTGCCAGCAAGTAGGTGGGAAGAAAGCCTTGAAGGCTTCATGGACAAACTTGAAGCAGCATGTCTGCTCTCGTGATTCGCTTTTCGGTCTTGAGAATCAAAATGTATATACTTGGAGAGTCAACATTCTCTCCGTTCAAAATGTGCCAATGTGCCAATGAACCGGCTCTAGATGCTGCTAGCGATATTCTCTAGTAATTTTGGTCGTGGGTCAAAGTCAACATGTCCATATTTTGCTGAAAAAAGTCCCAAGCATATACATCCGCTCGAGTCAAGGGTTTAAATCCGTCTTCACTCCTGCAAAAGAGCATGTTATTGTCCAAAGGCGTATCACGAGAAAACATACCCCATGCGAGGACCTGGAGCTCAGGGAGCCCATCGTCGCTGAATGCCCACTTTGTAAAATCCAGCATGGATATCAATCCGGTGTTTATTAACCTGTCTCGGTTTTGCGTTATCGGCTCTGGGCCCTGAATGAACCCGGGGTCTGGTCTTACTCGAAGATGTAACAGCTTGCACAACGGTCTTGGTGACAGCTTCTTCCACCTTTCAATCTGACGTGTAAAATAGCGAAAGGTCAGCCAAAGCACGAGTAACTAACTAACCGGTTGAACTAACTAACTGGTTGAGCTTGTTCGACTTACCATCGTTCGGACATGCAAGCGTGCTCCAACACACATTATTGAAGAACCCGTTAGCAAGGGCTGGAAGAGATTATCCGGAACTCCGTTGCTATCTGCTACCGTGAGCTCTCTGTAGACGAAGCCATGGATAAGTAGGCGGCGAAGGCCCGGGTGGTTGTTCAGAATAGCATCAGCGTCAATGCCCGCCAGGATGCGTTTCGGAAGAAAAAGGAACAAGTTCTCTAGGCTGTGGAATGCCCTAAGGAATCTTGAAAAGGCTGCAGGAATATTGTCAAATCGCCTAAGTTTCCGATTGTTGATAGACAGGTTAAGTGTGATCTCAAGAGTTGTCAATCTCAGGGGCTTCTTGGTGGACTCAGCAAGGGCTTCCAGCAGTCCAAAACAGCCTGGACAGTTCTGCAGCTTCAGGGTACGCAGGCGTTCCAGATTCAATGCACATGCTATGTCGGCCTCCATGCCGTAAAACGATACTGGCCCAAGAGATAATGTTTCAAGAGAGGGTAAAGGCTGGTTCATCCCTTCTTCTTGAATGCCCAATACATCCCGTATCAGATATTTATCTCTGCGCTTCAAGAATAGGAATGATGGACTGATGAACTCTTCATCTTCCTCATACCACCATAAAGCTAGATTCAATGTCTTGATGTTGCTGCTTGACCGAAGGCACTTCCGGATCAACTCGAAATCTTTCCCTTGACGCGGTCCTCTCCATGTTAGAGACTGCAGGTTTTGGAGACAAGAGACATCTATGGGGTAGTCTGCTCCCGTACTTTTACTGCAACAGACATCCGTATGGAATTCAAGGGCCCTGACATGCCGTTGATTACCCATCAGGCCACGAACATTCGAGAACAGGTCCTGGGGGAGGCATGATTTCATATCCCACCTAGACACGGCGAGTTAGATAGGACCATCACACAAGTAAACACAGGCTGTATAAGAGAAAATACCTGAAGGTGAGGAGAGCATCCTTGGGAATGGCCGACAGTACAACATCCAAGGCCCTCAGTAGCCTCCCATATACCTTTTCTTCCTCTTCTTCTTCTATCATAGGCACTCCGGTTACCTTACTAACATCGTGAATACAGCGAGAGGGCCTGTTGAGCACAGTGTAGAGGCAGACATGCTTGGTGTATCTTAAACGGCGGAGAGGTATCCGTTCAAGCGAGTCTACCACGCAGTCAAGGATATCCTCTTTCGCTGTACGCCTTGCCGCGATTCTAAGATCCTCGTATAGGACTGGAAGAGTGGCATCACACAGCCGTCTACAAACCAAACAGAGGCTGCGCAGGTCTGCCCGGTATGGTATCTTTACATATCAGTTAACTGGTCTTCAGCAGAGAGAATACACAACACTCACATGGCTAGCAATCAGTACCAGCAGCTCTATAGGGAGTTCTGTCAACATTCTTACGGGTATTTCTGTGTTACCAGCCTGGAGTGCGAAGAAGAGAAATATTCTCTACCGTTCAAATTGGCCACAGGGATGCCAGCCATTGGCTGCAGCTTTCATTCGACGCCAGGGAATCTCGTAACTGCAAACGAGAACACGATATGCAACTTTGACTGCTCTCTCAACATCGAAATATAACCTCTAGAGTGATTTGCAATCATCGTAGTCTATCGAATAACACATAACTACGGATGAAAAGGTGGCTGTCTGATACTATACGAACTTAACTATAAAAGGGGTAAGCAGGGTAGAGCCTCGGAGTATATAAAAAATCGAACTTCGTGCCGTCCTTGTGAATTCGTGTAGCTTCAACTTCACCTTCTTCCCGTTTAACCCATGCAGGCGCCTACATTATAAGCCGTTTAGTATATTATTAAAATAAGGAATGAAGTTATCATAACTTGTTCTACTGCTCGATGAAAAGTTGACTATATTGTCCGAAATTTAACTAGAACAGGGATAAACGGGGTAAGATGGATTATATTTCTTAGAGGGTCTATATTATTAATCTGCCCAAACTCCCAACGATGTAGTCTGTTCATCCGTATACCTATGTATATTACTCTATAAAGGGTGTATGATTGTAAAACTTGAGGTTGATTATACCGGGAAATCGAAGTGATTGATATCATCCGTGTCGATGCCGAATCGCTTTCGACTCTTGCTCTCAACGTCAGACTGTATTGACATGCTGCGCCTACTTACGCTGTCAACTCCATTATTCGAAACCGCCGTGTCTCTTTGGGTCTGGGATTCTGAATCGTTGATACCATTGTTTCCCTCAACGCCCCACCAGCCAAGCGTAAAAGTCCGTCCTTGGAAGACACCACGCTGTTTGAGCTGTTCGTCGTTGCACCACTCGCTGCCGGGGGGTATTATACCTTTAGATCTCTCGAAGCTAGAGGCCGTGCCGGAGTTAAGAATACGGGAATCTGAAAGTAGACTCGCCGCTGCGGCAATGCTGAGCGGGCTCTTGGGTAGGACTTTTCGAGTGTCCATGAGGAAAATACTAATAGCTCCGCAGAGTGTCATTGCGGCCAGAACGGCTTGCAACATGCGCGTGGAGATCATATTCTGGAATAGCCGGGTATTGAAGGGATTATTTAGCGAGGCAGAGTACATTGGCCGTTTTTCGGTGCTAAGGTATGATGATGCGGCTACGGGTTCATCGTAGTCTTGTCGGCCTCGACTGTTGATCATTTGAGCGGTGATGATGCCCCAGACTTTTTGCAGTTGTACCTTTAGTATGTCTGCTTCAAGGAGGGCTGAGGCTGATATGCCTGCTTCGCCGTGGATGATGCTTCTGAATACAAGACTCAGACCTTGCGTGCTCTTATCCCCGGAATATAGATCTAGGATGGCGGATGACATATAGCCGCCGTTAGGGGCGACAGATTCCCATCCAGATCCCATGAATCCGTCAAACAGGGTCGTCGCGGATCCCGGTACAACGGACGGGGGAGATGATAAATCGAAGGCATAGGAAGGATACGACAGCTGAATAGAGACATCCACTTGTTCGATCCTCGATCTGCACTTCAGCACTGTGATTGCTTCAATCGTGTCTTGGGTCGGATTAACTTTCCCATACATCACGACAAGTCCGGGACAACTGTTCGGTAATCCAGAAGGACCAATATCATGTGCGCGGGGCTCAGCAAAGCTACTAAAATATCTGTTCCCTGGTGAGCGATAGTATGACGCCAAATCGGTTGCTCTGAAGGAGCAATTATCAACTAGCGCGGTGATGTTGGCAATAATGTCGTCTTCATAGGGATATCTTGTTCCGCGACCGGCGACGTATGCATCCGGCGGTACTTCTTTGCAACCCATATCGAGCCTTAGGCCAGGAACCTGTGCCTTGATGAAGGAACCACGGTTATTCAGTGCATTAACTGTTTCGTTTGAAAGGTTGTGTTGGTTAACCTTCAGCTTTGGAAACGAGAGGTCTTGATACGTCCATTGTGGATAGGAAAGGTTGTATTGAATAGTCATATCACCAAGCTTAACATCCACGGTATCACACGCTTTTGAATAAATATACCCGTCACTCATGTTGACTCTGTTCATCTGGGTTAGAGTAATTTCGCTAGCAGAGGCAACATTAGACACAGTGTAGAGACCCGACACTATGATAGGTAGGGATGGAGCGATTAGGACAGCAACGCCAGCTGCCATGACCGACCACTGCCTCTTCGTAATAGCGCCCCAAACGCCAACAATGGCTAAGTTTCGGTGTTGATTGTCCATGATACTTGTTTCGGGTGATGCATGGCCGCGCTTTAACTCGTGGTAAGGCTGGAACACTCTTGCGTTGAAATACACGCATTCGTAGAGGGCCCGGACTCCCAGCATCACTAGCGGCGGAATGTAGGTCCATGTGTAGCTTAAATAGCTTATGCTTATGTTAACGTCAGCAAGGCCGTTCAAGCTTCGGGACTTTTGATACAATATCTCAAGGACAATGATGAGACAGATTGGCACAAGAAGGGCTAGAGCACGCCCTAGAGGACCTGCTGCGAAGGGTCGCCACCAGGACGGCTGTAAAAACTGAGCGGATTTTTCAATTTTAGGGCCATTTGGCTTAATCAAAAAGGTATCTGCTTTTGCTGTAGTGACGTAAGACTGGCCAGCGAGGACCTTTTGAAGCTCCGCTTTCGAGGTATGGCCCATGCCGGACAAAGCGTCCATAAACTCATGGCTATTAGCCAAGATCGTTCCTAGGCCACCGATAGATCCGGGATCTCGTGGGCAGACAGCAGAAGGAAGGAAGAAATGACAAAATAACAGGGATACCAAAGCCAATAGCCCCAGGATCGATATGATAGAATACGCAGCGTCACTTCGGACTGTCAGCCGAGTCTGCTTAGTCCCCATTATTCCTTTCACTGTGCTGGTACCGGAACGAGAGGGGGCTGCCATTAGGTATTCCGACGCAAGCTGAACTGCAAGAGCGTGAAATGTGTCTGTGACTCGGTTTGTGAGAGTGCTGACATCGAATAGGCTTTTGAGACCAGAAAAACCCGTACCCAAAATCAGATAAGGGGGATCGCGTGAGGATAAAAGGGTGGCAGCTTGGTCAACTGAAAAATAGGACCCGTATAGTATCCTGGACGCGCTGACGTTCGCTAGTCCAGGGATTTCGACAGGGTGTGCAATGGTTAAATCGATCAAGGGGTTGTCAATATCCCCAGACCCCGTCAATGTGACATTGCCGCGGTTGGTAGAGTACGAGAGTTTGCACATCAGGCCGATAACCTTGGCGTAGGCAGACGTCGTGTTGGGGTAACTATAGTACGGTATCGGATATCCGTTGGGTTCTTCGCTCAGCCCGCCTGAAATGTATATCCAGAGTCTCCAGTCGGTATTTTTGGCGTCCATGGAGTCATCAGGGTAGTTTCCTACGCCTCTAGCAATGTTGCCATCACAACTCCCTAGCGCAATCCTTAATGGTGAGAATGCGGACGATTCGCCAGGAATTACCACGGCACAATCATCAATATGCAGCCCTACGTCCGTAATATTACTGTGGGTCGTTACGGACGCCTCCTGGCATTCAAGTGATGGCGTAAACACATCAACAGTCGCTTGGTATGTAGTGTTCTGCAAATATATGGGGGTTCCCGCTGCAAAGTAGCCGTGTCAGGTGTGAACTCCAGAAACAGCCGGCCGATGGGGAGCTGAGGAGCGTCTTTACTCACTTGGACTGGTATCATAGAAGAAATTCTCAAACGCATGCCCATCTGTAGTCCCTGCTGGGTTGCTGAGATTGTGTTGGGCGACTCCCCACATTTTGTAGTAAGCACGGGCATCCACAGCAGATTGGTTGAAGTTATCCCCATTAAAAACTTTCTGTACGTGAAAGTCTTTGATGAGCTCCAGTTGAACATCTTTCGTGGTAAACAGGCCCGTGGATAGGACTGTCATTAACTTAATAACCAGTGATACCGCGATAGAAACCGAGACCATGAAATGGCCACGCTTCACAGATTTGAACAGGGCCCATACGTTCCACGAGGAAAGGTAGTCGAGCAAAACACTATCTGACGCCGATACAAACCCACGAGCCATTAGGCGCCATGGGAAAAGCTGCAAGGCTCGATATTCGACCTGGCCCCAGAGTGCGCTGACGATGGTGAAAACTTGCGCAAAAAGGCAGTATTAGCCTAGCCCAGGTTTTAAATAGTCATTATCCCTTTGACCAACACTTACCGGCTGTCGGACCATAAGTCCAGAGATAATAGTTAGTTGGATTGACGGTACTGAGGCCCTGTTCTTTCTCGGAGATTCGCCATACTGCTGTTAATGCAGCTAGCAGTACGATGAACAAAACAGCAAACGATAAGAGCGTAGATCGACGAAGGAAAACGGGCTCCCAGAGCCTTTTTGTACCGTTCATAATATTCCGTTCAGCCAGCAAGCCAGTGCTGGGAGAGATCTCGTTGGCGCCCGCCAGGTTGTGTATCTTGGTTGGTTCAAGTTGGATTCCGAATGATTGATCGGCTTCTTTCAGGCTAGAAGCAACGCGATGGCGCTTGGTCTGCCGTGATAGCATCGCAGTGAAATTTTGCTGGGTGGGAAATGTATCATCAGTCTTCAGGGTTGGAGTTGGATTCCGGTATAATAACTGCCTTTACAATTTGAAACTGAGGAAGAGATCAAAACGAAAGGCGGCTAGAACAAGGCGCCAGGGGTAACTATGGCCCCCACGGCTAGCTAACCCCCGCCCTTGGGGGTTAGAGTGGTGGTGAAGCATTGATATAACGACCAGGTATAAACATGCTACCAACTGGTGGGTATAGGTTTTAACCGCTTTAATTACCCTATAATGTAATTAAAGGGTTATCCACTGTTCCTCCACATATTTTACAATATATCACCCCCCCAGGGATCCCTCGAGCAGCTGGTTTATCTCCTTTTCTGTTTATATTGACCTTAAGATCGTTGTTGTCGTTCGATTTTCATTGGAAGTTGCGGCTTGCTTGGCGGCGGCTGCTGAAACTGCTTACTAAGCTCGTTAATGCGGCCATCGTCAATATCAAGCTGGCATTCGAGTGTACGTAAAGGTAGAAGATATCAAATTACTATTAGCTAACAGTCTGAGGCAGTGTTCTAATTTATGTTGCGCGAGTCACTCCCCCAACCAGAGTATAATACCATCTACTAATAGATGGGAGAATTGCCCAGCAATTCATCACTTCTGCCTTTACGTTTGACCTTTCTCTTCACACCAGCCGTATCTTTGTAGGCCATGGAGTTCCCGAAAATTCTCGAACATTGTGAGGGTGTTGGTTTTGGATGTGAATCGATAGTCCATAGAGTCAGCCCGACCATCGTGGTTAAAAGACTCCAATCGTGCAAATTCAAAGCAGAAGGGCGGCCACATCCTTTCCTCCTTGAAGTCAAGTTTTATAACCGCTTGATTGAGCGACAGGATAGATGTGCAGACATCGTTGCATGCTATCTTGCGCTTCCAGATCACATCTTTCTATCCTACTGCAGCGGTAACCGGATTGATAAACGCTATTTCGAGTATCAGAAGCGTGAGAAACGCCCGAACCGCCCCAACGAATATTTCGGACGACTTGTAGGTGTGAATTATCATGAAGATCCCGCTCTCATTGCTCGATGGGTACGACAAGTGGCATCAGCGCTTGAGTATGTGGAAAAGATGGGTTTCTGTCATAATGATGTGGCTCCCCGTAACTGCCTGCTTGATGACAGCCTCAACCTGAAGCTATGTGACTTTGACCGCGCTACCACCATCGGTCAATTACTTGATAGTTCTTTTGCTCCATGGGCTAGAGAGCTAACCATCGGTCCTTTGAAATATACCTATGGCCTCTGCTGTGCTCGAACGGAGCAGTTTTCACTTGGTACTCTTGTCTATTTTCTATTGTACGGCCATGAACCGTATGAAGACATCGATCTTCAAGATAAAGACCCCAAGGAATTGAGCCGCCGATTCAGCGATATGGAGTTTCCAGTCCTCGACCGGCATCCAGTTTTTGATGAATTTATCTTTGCTTGTTGGCATAACGTCTTCCCCAATATGTCCCTGGCAGCGTATACTATCAGGCACTCAACCGAAGATTTCGCATTGTCTGCGGAGTATGGAACCGGTACTATGTATGCAAAGGAGCGAAAAACATGTGAACGGCTGATCCAGAATGGGCTACTTGGGCCCGAGATGGCTTTGCGCTTTCAACCTTTCTGGCAAAGATACGTTCAGGCGATTATAGGAAACGCTAAGCAATTTTGGCAGAGCTTAGTGAGCGTCCTAAGGAGATTGTGACGGCAGAAGTCCCCTGCCTCTAGATATTAATAAACACCCGCCAATATTCTAGGGTTTTCCGACTTCATGGATCCAACATTATGTTAGAATATAACGTCTGAACGCACATTGCAATTACAACCTTGCTCCCTAGCATAGGCTCAATGATATTGGTTGCATATTCATCGTTCGAGAAGTCCCAGACCGCTTCTTGATATACTCCACCATTAGCTTATACCCCTAATTCTTTGCAAACTTCTGTTCTCCAAGTACGGTTGTCCGGGATAATATTGCTCTATCTAGACTTTGTCTGCTAGTATTGTAAATATATCATATTCTAATCTAGACTAATTCAACTTACAAACGAAATCATCCATGACCCTACCTTACCACCTTTGGGGCATCGACGGTGCATATCCCAAAAATGTCATAACAACAGCGCTCTTCAAGCAGTTTCCCTTCAATGGTAACGTCTCCAGAAACTAAAAAAGGTATAAGGGCGGTATAGGGACGGTCGTCTCCCATTGTCGTGCGTCCTTCAAAAAATACACCAACACCACGCTTGTATTGAGAAGATATGGCTGGCCTATATTGACTTTTATCTGCAGTGGCACTCTGTGAATATCATCAGCTCTGGCAGATCAGGTATCTACATTGAGATAAGTTAGAGAAATACCGGATGAACAGCATATTACATTGTAGTTCACCGAGTTACACCTTCCGACCCGTATAACGTCATAGCCGCGTATTTAAAGGTGCTTCCCGCCGCCAAGATGCACTAGGGACCAACCTAAAAAGGTTAACGTAGATCTTCTCATGCTCCAGTTTTGTCGTGGTATAGACTCCGTAACTTCGCTGGGGACAAATCGCGGAAAGAGACCGGCCGCAATCTAAAGACGAAGTTTGACAACGGTCAAACAGTAGGGCAGCCGACGGCCCTTGGCTCTGTATAGATAAGAAGCCGTCGCATGCTCATCGGTCCTTCTGGCCATCATCATTCATCCATTCTACGCCTATTTATCGCTCTTTCCAGTGTTCACTTGGTCGCTGAGGCATCCTTTTGCTGCTGTCGTGTCTTATTGAGGCTCTAGTCACGTGTTCTCCTTACAGTCTCCCAGAAATTACGTAGCGAAAGTAAAAGGAGGCTGAGTCAAGTGATATACTCCGTACCGCCCGCTTTGATTATATGAATACGGAGTAAATAGGGGTGTCACCAAATTCACTGACACAGGTGGTGGCCTTTGAACGCAATTTATGTGGCCTTCTTGGTGGGGTTCTTGACAGATGGTCGTTTTATTACCGCTTGAGAATTAGGACGTAACCGCCCAACAGTGGTCTTTTGTCAAATGTTGTACTTAGTCAGCAACGTAGTTAGATCACGTACACTGCCCCTATTATATCCGGCAGAGACTTACCCCCTATATCTAAGCTCTTTAAGCTCACTAATATATATATATTTATACCTATATATACGTTTAAACTTATTTAGCTAATTATTATTCGCTACTTTTACTTATATTTAATAGTTATAAGCCTAGTTATTATAAATTAAATTAAAATAATATCTAATTTAAATATTCTAATATACTAACTATTAATAAGAAGTAGTAATTAATAATATTAAATATTATTTATTTAATATTAATTAATAATAGCGAATTAATATACTAAGACTATTATAGTAAGGATTACTATACTTAAAAATAAACGGGACTAGTACCTTTAGTATAGGGGTATTAAAGCCCTAGCCTATTAATTAAATATCTAGAATCTAGTAAATCTAGATCTTAAAGTAGAACTAGAGTATATTACTCTATTTAAAAAGGTCGAGTATAAGGATATAAATCCTTAAGTAACTAGTATTTTAGACTTTAATAAGGACTAGCTTAAAATACTAAAGATTCTAAAGGAGGACTATAAGAAATAGTAATTAAAGTATTAAATAGAAAGAAATACCCTATTAATATTCTAAATCTATCTAATAATAATACTTACTTATTTAGTATTTAATTAACTCTAAGTAGAGGATTCGTTATATAAAATAATAAAAAGATTAAAGAAATACCTCTACCTAATAGATAAAGATAGAATATATAAGATAGAATAAAAATATAAAGTATTAAAAGCTAAATTAAGAGCTAGAGATATTTTTATCTAGCTTAATAATTAGATAGAGGTATTCTAGGAAGTCTAAAAGCTTAAGATATTATATCTAGAAGACTAGAACGAGTAAAGGACGACTTTATTTTAATAAATAAAAAGATTAACTATATATATATAGTTATCTAGTATTATTAAACTAACTTAGTTAACTTTATAGATCTTATTTAAGACTTCTAATATTACTATAGGAAGAATATTATAATAATAAAGACTAAATTCTAAATAGTATTCTTAATATCTACTATAACTTATTTACGGAGCGAAGCGAAGTATATTGTATTCCAAAAAGTGGATATATAGAAGGGGTCAAATGTGCGTATTTGTGGGTCTGCTGTAAATTACGTGATTGGTTGAATCCTGAGCATTTGATTGGATACTTGTAACCTTGCATAACTAGTGGCTTGGCAGCTTAGTCATCTTACCCCATCAAAATATTTGAATAGTAATGCTGAGTCATCAACATATTGGATATATGCTTAGTCATCGACATGTTGGATGGGTGCTGAGTCATCATCTTAGTCATCAGGTCACGTGATATTTTTTGAATATCGATATTGAATACATTCGCTCCATTACTTATAGATAGCTCTGCTAGCTATAGGAGAAAGCTTAGGCTTTTGACCTAGTAATATTCTAATTAATATTCTAAACGACCTTAAAATCTATATTCTAGAGACGGACTTAATTCTAATCTAGAAGACTAGCTCTAATCTATATTTATAGAGGAATATACTAGTATAACGAGTACTATTATCTAGAAGAGTATATTAGACTAAAGGATTAGATACCGAACCCTAAGAAGAAGAAGAAGGTAGAAGAAGCTTTAAAGAATCTAAGGGTTAAAAAAGGGGTTAAGAGGTTAAGATAACGAAGTAAGGAGTTTAATAAGAAGAAGGAAAAGGAATAGAGCGCGGTAGACTGGGGCCGAGTCCGGGTTTTTTACCCGGACCGGCCCGGTCCGACCCGGCCGGGTCGAGTCGGTATTAGGCTTTTTTTAGACTCGGTCCGACCCGGCGAGCCGGGTTAAGGCTTAGAACCCAGCCCGTCGAGTCGGGTTAAGGCTTAAAATATTCTAACTCTCTAAATAGGGAAGCTAAGTAAATAAGAATAGAATCTTTAGAAAGCTCTATTAAATCTCTATTAAATAAAGTTATTAGTAGTTTAATACTATTTAAATTAAGCTCTCTAGCTAAATTTTAAAGAAAGTATACTATTTTTAGAACTATATCTTAATATAAAGCTAGAGCTTCTAATACTAATAATTTTAAAACGTAAATAGCCTTATTTTATAGAGAATTAATAGAGCTTTTAAATAATAATATTTTTATTCGCCTAGCCTTCCTATTTAGGAAGATATTACTATTAGTAATAGAAAGTTAAAAACTCGGGTTTTTTACCCGACTTAACGCGGTCCGGCCCGGCCTAACCCGTGCTAAGAATTTATTAGTACCGACCTAATTAGGTCGGTAGTTTAAAGGCTAAAACCCGGCCTAACTCGGTACTAACCCTAGTCTAGTAATAAATAGAATATATAGAATAAGTGCTATAAAGGGGGTTCTTCAGCCTATATAACTGGAAGTACACTTGGGTGAGAATCACTCAAGGACTCTTTATAGATAGTTAGGTCGAAGTATTATTAGAGATATATCTAAATAGAGATACTCTAGTATCTAACTTTAAGGTAATAGCTCTAAGTCTAGCTTACTTCTATAGATATAAGTTCCTTATTATAATTAAAGTAGTACTCTAGTTAATTAGGTATAAGGCTTATTAAGGGAATATTAGTTAGATAAAGGAAATATACTTATATTAATTAGTACTATAAAGCTATAACTTACTATAAAGTTGACTTTAATCGTGAGTATTAAAAGAACTCTTAATTAAAATAGACGATAAGTACCCTTATATATATAAGCTATATTAGGTCCCTGTAAGGGGTTGGACCCCTATTCCCTTCTCGGGTCACCGCGCGCTCCGTAATCAACGAGGCAGCAAGGCCTATCTAGAGATACTATCACTAGACTCCCCCTTTTACTCTCGCGTACGTGACCCTTAACACGGTTATATAACCTTAACGCCTAGAGCTATAGCTCTATCCCCTATCACCGACTTCCTTCCTTTTCCCCTTTCTTCTTCTTCCCTATATATTTTGTCTTCGACTTACGGATACCCTTAGTTAGTTAAATAGAACTCTCTTCGGCCGTTAATATTATAAAACATATCCTTATATTGGTCTTATTAGTTATATTGGTTACATTGGACACATTGGTTATATTAGATACATTGGTTATATTGGACACATTGATTATATTAGACACATTGGTTATATTGGACACATTGAGTACATCGAGTACACAGAAGATATTGGAAACATTGGTATAGGAATATTAGAATAGAAGATTAGAACGTAATAGATATAGCGGAAGGCTAACGTCAGAGCTAGAAGAATAATAGAAATAAATAGTAGAATAGTAACCAGCTACCGAGTTAGTTAGGAGCTTTTCTAGAGTAGTAGAGTACCCTTATAGAGAGGCAGACGGAGTAGATCAGAATCTTAATAGCGCAGCTAGCTACGCTAAGAGAGAGGGTATAGGAGTAGGGGATACCCCTAGTAGTATATCTTACCCCCTAAGCCTCACCGGCCCCCTCGATATAGATACTACCACACCCTAATTAGCTAAAACCCGCCTTACTAAACGCGGAGAAGTTTAGTAGAGAAAAACTATTAGACTATCTATTATAGAGGATAGAAGTTAACGCTAAACTTATAGTAGATAGGGAGTTAATTAAGGGCCCTAGCTAGCGAGTATAGTATATTTTCTCCCGACTAGAAGGAGTAGTAGCGAGGAGAGTCCTTC